GTACGGAGGCTGCTTGTTTTCCAGCCTGCTTGTTAGTGGAGAGCATCCATCCTTATCCTGAGCCAGACTGAGCCCTTGCTGTGGGACTGGGCATGGCCCCTAATATTATACCCCAGTGCTGCAACATGACCCTAGAGAAATGAGCTGACTTTGACCTTGAGCAAGTTCTGGAAGTCAGAGGTGGGGCCTAGTAGAAGGAGAGAGGCATTTAATAACATGGCAGACCCTAGAAGTTTTGGGTAGCGACTCTACTACATGCCTCTTAGCACAGTCCATATGGAACCTCTGGGCTCGAGCATGATGAGACTGTTTCAGAACTCCATCTTTGAAAGAAGGATGGGGAACTTTTTACACAAGGCTTAAAGCCAGAATTGTGGTCATCATTGTCCAGAATAATGGAAGGACTTAGAGTTCTTCAACAAGCCAGAAAGGGAAATTCTGCTAGAAACAGTCATAACAATAAACTGGCACAATCAGTGCTGGAAAACTTTTGCAACTTTGTAAGAACCAGCACCACTCTCTAAGGAGTGGCAAAATGGTGGAAGATTCCCTAGCGCTGACCTGTGCTGAGGGTAGTTGTAGAAGTCCTATGGCCACAGAAAGGCTGCGGTTGCAATTGCATGAGCATGTCATGGGAGCTAGGTTGGGAGGAGCGTGGCAGTACACAGTCTAGCTGGAGTATGTTCAAGGTAGTTTCACCTGGGGGCATAGAGCTTGAGGGAGGTGTCCTAGCCAGTGCAGAATGCAGATTTTCCTTTGTGTAATATCCTGCTTGACAGTGTGAGATGGGGTTTCTGGCTTTGCAGCCAAGTGTGACATACAGGGCAACCCACAGGGTCTGGGCAGCCACATGGAACATATTCATTTCCTCACTGAGGTGCCCAGCTGAACTGCATCCTGCAGCCACATTCCAGCACAGCAGGGATAAAAATGAGGTGTTTCACACTGGGACAGGTCAGTCGCTGAGAATGAGAGCCATCTTCTCACAGCTGGTGGGTGTGTTGTATCTTCTTTAATTCTTTTCTTCTCCCTTAGGCTGGACTTCATCTATGACCTTTTTGAAAGAGTCTGCAGTCGTTGCAGTGAAGAGACACTGAAGATGGGCACCCAGAGGCGCAGACCGACTGTCAGTTCCCAGTTCAGGGTAGGATGTTTTCCAAGAGAGCAGCAGGCTTCCAGGGAGGAGCAGATGGGTAAACCAAGGCCTGCAGCCAAGAGGAGTCATTCATCCTTGTTTTGTGTCCAGCACTGAAAATGTGCAGGAATGTTGTAGTGCTAAAAAAAGACAGTGCCCCGCCCCAAGGGTTTCTGTCTGGTGTAAAATGTGAGATGCTAAGACCGACCAGGGTGGCAGAAGAAAAGAACACTTTCCTAAGTATATGAAGTTCTTGAGGTTCTTTGATCTTTCATGTTGGTTTGTTGTTTCAGCTAAGTGTACAAGTATAGTGGTAATTTCGGTGAAACCTTATTGGGGGGACCTTGCAGGTATGAATCTCACCCCCCCCAGATTGTCTGCGAATGTTAATTTCACAGTTTTAGTTTCCTAAAGTTTGAGAGACTTGTAAAAATAACTCACACCAACTAGTCAGCTCTGAGAACAAGGGTGGCCATGTAAACAGTGTTAGAGTAAACTAACTGTGTGGGTGTGTTTTGGACAGGAAGGGATCTCCTGGGTTACTGAAGTTTTGATAGGCAAAATCAAAGCACATTAGGAATCGGAGGGCTGCACGAAGATCCTATTGCATGAAATATAGCCTGTTTCCCTCCTGTAGTGACTGATCTTTTGGGCTTTGTCTTGCTGCTTTTTAGGATTCTCTCCATTCTCTGATGGCCACACTTAGTACTTCCAACCCGTTCTTCATTCGCTGCATCAAACCAAATACCGAAAAGGCAAGTCTGTCTCGTATGTATGTTGCACAGGCCTTCATGAGCACTCACTTGCACAAATGGCTGACAGGTGCCTCCGTCAGGGTCCAAACTGAGGATAAGAGCAGTTCCCCCTCACCTCCCCTTTTTCCTTCTAGTTGTTTCATAGTTCAGGAAAAATACACCCTCCTCCTGGTAATCAGATGAAAAGGCTGCATGCTGAGTATGATATGATACAGCCATTCCCACCTTTCTGTGCTTATGAAGCCTGAAGGTGAACAGGCTTGTGCAGAGCCCAGAGCCGTGGTAGAAGAAGCAATCACTCCTGTTTGTGGTGCCTGTAGACAATTTGTTCAGGAATGCGGGGCTTGTGTGGTAGGAAGCGTCTCCTGCAGATCCCTGGCTCTGAGGCAGAGGAGCTGGACGCTTCATGAGCAAGTCACAGTGATTAGAGACAGGCTGGCTCTTGCTTGTATTGTGAACTGTGACGGGAGGATATGCTGCTAACTAGATTGGGTGGGGAGCTCTGAACCGAAAGTTTTCTTTGTGTGTTTTGAAACTCTGTCTGATATGGCAGAGGAAAGCCTGCTAGGGGTTTTATGCCAGGAAAGAATTTTGCAGTTTGTCTCTGGTTTGACTAGAGAGACTGCAAAGAGAAGTGAGTCGAGAGTTCTGCGTTTTGTATGTGTTAATGCATTGTACCATTGCTTTACTGCTGCGATCCAACTATGACAGCAGTCTGCAGGCTGTTTTTTTTCCAGGATCTGCCCAACTCCCTTTTGTCCTTTTTTCTGCGCCATGCAGTGTTGTGAGGTTGTCTTCCCCTTGATCCAAACTTCCCACTTTTCACCTGACATGCCCAAATATGCAGGGTTGACTTTCTATAGAGAAGTGCATCTACAGCCTTTGACTGTGCTCAGGGAAACAGCCACTGTTAAGCCAGCAAAGAAGTAATACCAAGATCAACATTTATTCTGTCTCTCTCCATATTTGTTTTTGAATCTGGATCATTATGTAGGCACCAAACCTCTTCAATCCAGATGTGGTGCTAAATCAGCTCCGTTATTCAGGGATGCTGGAGACAGTAAAAGTTCGGAGAGCAGGTTTCCCTATACGGCGCCTTTTCCAGGACTTTCTCAGCAGGTAATTGCTATCATTGTACCACATGCTGTAACAGCCCCAAGGTATACAATTCTATATATTTGTTCCCTCTATAACTGCTCTTACTGATATGGATCATTTGTGGGATGCTTTTCTAACCATGCCTTTATTGCCCATATCATAGACTGATTTGGAAGATCTTTTGCAGACTTGCCTCTAGGGTAAAAGTCAGAATGGAAAAATAGCCAGACAGTCCATTAAAAAATTTTTTTTTGTAGCTTTGCCACAGATTTGCTTGTGTGATACTGTGAAAGCCAGCTGGTCATAATATGTAAAAAGAAAATATATGTAAAACCTTTGATCTGGCAGGCTGAAGCAAATTTTAAGGATAGTATGGTTGATGGTTAATATTGGAAAGAGTGATTATTTCTTTTCATTAGCTGCATCGAAAGGATTTCTTGAAGTTTAAGGCTAGAAGGGACATTGAACATTGCTTCCTTTGTCTCTTGGAGCATTAAATGCCAACCCTATGCTGAACAAAATAACTTGTGTCTGATGAAAGCACATGTTTGAGAAAGACAGTTGTTCTTTACTGAAAAATGCTGTTGAGTTTGTATTTTATTACTGGGATTGCAACAATAATTGCCAGTGTGGTAGGAACAGATAAAGGTTGGGGGATGGAAATTTCCAAATTGGAAGGCAAACATCTAGAAGGGAGGTCTCAGAGGAAGAAGGACTAATGGGAGGAGGATAATTAGAGTTAAAATATTGGAGGGATGCAGGTTACTGTCATACATAATCTCATGAGATTTTGTTTGATTCTTAGGTACAAGATGCTTGTGAAGGGACCAGGTTTCTTAGATAACAGCAAAGCTGTATGTGCAGGCTTTCTTCAGACCTATGACAGCAGCAAGAAAGAATGGCAGCTGGGTAAAACCAAGGTACTTCACCATTGTGGGGCAGGGTATGGCTTTGTTCCAGCTGCAAGGGGATGCGATTGCATCTGGTGAGATTCAAGCCAGTAGAAAGGGCAAAGTAGTGATGCCATTGGACTATGCCATTGACCTGTAACATCTCAAATATTTCCCATATTACATACCTAGAGATGTAGAAGGCTTTTTGATTTTTGTCTAAACTCTTTCTCCTTGACCAAGCCAGATTGATTTTGTGGTATCTGATCCAATTTAAGGGTCCAAGGAGAACAATCAGGTGTCATTGTATGCAGCTGCAATGTATGCCATCAACTCATGCCTCTTTTGCCAGATATTTTGCTCTGCTTGGCTAACCAAAATTCTTGCAGGAGGCAATGATCTGCTATTCTGTATATATCTGAACTGTGAATAAGTAGCTAGATCACCAGATGTGTGATAGCCTTCTGCTATGGAAACTCAGCTGATGGTTTGTGCAGTTAGCCCAGATGCTAGCATACATTTTCTAGAAAAAGTTATCCAAATGCTTCTCCCCAATTGCATAATTCAGATTTTGCTTGTTTTGGTGAATGTTTAACACTCCTCTCTTGCCTGGTATAGTCTGGATTTTGTTTTGTTTTGTTTTGTTTTCCTCCAGGCATCCAACTGGAAATGTACCCTTATCTTTCATTTAATGGGGAGGGAGCTGGGTATTTCAGCCTGAATTTTTTCAAGCTTAGAGACAGCTTCACGCAGAAATAGATGTGAGCATTGTGAGGTGTATTGCCATAGAAATCTGGGAGTGGGAAACTGTCTCTATCACAAATTTCCACATACTCCAGTAAATTCTTCAAAGAATATTCCAAGATGGGTGGTGTCCCGTGCAGACAGTATTTCTGAGTAGTGGGTATGCAGTTCATATCCAGAGCAGATGGTGGTCCATCAAAGTAACTTTTCTTGCATTTTTTTGCTCTTAAGCCTTCAAAAAAGTAGTTCAGCATATTTCCAGGGTCACAATGAAACTGGAAGTGATTCTAGTGAATATTCACATTTAATTCATCCAGCAGATCAGATAATGATATTTGTTGCTTTGAGCAGTCATTTCCTAATGAGTGGATAGACTATAATGTGTCTTAGAGTGACATATCTCTCTCTCCACTTATTAGAGGAGTGGTAGTAGCCCAGTTGGTAGTCTGGGCTATGAACTCTGTTTGACAACCAAGGAAACCACTGGCTACTGTGGTGGAAAGGAGGTGTGTTAACCTGAAGTTTCTAAGGCCTTCCTTCACAGGCCTCCGCTGTTGTTCAAGAAAGAAGGTTTTATCACTTAGCCATATTTCTGCTCTATGACTAAAGTGTTCCCCATCTTTGATTTGGGAATCTGGCGTCTCATCACTGGTTCCTGAAAGCCAGGCACCATTTCAGTCATTCTTGTCCCTAGATAACCCACACTGCTTGGGTGGCTGCCAGTCTCACAGAATTTTAGTGTTAAAGCCTGTGGAGTGTGTGTGTGTATGTGTTGCAGAGCTGATTGTGCCTGGGAAGCTTTAGAAAGGGGTGGTTAGAGCTGGTAAACATGGAGTTTGAACTTTCTTTCTAGCATGACAAGAGATGGAAAATTGCTGGGCTTCAGCAAGGGCAGCAGAGAAATGCATGTGAGGACCAAACTCACATGCACATTCTCACCTTGTAGAGTGTAAAAGGTTATAAGCTATATAGCACAAGTCCAGGGACTACAACATGCTGACGACAAGCAGGAAATCCAGGCTGCTTTGAGCCCCTCGCAGCAATAGAATCCCTTTTCTCTTCAGTCCTTGTGTATCCTGAAGGGCTGAGTACGTCTGTCTGTTTTCACTCGCTTCTTGACCTGCACAAACAAAGTCTTTTGGAAAAACAATATAGGTGGTAGATTGTGGCAAACAAAATGTCTTTGTATTTTGCCAAAACACTGGATGTAGTCTAATGTAATTTTTTTGAACAATTCTGTCCTATAAACTAAAACTTGGCTGAAGAGCTGTATGTGGCACGTTGGTAAACAGCAATGTCTCTGCTAGGGCACTGGTTGGTGATGGGTCTGAATATTGTGGGAAGAAAGAAATGACTAAGAATGGCAGTCTTTGTATCTCTATTTCTTTATGTCTGAGAAGGAAAATTGAAAGGAGCTGGGAAGCAGTTCAGCCATCATGTTTGGTTGTAGAAGTTATTTTATATTCAATGTGGTTTGAATTAGAGATGTTTGTCCTGGTAGAGGAGAGCAGTTCTATTGATTCTAAAGAATATATTACTCCAAGACTGTCCTGGTCTGTTCCACCCTTGCTGCCATGCTGAATGGTTGCCCAGCCCCTGGTTGCTCCAAGGTTCATTGCCCTGCCATTTCATTCTTCAGATGAGCTGCTTGACGTTCTTCCCCATGCTCAGATGGCAGAAAAGCCATTTCATTGCTCCCTTGGAGACCCCTCTTGCAACTCTGCTTTGTGACAGTGTCTCCAGAAAGCCTGTCCCTAGGAAAGCAGATGCCAAGGTGAGGCCGTGCAAAGTAGTGGTAGTTCCTGGTGGTCCCTTCCCTGCTGCCTATATCCAGCTGTTCTGTCTTGGTTCTGGATTACAGATTGCTTTGTCTGCATTTGTGTTTTAGCTGGTGATAGGTAACACAGGCCTGGAATACTTGGGTTGATGAAGGAAAGAGCCCTTACTTTTCCAGAGGCTTTCAGGTAAGGGTGTAGTGAAGCTACCAGCTAAGGGGCACAGAGTATAGGTCAGTCCTAGAGAGGAGGTCCCCTGTCTGACTTTTGCTGTACAGGTGCAGCTCTGGGTACCCACGCTGCAATTCCCAGAAATAACCTTGGTTTGTGGAGTCAGGAGTAGCTACTGGAAAAGGTGTGACGGGCCAATGGGGATGTAACCTAGGAAGAACTATAAGGGGTGGGTGAAGAGCAAGGCTTATAGAAGGGGGAATACTTCCTGCAAAATGAATGGAAGGATAATTATATCCCTAGCAATTGTTTGGAGGAGGAAGGAAAAGACTCTGTGAATTAGTGCAGGGGATTGTGAAGCTTGGGAAAGGAAATGGAGGAGGAAGGGCAGGATGATCTTTGTGTTCTTCATTAAGAATAGAGCAGCTGCTGTGCTGGCAATTGTCAAATTAATGTTTATACGAGGTATTAATATATATATAAGGCAGGTTTCATCCAGTGGCATGGCAGAGATGAGGGCTTGGATGCAAACAAGCAATGTGACGATGGAAGAGCTTGTGCTAAGGTGCCCTTGTCTTCACTGGGGATGTGCTGGGATGGAGCAGCAGCTTCTGTGTTCCTTTCCTCAATACACTTGGACCTTCTGCCATTCTTGCCCATACCCACAACACAGATTTCCTACGTTTAACACAGCAATCCTTGCTTTTTGAAATAACTCATTTCCACATTTTAAACTGCTGTTTTGTAGGGCCTGTTTGAAGGAGAAGGTTTCTGTAGACTATTTGGCATCCAGGTCACAGTGACCCACTTCCTGCTTTCCCAGTGATGTCTCCAAGATTCATATGATTTCACTTAGGAGGCATGGGTACACATGCAGTTACATTTGTACCTGCTGATCTACACATAACCTTAACATGTTCACTGTTGCACCAATGGTGCACACACGCATTGAGGTTCTGTGAAGAACACTGTGGTGCTGCACTGTGGTTTAAAACTTGGCCAGTGTCTAATATGAGCAGATATAATAGAAATAACCTTGTATGTTTTGTCCAATCATTCCTTCTTCAGATGAAAGTGATCTCATGTTTTCAAAAAGTGACTATGAATTGTAACATAGAAACGGCTACCTTCCAAGTTATTTCCACAAGGCTTCAAAAATATTTCTGGGTTTGAATGCATTTTGCTCTTCCTTGTCATCTATGGGAGTCTAAAAAAACCCCTCAAAATGCCAATAGCTTGTAACTAGATATTGATATGTTATTTGAGATTAACCCCTTACTCTCAAGCATATATAAAAAACCCTACAGGATTAGAGTTGGGTCTTGTTGAACACTACATGCTCTGAAGTTCTGGGTTTTTTCCCCCTCCTTACTGGCACAGTAAAGTCTGTGCTTGGTAGGGAAATAGTGATGGACTGAGTATTTTTGCAATTTGATGAAGAGAAGGGATGGAGACAGTGTTTTGGCAGTTGCATTCCTGGAATGGGTGACTGCTGCTTGGTTCTGGAATGTCATGGAAAGAGCAATCCCTGCTTCAAAGAAGTCTTTAAAAGATTGTTGAGTTGACAGAGGGAGTGGATGTACAACTTGCAGGGAAGGATGCCAGCTTCATGGTTGGCAGTACCTTGATAATGAACCTTCTTTTAAGGCTACCCATGGTTACTTAGCCATTACAAAGCAGCTCATTTCTTAAGGCCACCTTAATGACAATGGCTCCCCAAGAGAAATCCCCGGGAGTCCAGGGAAGCCACTGGGTATGAGTACTAACTCATGGAGAGGTTTCAGTACATGACAGTCATTGCAGGGGGAAAAAAACCTAAATAAGTGATGAGGCCAAAAGCAGTGATGGAAGGGAATGTATACAGAGACATAAGGGGAAGTAAGTGGGGAGGGGAAGACTGTGCAGAACACTGGACTAAAGGACTATTCAAATCTCTGGCCTCAGCATAGCCACATGGATCCAGTAAATTTGTAAGGGGGTTTTACTGATTAATGTAGTTCTGCAGATTGATGAGTGTCAGCTCACAGCCTGCATTCATGGCAGTGCTTTAACAAGTGGGTCAGCGCTTGCCTAGCATAGTCCGTTCTGCTGCTGGCCCTGGCAGGGATTTAGCCAATGTCAGGCACCAGGTCACACGAGCATGGCCATATGGCAGTTGCTGCTGTGACTGCAGCTTGTATGGACATACCTTAGCCTACTTATTCTAGGCTGGGTACTGCTAGCAGCATACCCACAGTGCTGTGGACCTCCATGCAGGCTGCAGTCCATCTCAAAAAGCAAAGCATTTATTTCAGCAATTTGTGCTGAACCCTGTGCTAACATAATGCAAGCCAGCTGCTTTGAAGTAGCTCAGATATGTCAGCACAATTCCTGTAAACATGCCCTTATCTTGCTTGTATCTCAGTCCTTTTGTCTCTATGATAGCACTGTCATCCCTCACACAAGCATTTAGCACTGAGCAGAGGTTTGAAATATGGGTGATGGAAGATGCTTGAGAATTAAAATACTGGACACTGAAAAGCAACCAGTAATATTTGGAGACCTCTCCCAAGGGGGGTGAGTTCCCCCCAGTACATGGCTACACTGCTGAACCTCTTCAGCGTGAAAGCATCTCCACTTCAGAGTTCCTGGAGGTTGGTGGAGGGTTTCAGCTCCGGTGGACTGAGGGTACGCCCAACTTTGAACTTCGAGAGGGCTTTTAGCTTTCCAGCTGTCTTCCATTATTAGCACTGCTGTTAAGATTGCTTCCTGGAGTCTAGAAATCTAAATGCTCCTCCCTTTCCTTGAAATGTGGAGGAGTTTCTTTGCAAAATATTTAATCACACAAGTAGGTATCAGTGCCTGCTGCAGGGAGGTACTGGATTGTGCAGGGAAAGCTGTCAGCTGGGAAAGAGTTAATCACAGGCGCAAGCCCAGGCTCTTCTCCTCCTCCCTCCTCTTTCCCTCCTTCCTCTGCTCCCTCCCTCTCTCTCTTTTAAGTCTTGACCACAGAGTGAGGGAGGCGGGGGTTGGGCACCGAGTTCGGCTCTTGTCGCTGCTGCAAAACTTTTTCCCGGTGCTGTGAGTGCGGGCACCCGGGGCGAGGCGCCGCGGCTGGCGCGCCGGGCACGGGGCACGCTCGGCGCTGCTCGCCCGGGGATGAAACCTCCCGGCGCTCCCGGGGACTGACTTCTTTCCTCTCTTTGTGTTTATTGAAACTCCTCCCCGTGGCGTCAGGTTTTCCTGAAGGAAGCTCTTGAGCAGAAGCTGGAGAAGGATCGGGAAGAGGAGTTGAGGAAAGCAGCTATAGTCATCCGGGCCCACGTCTTGGGCTACATGGCAAGGTCAGTGCTGGGGGCTGCCCCACCATCCCTGTGCTTGGGTGCCTGGGTTGCCCCAAACCCCTGCTTTGCTCTAGTCCCCTTGCATCCCTCCCTTCTTCCCCTTCTGTATTGCAAGGGAGAGTTGCAGTATCTGCCCTCCCTGCTGGCATCAGTCCTGCTGAAACCTTTCTCCACCTTTGCCACCTCTTGTTCGGTTCTGTGCACGCTTGCACTCTCCCTCAACCCTGCTCAACAGGCTTCTGGAAGGACCTCTGTACCCATGGCTTGCCTCCGGTGACACCTTTTCCTTGCCTTCAGGGCTCTCTTGCCTGGGCCCCACCTACGGTTTGGGTCCCCTCCTTTTCCTTATGCCTGTCAACTCTGTTTTCTGCTCCCCCTGCAAATTGCTTCTTCCTCACTTGTAGCTCTGGCTTTGCTCACCCTCTTTCCTCGCCCTGCCTGTTTGCCTCGTGATCTCCCTCTCCTTTTAATTAACTCTTCAGAATTGGTTTTTGGCCAGCTTTGCACCAGTAATCTCCTCTTGCCGCTCCCTTTTGCACCTGACCAGAGGAGGGTTGGGAGAACCAACTGCAGACAAACTGCCCCTCCTTTGCCCCTCGAAGTCAGTGTAACAGCTGACTCCTTAATGGCTGTGGCATGCACACTTAATCCCAGTAAGATGCTCTTTCCTGGCTGGTCTCTGCTCCAGACACCTGTCAGTCAGGGGTGTGAGGAGGTGAAATCCCTGGCCAGCAGAGCTGTTCCAGCAGGCACTCTTCTTACAGCTCCAGTTACACCAGGTAGCTCATTTTGTGTTGGGAGATGTGTGCAAGGGTTGTACCCTGCCTTGCCAGCGTGGAGTATCAGCAAAACACGTATGTGGTCTCAGGGGCTTTTATTAATTTTTTTATTTCCCTCTAGGTAAACAAATGAGCTAGCTCTATTGTTTGTACATGAGATTGCAAGTTCTTTGTGTCAGGGCCTCTGCTCTATTTTACTTTGTGTCTAGCATTTGGAAAGAAGGGTAGGGATTAGCACAGGAAAATTGATTTTCTGGGAAATATCACTGCAGGCAAAGTGGATTACTGCTTTTCTGAGTGCCTGGAAAGGTAGCTGCTGCCCTGCAGGGCTGTGATGGAGACAGTGTTGCAGTGGTGTTCTTTTTGGCTAGAAACGTTGTGATCTTCCAGTCTCCACAGATCTGAATTGCTGGTCCCACATGTTGCTCTTCTGAGTCTCATCTTTAAGAACAAGCTGTGCTTCTGCAGCTGGAAATCCTTACAAGCAGCTGGAGGTGGCTGCATTTTGCAGGAGAGGAGAGCAGGGAGTGAGAAAAGGTAGGGAGGGAGACTGGAAAACTTTTCTGTGAAGAGTTCCCAGTTGCACTGCACCTGTATTGGAGAAGGTCCAGCAAGAGGGAGTTCATCTGGGCAAGTGCTGCTGGTCTGTGCAGAGCTGGGCAGAGGTCAGGAGTACCAGTGTGCGCTGCTTTAAGCTTGATACCATTTCTGTTAGTTTTGCAAGGACAAGTGTATTTAAATTCATCTGGTGTCATGCAAAGTAGGTTGGCGAAGAAGGGTACATACACCACAGGAAGGATTTTCCTGTTTTTTCCCCCTTTGTGAACTTGTTCTGTGAGGCTGGAGAACCAGTCCTAAGGGTGAGAATGTTTTCTTTGCTCTCATTCCCTGCAGCCTAGTATCTGACTGATCACTAAAACATGAGACAAGAAAATCAAGCCCATTCAGATGACCCCATTTTTGTAGCTAATCTGTGGTACTCTGAGCTGCAGGTAACAGCTTCACCAGCTAAAATACACATAACTGTTCCTAGGCTTGCATGATCCATGTACAAATTTGCCTGTGTCCCTGGATTCTGCAAGACCTTGCTCACGGGAAGAAGACAGTAGGAAATAACTCCATGGCTCTGTGTTTTCTAGTCCTTGGAGGCGTAACTGCCAACTACAGCTCATCGATGGAATAATTAATTGAATTCCAAATGCAGCATTGGATCTTTGCAGCCTCCCTGCCTTCTCTTGTGGTATATGGTGAGCATGTCTCCCAATCCCTTGGCGTGGGCTGCAGGTTGAATTTCTTTGGCCGGTGTAAGAGGGTAAGTGGAAGGCTGAACAAGGGGAATGAAATTCACGGCCTGTGTGCAGCAATTCCAGCTGAAGGGCGTCTTCAAGCTTAGCTGCGGTCATGAGGAATGAGGGGGCACTTCAGCCTGGCAGATTAGCAGGCAGAGCTGGCCTGTAGCTGGGCAGGGCTTGGCACATGTTGCACAGAGAGTTTCTGGCAGATACATTTTGTAAAAGTCAGAGTGCCCTTTTTGATGCACTTATATCTGCCTTGGCAGAGAGTGTGTGTGCAGCTGTTCACACCCCGTGTGCAGGGCACAGGGAGGACAGTGGGATCAGGGGTGAGGGGACTGCAGCCTAGGAGCAATTAATCTAAAACCTCCCACTTCTTATCACCTCTTCCCTTTCCTCCTCTTTTCTCCGTGCTTCCTCCCTTTGACTTTATACTTACAGAAAAGAGCATGACCTCTACACACTACTGCTATTAGCATCCCTCCCCTGATTTTCTTGACTAGACTGACGTATCTGATGTGCAGGGAGGTGGCAAGCTGTCAGCATGGGTCCCTGTTGCCATTTGAAGGGGACTTGATTGCCAGGAAGGGGATTTTGAGGTGTGTCTTTTCCTCAGGGGGTTGCAGAAGGTCTGTGGGAAGGATATGTGAGAATACTGTGCTATTTCCAGCATGCTTTCTAGGAGTGTAAGACCTCACAGGATTACTGTAGCCTTCTGGCCCAAGATCCTGTGTAACAGCCACATAGAATTTCCCTCTGCAAATTCTGGTTTGGAGTGAAGAAAGTTTTGATTTGAATAGTACCAATGATCATTTCCCTACAGCAAGGTATTAAGGTGCCTAAATACATTCAGTAACTTTAAAAAATGTCCACTTATTTCCAGCCTGAATAGACTTCAGCTTCAGGTCAATTAAATCTTGTTATGTCCCCTGCTGGATAAATAGAAATGCCACTCAGAAATGTGGGTACTTTGAGTGGGATCAAGCCTTTCCTTAGCTTTCTCTTTCTTAAGGTCATAGAACAAGCGCTCTCTTTCTATAAGCCAGAATTTCTGTTTCCAGTCCTGCTTCCCCAGAAACCACTTGAGGGTCCGACACTGTTGCTGAAATGGAGGTCCTAACACTGTTGAACATGGGATAAAAGTAGCAGTGCAGTCCCCTTCTGTGCAGTGTTTCTCCTGGCAGGTATAAGAGTCCCAGTAGTATATTTTTCTATAGCATTGTGATGTGAGTTTGCCTTCACCTAATGATCCCTGTGGCCCCCAAATCCTTTTTGACTTGCTGCTTCCTAACATAGGTGTGTTTGGCCTTTGATTCTTCAATACAAGACCTTATGTTTGGCTCTTTTGGATTGTTTAATGTTTGCTTCAATCTAGTTTACAAACTGATCCAGATTACTTTGTAATAATAACTCTTTTGTTACTTGCCCAGGTTGTGTATCCTGTACAAACTTCTACCAGTGACTTTTTTTTTTTTCAGGTCCTTGATAAAAATAGTCTGTAATGCAGAGGCAAGAACTGACTTTTCTAGAATGTCACAAGACTACTGAAATACTGAATGACGATTCTCTTCTTTTGGGGCCCTACCATATTTTTTGGTTTCAAAGGCTGCAAAGTTGATTTTGATATAATTGTTTAAGCAAAATGTTGTGCGGTATAAATATATGTTTATGGGAGCCTGTTACAATGTTACATTCAGCAATCAATATTGTGGTATCTCTGTGTTTTCCCCCAAACAATATGAGATTAATGTGACCAGATCTTTCTTTGTTCTGTTTTTGCTTTTCCTGGAGTAATCTGCTTTTGGACACTTAAAAGATGGGGCAATATGGGACTTTGTTCTCATATAGTAAGGCCATTTGTAAGTTTTTATTATAATAAATCCACAGAGTGGATTACGCTAATTGCACAGTGAATGTGTGTATGTGCAGGGAGACTTTGGGCCAGTGGACCTTCTCTTTCCATATGCCAGATATCTGTTCTTTATCCTCTGAGGGTCTTCATGAAAGTAGGTGCTGACAGAAACAGACCAGTGGTAGATATAGGAGTGCGAACAGTGAGGAGAATATGATTTATAGGTAGTAGCAGTAGAGTAACAGAAATATTGCCGAGCAATATTTTTCCAAATTAGTTTTTCTGTGGATGTAGTAAGGTTGGTCAATATACCAGGGCATGAGAAATGCAAAGCATGTATTACTTCATGGTGCATTAAGTGTCTGGTTCTGTTTTTAGGAAGAAGTATCAAAAGGTGCTAGCCAGTGTTGTTATAATCCAAAAGAACTACCGAGCATACTTCTGGAAGAAGAGCCTGCTGCGACTGAAGGCCTCTGCAGTCACCCTGCAGAAGCACTGGCGTGGCCGCCTGGCTCGCAGCCTCTACCAGCACCTGCTGCAGCAGGAACTCAGGCGGCAGCAGGAAGCGGAGGAGAGAAGGAAGCAAGAGGAGGAAGAACAGATCAGAAGAGAGGAAGAGGAAAGACAATGGCAAGAAGAGGAGGAGCGTAGGAGGAAACAGGAAGAGGAAGAGGTGAAGGAAAGGTACAAGATGGTATCTTGCACTCATAGTTCCCTGGCACTGAAGCTGCTGAGGTGGAAAAGTGGGTCTGGGGCATTGGTGTGATGGAAACACAGCAGTTGTGTGAGGCAGTGTCCCAGTGCCGGGAAGCAGAGTTAGGGTGGGCTGTGGGGCAGCTTAGTATAGAAAAACAGCGTGGAGAAGGAGTGTCCTTCTTCCTTTAGGAAAGCTAATGCCTGGCATATTTTTACCTCTATTTAGTGTTTTTCTGCTTCGGAATGTACATGAAAGGAGGCAGTTTTCAGTAGTTTGGCAGAAATGCATAGTGTTCTCATTGCCTTTGCAGTGGTAAAGGAAGTTTTATGCAGTCTTCCAATATCTGGAGGGACTAGCAGTGTGAGAAGGTGACAGTATCATGGGTCTTTGTGTGTTCAGTAAGCTGGGTTGAGAGCAAGATGGGCAGCACACCTGTGCTGCTCCTGCAGTTCTTACACTCATGAGAATACATGTGCTCTGCCTGTTCTGCTGCTGTGTATCTCTCATCAGGGATATGGATGTGTTAAGAGATCAGGAGGGGAAAGGAAAAGCTAGTGTGACAAAAAGAGGCGATCTTGAGCAGTGACAGAACCGCTATTGAGAATCCTGCACCTTATGTATCATTTACTGTTCACTCCATGGTTACTTACATCCTATTTAAACTGTGTGTCTCTCTTGATAATCTTTTAGTTTAAGAAGCACAAAACTTCAACTGTGAGATTATTATATAAAATTGAACAAATAATCCTGTGACATTTTAAGTTTTTGATAAATAGTTGGTTATGTTTCTTATAGGCTTTTGTTTCATACTTGTCCTGAAGTTGGGTCTTGGCAGACTAAGATGTGTGACAAGCATCACAAAATTCTAAGGTTAGAAGCATGTCACAAGGAAAAGAAATGGCCTGCAGTTTCACTGGAGACAGTAGGGTGATGTATCTGCTGGGACAAGACATGGAGTCAGTGACACCAGTGGTGAACAGTTTGGTCAAGGAATTTGTTGAACAGCACTGAAGGCTCTGTTTTTTCAATGTGTCAATTTTCAATAACAGCTTCATCAGCAACACTAAGCTGTGCAAGTTCAGAATGTCACTTAACAGCAGATACCAAGTGCTACAGACACTCAGGTCTAAAGTCCTCATTGTACCAAGTAGAGCTTGTTGCTACCTAGCTTTAGATAAAAGGACCTATTTAGCTTATTCGTTCTAGTGTGTTTCTGCCCCTGCCCTTTAGTTCCCAGCCCATGAAAGATATGTTGAACCCAGCATCATTTTAAAGAAGTGTCAGTGTTTCTGGGCATCAGGTGAACTGCTCATTTTGCTTTCATTTTCTATTGATGTCAAATAGGTTCATTCAGAGTGAGTATCCAAAAAGGCACTAGCAGACCAACTTGGCTAATTTCTGAACTTCCATTTGACCTCAGAAATGAGGTGGAAGTCCACAGAAATTGCAAATCAGCTAATCTAATGAGAACAAGTGAAAAAAACCAACACACATGCAGAGACAAAATTAGAAGGACCGAGATACAACCTGAGCTATAACAAACTAAAAGTTAACATGCAGATATTATGCATAAGCTGTTAGTAAAAGGGAGAGATGGAGCAATCTGGTCTGTTGTTCAACAGGAAGAAAAAAATACCATGTTGAGAAGGCTGAGGTATTTGATCCTGTTTTTATTTGTCTTCCCTGAAAGGCTTAACTGTTGGACACTAAATGCAGTTAGCACAGATGTGCAGGAATTCAGAACCTACCAGAGAAATAAAAGGTTAGAGAATGCTCAGATAAATCAGATTATAAAGAAGTAATTCGGACTCAGGAAAATTAATGTTTGGGTACTTCAAGAACTGGCTGAAACAGTTTGAATCAGTAGCTATTCTCTTTCTCCTCCTTTGTGGATAGCAATGGAGTTTCTATAAAACTGGAAAACTTCAGACATAATGACCCCTTTTTAAAATGGGAAAAGGAGGAATGAGGGAATTGTGGACCAGTCAGCCTAACCTCAGTTTGAGGAAGATACTGGAACAAATAATCAAACAGTTGTAAATGCTTGATAAAAGAGTTAAGAAACAACCTGGATTTCTGAAAAACAAAGAGCATTAAATGACCTGTTTCTGTCTGTGTTAGCTTATGACCGGCCTAATATGGATAGGGAAAAGTCATAGAGGGTAGGTAACTTTGGGTAGGCAGAGGGTAAGGGCTTTGACATGTCCTAAGACACTATAGGGAATGTAGTTTGGAAAGAAGTACATGAAGCAAGTGTAGGATTTGTGTTTTTAACTGCATTGTATTATTTCACTTTAATGAGTAAACAGTAGTAGTTTTTTGTTAAATAGGAGGGAACTCTTGAATGGGGTTGTTCCATGGTCTGGACTGGATATGGTACTAGTGCACAGTGAGTTGGATAAGGAAATATGAATATCCTTACTAAACTTGCAGCTAAAACCATCTGGTGATGGGCTGTAAGTATATAGCTAGACAGGATTACGATTTAAATAATTCTGGCAAATTAAAGAAATAGTCTGAAAAACATAGGATAACTTTCAATACAGACATATGCAGATCTACAGTTAGGAATAATCAAATGCACAGAAGAGAGGAGGGATGCCTGCTTCGACAGCAGGAAGAAGGTCTGGAGGCTAAGCTGAGTATTAGTCACCAGTGTCATGCTGTGTGAGAGGAGAAAGCAAATGCTATCTATAAACAGGATTGTTTCTGTAAGATGTGGAGGTGGATTCTTCTGTTCCGCTTGGCACTGGTAAGGCTTCAGTTGGAGTACTGTCCCTAGTTTTGGGTATCACATTTCAGGAAGAGTGTGGATCAGTTGGAGATGGATGGAAAATATCAGAGGTCTAAAAAATGTGAGGAACAGTTACAGGAATTAGTGTGTAGATTGTAGGTGGTATTTGATTTGTTTTAAAATGGCCCTACTTCTTGAACAGAGCTTCTTCTCTTTAAGGCAGTTGTTTAACTCATGACTACTGTTAGAGAGCTTTCAGTAGACTTGGAACCATCTGGATCTCACTTATATCAGCTTTCATTTATAAACATTTCCCTGATTTTTTTTTGAGAGAGAGTGCGCAAGAGTGAGCTTTAAGGACTTTGCGACTTGCAGCTGCAATTTAGAATTTGGCTGGGAAAAGCTGCAGGGCCTGGCAAATAAATGTTGCCCTTCTGTTCTGCTTGAATTACAGATTTGAAAGCTACCACTGCCAGTCTGAATTGAGCTGCACAGTGGTTGCTACAGGCAGGCTCTTCCATCCAGCCACATCCTATTGCTGCTCCCTATGTGGGATCCTGACATTTGTCTGTCTACTAATTGAGTTGCTTGTAGCGTGCTTGATATGGAGAAACTGGCCACAGTGACAGCTTTCCCTTGGAGCACAGCCTTTTTGATCCGGGTGGAGATGCAGCACCATGGAATAATTTTTTTCCTCTGTTCATGTTTACTAACAAACTGACTCTTACATCCTTTACTAGTAAACTAGGTTTTGCATGCCACCGAGAAGTTATGCAGTCTGTAGCACCCAGGTCTTCAGAATAGAAAGCTTTCAGCTTAGTCATTTAACAAAGTACAAAAATTTCATAACTTTTGGGGGGCTTTAATACAGTAAAAGCAAAGCAAAACATAAATTTAATGCTTGTATTGCAATAATTCTGTTCTGTTTTTTTTAAAACACAGTTTCCTGATATCTGTGAATTATGTATGTACAATCTCATTTAGCATCCATGGATGTATAGTACTTCAGAAGATCCTGTTTACATTTATCATGGGTCTAAACTGATCTCTTTCTGTCACTGTTTCCAATGTCCTTCCTAGTGTGTTCCAACTAATCCAATTTCCTGATTGATCTGAAAGTTAAGTGCATGGGGAAAATCTGTTGTATCCACAAAGGTCATGCCAACCACAGAGAATTAGATTTTTACTAAATTACAAAAGCTTTTAAATCAGTCTTAAAACAGGTACCTTATTTTAACCTTATCCATGGAGGGATGATGTGTCCATGTAATTCTGAAACCCTCATGTAGGAGAAATGGATCTATCTGTGACTATCATGTCTTGTTTTTTAACAGAGAAAAAGAGCAATTGAACGTGCTATTCCAGGTGGCTCAGGTAAGTTTAAGTTACTCTTTTCATGTTTTCTCTTGAGTATCTGTGAAGGGTCCTTCACTGCCTGTGCTTTGCCTGGAGTTAATATTGTTATTGTGGCAACATTGTTTCAAAAATGGGTTTTGTTCACTCAGAATCTGCAGGTGTTTGGCTTTGGCAGAGGTGCATGGAGTTAACAAGGTAGGGTTTTTTCCAAGGCACATGTACCAGCTTGCGTAGTTCCTATTTGAAAATGTCTGTCTTGAACAGGCAGCATCCTTTTTTATCTCAGCTGCTTGAGTTTATTACATGCCCTTGTGATACGTTACACTGTGACAGTGTTTTGCTGGACTGTTGCCTGTAACAGCCAAAATAAAAGTGCACAGGCTGCTGTCATGGCTAAAATAGCCCCCTTGTAACTGATCTAATTATTCGTACTTGATGTATCAAAGGACAGACCACCTACCCTGAGGTGTGTGAAAACAGCTGTGTGTCTTCTTATTTCTTTTCCCAGAACACTTGTTCCTCAGTTTCAGGCCATCTCCGTTCAGGAGAGGTGACACATTAGAATATAGAAATGCATTTGTCCACAAGAATCAAGTAGAGGAGAGAACAAGCAACAGGGTAACTGTAAAGGAAACAAAGATTGTGGCTTAAATGAGCCAGTTCATTGGCTGCATTGTCATACTCCTATCAGGAAGTACATGAAATCCTTTTGGAATTTATTTTTGCTTTTTCTTGTGTGTGTATGTTTTCAACATTCTCAGTGGAGGGGAGAGCGGCTTTATCTTCCAGCTAAACATCAGTGAAAGTTACCAGTATCTTCTGTCTCCTAATTATTGTGTACTTGCTAGAAATTTCCTGTTACTTCAGTGTGGAGAATAGAGGAAGACAGTCTTCAGCAGCCAGCCGTCATCCATCCAGTGATGCTAAAGAATGCCAAGAAATTCTGGGTGGAGTTTTGGTGGGGTGAGGTTGGAGTGGATACAGTCCTGCTTCATTGCAAATATCCTTTCCAGACCTAGATTCTGATGGTCAGACTCTCAACTCAGGAAGCAATGAAATCCTCAAATCCTTTAATGAATTTCTGGGAAATCTTCAGCTCTAAAGAAGGCTATGCATATATGTATTTGTATATAGTTGCTTTCTCCTATATGTGTGTATGTGTGTGAGGTAGTTCAGAAAGAGAGGATGGACTTTCAGAATGCTTTTATCCGAATTGTTGTATACAAATAGCTGTAGCATGAGCAGCAGAGAGGCTCTTCTAAAAATTCACTGATCCCAGTGAGCTTCTCTGTATGACACGGAAAGGAGGTAGGCTGCTGGAAAAAAAGAGAGGTACCCGAAGATTCAGTAGTTCTACCTTTAGCTTTTGGATGGTTGCAAGATGCTTAGAGTTATCTTTTTGCAGAAAGGAAGTACAAGGCAAGCACAGGAGGTAGGAAGAATGAGAGATCCAGGCAAGGAACACCTATAGTGTGAGGAAACTGCTTTAACACTATTACAATTTCTTTAAGGTTGAAGCAGTAAAGACTGAGGAGGTAGATATTCCCCTGCAAGAAGAAGAGAGACGTCAGATGGAGGAGATCTTAAGACTGGAGAAGGAGATTGAGAAGTTGCAGCAACAGAAGGAGGATCACATGTCTATCATCTGTGAAAACACCAGAAATGAAATCAATCGGCAACGAGAAGAAGAGATCCAGAGGCTGGAAAAGGAGGCATCTAGAGTTGCCCAGGAGTTCTTGGAGCTGCTAGATTTTGGCAATCTGGATGAAAGTGTGCAGAATTTAGAGCGCTCACTTTCTAGTGAGGGGACACTCAACATTGACTGCAGCCTGGTGGCACCACTGGCTGAAGAAGAGGTGGATGAGGGTTTCCATGCTGATGATGAAGGACGGCCAACTTCCAGTCTGGTGGTCTTGAATCAGCATGGCACAAGAAACAATGATAACTACTCCGAGGAAGTTGTGGACACAAGCCTCTCACTTCTCCAAAGGGAAGTGGGAGAGGTTGCCCCTGCTCCAGGACTACCAGTGGAAAGAACCTCTAGCCCCAAGGAGCAGAGTGCCCTGCCTGACCCAGCAGAAAGCATTTACAGCACTGTCTCTGATAAACAGAAGAGTAACAGTGGAGAGGTGGGAGAGCCGATTTACACTTCCCCCCAGGATGTGGAGTCTGACTATGACCATGAGGAGTTTGATGGCTGTGGAGATGCAGGTAGCGCCTCAGCTGAGCCTCTGAATGGTGAGGAAGGTCTGAGGCACTCCCATGGTACCAGTCTGGACTCCAACCGTGGCAGCCTGGACTCAGTAAGAATCCCACCCTTCACCTTTCCAGTCATTAGTGTGATGTTTGGTGATATTTGTAACATCCTTCTCTTCTTACTGTATGCCTGCTTGCTCTGGGTATTGTTACTAATATATAGTAACATTTCATGTTACAAATGTTACATGAAATACTAATATATATATATGATATATAATACATAAAATTACTAGTATATAGTAACATTACATCCATAGTCATCTTGAAAAAAATGGAAGATCAGAGATAGGCGAAAGGCCAGAAAGCTTGTCCAGTGTCTACTGGTACACAAGCTAGCTCATATATATCTATTTTAGATTGTTTTCATCACCACATACTAACATAACACCCTTTAGGAAGACTGAAAGCAAAAAACTAGCATCTTGTTGCAACTATGCTCTGCCTTAGAGAGCTTTCACAGAAGTAGCCTGAGCTTCCAGTGGACAATCACAAAACAGAATGGGAAAGGCTGGGGTTTGATTTATTTCCATCACTAAAAATTCTCATTTCTAGTCCTATTACTGTTCACAGTCAAGGGTTTATTTTCAGCTGCTATGTATGAATTAAGCTATTTTAAAGCTAGAAACAACTACTGTGCTCATCAGGGCTGTGTCCCGGTGCACACTACCAAGACCACTGAACCTTTTCATTCCTACTGCAGGGACAATGACAGGGTAGTAAAGCTGTGCTATTAGTCTCACACTTGAAGCATCTCAGTCACCCTAGGCTCTGGACTTCCTTAGTGCCCTCAGGCTGGTTGCTTGATAATGTGACGATAAATTCCCTCACAGAACAGGATGTCAGATAAGCCCACATAAGATTATGAGGAGTTCAGGTGTGAAGCCAATGACAGCCATAAAAATACTTCAGATAAATGATGTCCCTGAGAATACAGACTTGAACTACAACATATTTTTTAGAAAATGTGTTGCATTTTTTTTTTTAAGGAATTCAACGCTGCTACTTTGCTGTTCTTTTCAAATGTCAGATTGTGACCCTTCTTAAAAAGTTGCATGACTTTTCCTGTTTGCATTTCCCTAATGTCAGCCATCAGAATCTTTAATTATGTGATCTGCTTCAGTAAAGTTATCTTCTCTGTGAGCAGGTACTCACAGATCACTGTCAGGTAATCTTCAAGTCATGAATCAGTCTGTCACAGCTTAGGCCAGTTTTTACCATTCTTCTTAAAATGTAAATAGAAGTGGAGGGTTTTATTTGGCTCCTCAGTGACTAAAGCTCATGAAAAATCCAGTTGATACTATGTCATGGCATGAGCCACAGGAACAGATGATTACATCTGGGCCAGGATCCCATCAGTAGCTGCTGATCCATGAGTACCTGCTTTTTGAAATTTAATGGCAAGAGAGGAAGAATAAATGAGTGGACCAGGAATGAAATAAAAGAGTAGTTCAAAGGGATCACAGGGAGAGGACAGAAGATGAAAATTAAAGAACATACATTTGAGGAAGGAAAAGGTCTGAGGAGCTGCCTTCATTAGTATTAATAAAGCTGATCAAAGGAATTTGTGTTTAAGGTAAAGGAAATGATAGGGTAATTTGAGATTTTGTGTGTGAAATACTTTCTTATGGCTGAGGGCCATTATCGAGTTGGAGAATGGGGATGAGTAAATACATTACTATTATTTCAGTAATTTAGGTCTTTGTTTTTAGAGTTCATTTATCCTGGAACGTGCTTTTTTTCCTAATCAACCCAAAGGCATTTCCTTGCTGGGGTTAGATCAGTGTTCCATCTTGTCCAGCATCCTGGCCTGTCTGCCAGAAAAATCAGAAAACTTACCCAAAATGAAAGATTTTCTCTTAATCCCATTAAATTAGATTTTGGACTCTGGGCTCTGCCTTGAAACAGGGAGGTTTGTTACTGCAGGTAGCTGGAGTTTTCTAGCCATGTCCACTGCCAAATGTCATTCTCCTTTCTGGTATGAAAATTCCATGCTCTGAAGACTCTTGCTTTAGGCATTAATGGATAAGCTGTCAAGCCTTTAGTTTCACTGAATTGCTTTTTTTGTAAAGGGAGTATGTGTAGTTTTGCACCTTCGGATCATGTGACTTCTCTAGCCTTGTTAATTTGCTCCAGTCCTCCTGTGGCCATTAGAGCCCAAATAGCCTGTATTTCTTCTTTTCCTTCTAGTTTCTGGACAGTGAAGAGGAAGTGGATGTTTACATTGATACAGATGAAGAGTTTTGTAATGGACGAGTCACTATCTTCAATGGCTCGGGACCACCCTATTTTCATAGCTATCTCTACATGAAAGGTAAGCAGCTTCAGCCAAAATCATGGAATCCAGGAAACCCTCTTTCTTCTTCTGTTTCTTTTTTTTTTTTTTTTTTCTTCTTCTTCTTTTATTTAAAACAAGCAAGTAAAACCAAGAACTGGGAGGTGGATGTCAGGGAATTAGACTGGATATCTTTGCCTCCAAGACCTAATTGTACCCAGTTGGTATGGGTTTAAATCACTCATTCTGAGCTACAAAACTGAAGACAGTGTGAAAATATTTGAGTAGTGCATATATTTCTGTATTTTGTGTTTGTTCTGTTTTTTCTCTGTCCAAACTTAAACATACCTTGTTTCTTGTCTTCAGCTTCTTTGTTTCATGTAGGAACTGAAGTGGCAACTGAATGCCCATGAAGCAGGATCGGAATGGAAACGTGGCTCTTGCATGCCTGATGAAATCTTGCTCCCTTGCTTTGCAGGAGGTCTCATGAACCCATGGAGGCGGCGCTGGTGTGTGCTGAAGAACGAGGCCTTCATGTGGTTCCGCACTAAGCAAGAGGCACTGAAGTCAGGCTGGCTCTATAAAAAAGGCGGAGGCATGTCAACGCTTTCACGCCGCAACTGGAAACGCCGTTGGTTTGTGCTTCGAGAATCCAAGCTGATGTACTTTGAGAATGATAGTGAGGAAAAGCTGAAGGGGACAATTGATATCAGAAGAGCAAAGTGAGTGAAGAAATAAATCCTTTTGATGTCTAGTCTTCACTCTCTCAGTCAATAATGAAGGGTCCAGTGCTGGCAGTTCATTGGCCTATGTATCCCCCATAGGGCTAGGAGAATCAGAAACATAAGGGAAGGAAAAGACAATTAGAGCTTCTAGTTTTACTCTGGAGGGCCTCTGGTAAGAACTTGATAGTTCTTTTTCCAGTCTTGCATTTCATAATCTGGCAGAAGCTCTTTCCAAGCCATGGACTGAGCCAGACCGGGAGGGACTAATTAAGTACATACCCCATGCATTCTCCCCTGCCCTGACTCCCATCTGTTTCCTGGCTTCTCCAGGCATTTCACAGAGGTGGTATGAAGCTCACAGCAGGATTTGAATTTGGCGGCATATACTATGCCTTTTCCTGAGTCCTGAACACTCTTTTTGCTGCCATAGCCAGTTCCTCAGCTCCTGCTGTAAGAAAGACTAGTCACCTGTTAGCCTTATGTGGACCTGCAAAGTGCCAAAAAGAGTGGCACACCCCACTTTGTAAACAGCCCTCCCTGTTATCTCTATTTCCATATAGTCTGCTGGTGTCTTGCAAGAAAATCCATTTAATGCCTTAAACTTTGCTTTTCTAGTAGATAACTGTACTCATCTTTGTAAGGGGATCCTAAAAGTCTTAAAGTATATTAGAGGAATTTTGTATTTCTGTCAGAGTTAGAAGCCATCTGAACCAGTGATTTCTCTTCTGTATGGTGACGGTACAATGTGAAAAAAATTGGCCGGGTGGAATTTATGCCTGTGAAAGTTTTTCAGTTTTGGCTCTTGTGATTTGCTGTGTTCCAGGGAGATTGTTGACATTCATGAAAAGGAGAATGCCTTGGACATTGTGACAGAAGACCGAGTTTATCACATTGTTGCAGAGTCACCAGAAGATGCCAGGTATAAGAGGGAGTTTTGTTAGGTTTGTTCAGTTAGTGCAGGTCTGACCCAGCTACTCATGGGAGAGTCTGGGAAACATAATCACTTCACTTCTGCTGGATAAAAGAGGGGATTAATTCCAGAGTGTTGTTTTGTGCTTACTGGGAGGTACCGCACCTACTCTGTGGACTCCATGTTGCAGCTACTGAGATGGTGCTTCAGCCTATCAGTCAGTCACAGGACTGCCACCTTCTTATGTGGCTGTGAGCATGCCGAATTCAAGGGTTACTTCAGGAGACATACAAAACCTTAATATAAACTGGAACATCTAATAGCTGATTTATTTATTAAATGGAATCTTGAATCAAACAAAAAGTCTATTCATGTTGTCTGTAAATGATTGCGAGAGCAGCTGGGTTTTATCCAGGAGACAGAGAAAAGGCTGCAGCTTATCAGAGTCTGTAGTGTCATCTGATAAAATCTTCCCAGTGCAAAGCAAACAAATGACTCATGTCCTTCCTTCTTGGCGTCCTGGCCAGGCAGTGGGAATCAGTTGTTTAAGGGCAGGTTGGACAACCTGTGCTGGCTATGTAAAGCCAGGTTAAGAGGTTACTGTCCCTAGCTGCTCGTGTCTTCCCGATTTTCCGACTCTTACCACGGCTTCCCTTCTCTCAGACCAGCCAGTGTAACTGTTTCCCTGATCTACTTTAATCTGATTCTGTGGAGTTATTTAGGGTCTGTTACTATTTCAGTTGGGTGTAGGGAGAGGAAAGGGGAAAGTGTTTGGACACAAGTTAACAGAAATAGACCAAGGAACAGCCACCTGACCAGGAAACAGACAAATTCAAGGGACAGTAGCTGAAGAAACAGTAACTTCTTAGCCCAGAACTTCCACGGCTGGAATAGTCATGCCCTAAAATAACATTGCAGAATTGCTAGGACAAGGGTAAAGCAAATGTGGCCTCTGTCAATGCCATTTTAGTCTCTGCTCTGAGGGAGAAGAAAGCACCAGCACTTGAAGTAGCAAAGGGCAGATTAGCAGATGTTGTAGAGGATCCAGTTTGAGAATTCCTCCACGAAGTCTAGATGTTTGCTGATCTCACTGGAAGCTACAGATAAGAATCTGCTTGTTCTGCCACACAGATTAGCCTCCGGATATGTCTGTAATGGGAAGCTCTTTCACAGACAAATCACTTAATTCCAAATTAACTTGTGAAAAACTCCACGATTAATTGACAGACATACGACTTTCAAGTTTATGAGCAGATCAGAGAGAGACTAGTTTAAGACGGCTCCCAGGTATCTCTGGGACTCTAGTCCAAGAAGATTCCCAGCTGACCATTTCTTTACAACTGCTGTATGCTCTTTTCAGTCTGTTGACATGCTCCCTGGTAAGGCCACGGCCTGCTTACAGTTACTTGAATAGCAAGTAGAAAACTGGATTTTGTGGGAGCAGCTGTCAGTGGGTTGGAGAACGTGCACAGAAGTTTCATGGATAAATAATGAGGAAGGGAGACGGTAGAATTTGGTATGATAAGCCCAAGAGATATTTTGTAGCATAGTCCTCAGGAAATTGTGAATGAAGAAATTTTCCCACTGGCAGCTTTCCAGGTTCCTTGATCATGTTCTAGAGATAGTTTTCACTGCCCAAATCTTAACTTGGAGTCTCCTCTCATTGCCAGCGGTTGGTTTAATGTCCTGAGCCGAGTACACAGCGCTACAGCACAGCAGCTGAGGGAAATGCAAGATGAACAAGCCAATCCAAAGAATGCTGTGGTGAGTTACTGTGCAACCAGTCTGTGGGCTTGCTTAGAGCCCTCTGGGTTTAACTATTTTGTGCATGTTTTTCGAGCACATGCAGTGTTGTAGTTCATGAGCAGTATACAGAAGTTGGACGATTATTATAAAGAAACAGCAAAGCTCATAGAAAGGAGGGTAAGCAGTGGGGAACAGGGTGGTTGTGGTAGGTCTCAGCTTGATCACCAGTAGCAGTCTTTGGCTTGAGGGGGACTGCCTCATGCAGATAAAATGTCTTTGAATGGGATTATGGGACTAGTCTGGGTCACAGTTATTCCAGACAGAAGATACACAGTTGGGAAGAACAATGTATTTATGTGTTTTGCTAGTACTGAGATACTAGCAAAGATTATTTCAGACCTTCATAATGCTCTCTGGAAATATGTAGCTCTTTTTCCTCCAGTCCTGTGGAGCCCTTGCACATCTCTCATGCTGTTTAGGGAGCAAAGATGACTCACTTGTGCCTTTCTCATAAGTTCATTTCTACTCAAGCTATTGGAATTCAGAAGAATGTTTTCAGTTTCAATCCTGTTCATGAAGGAGAATGTCTAATTTAAGGTGCAAGTAATTCTTGTTATCTGTGTCTTTCTCACTGTACAGGGAACCCTGGATGTTGGGCTTATTGACTCTGTCTGTGCCTCAGACAATCCTGATAGGTAGGTGCAGCAACCTGACCATCTCTTAGATCAGAAACTCTCTAATGTATTTTTGTGGATAGGTCCAGGTTTTCTCTAGGGTTTGCATTTGTTTAAACTCACAAGATATATCTCCAAAGAAATAAACATAACTGAAGTCTTTAGCTTGTTTCAAGCTATGTCACTTCACAGGCATGAAGTTCACATGTGTATTTTCTTTGAAGTGAAAGTTTCTCCTTTTCCTCTTAAAAGTGGAAAAGGCATAATCTCAGTGTCAAGAAATTATAGTCTTACCTTTTATTAACACTGAATAAAAATGTCCAGCAAAAGCAGCACTTCGAGTTTTTCAACAGTAATTTTAAGTTAATCTTGTAAATTGAGGGGAAAGAAACAGCACTGTGGAAGAATAATGGATGAATTTAGAAATCTGTACTCTTCTTGAAATATTTGCAGTGCAACAGAGCACAGACCTTTAGTTCACAGATTGGATAGTTTCAGAGACGAGATTATGGGACATTTCATATCACTTTATGTTAACATTTAATTATTTCCCACAGTGTTAACAGGTTCAGCCTGGGCAAAGATTCTTACTACAGTGCTGAAGTAAAATGTTAGCTATTAAGTTATTTATCTCTGTGGTCTGTTTTTTTTTTCTCACACGGGTTGCCAGGACTTTGGGGTTGCTAGTTTAGAAAATGCATATCTCAGTAGTGAACTAAGATTTCAATGATCAGAATGTTTTAGCCGGTTCTCAGCCTGGGCTCCTCATAGTTAATCTGTGTACCAGTAAAAAAACTAGGCACAAATAGTAAGCTGAACAGTCAAAATTTGTTCATGCATCTGCTGAGGTACACTCTTCTGGAGTATCAATATTTGAATCAACATTAAACAAATTCTGAGGTGAATGCTTATTTTTCAACCAACGTTTTTATGCAGCTTATTTTTATTTTCTTACCATTTTTATATTTTATCTTCTGTTTACACAATGGCCAGACAGTTACTTGATTTACACCTTTTACCTTTTGCTTCATACTTGCATTATACATTTCAGTTTCCCTGTTTTCTCATAGAAATCCATGTTTGCTTTCAAAGCTTTCTGAGTCTATCCTCTTGAAACTGGTCATATTTTTATTTCTTCATTTTCCTGTAAATCATCAATTCTGTGCAGAATTGTGATTGTTCTTTTGATAGGACATATTTGTCTGTTGCAAGAGAAGTCATCTAGGAGCAAAGTCATCTAGGAGCAACATAACAGTTTTTCCTCTGTTTTGGCAGGATCAGCTCATCCTTTTCAAAACCAGTCTCAAACCTATTTTAGCCGACCCTGCTGGGATCTATGTGTGCTCCTGCATCACTGGTTTTAATGAGGAGAGTGGCCATGCTAGCTCAGCCCAGTGGTAGTAACACTAGCTCAGTCCGATCAGAGGGTGGAACAAAGTCATTTGCTTATGAACCCAGGACATTTTACAGGTGGTCATTAGCTAATTAATGTTCTCTAGTCTTTGGAAATAGCTTTTGAAAGATGATTAATTCCATTTACCTGGTTTCTGCATTCATCAGTGTGCAGACCAACTGCACAGGAGATGCTCTTAAGTGTTTCTACACTTCTCTGTAGTTTATATTCAGAGAATCTTCCAGCATTGTTTATGGGAAGGTCGAGAACATGGCTTTGGGTATGCTTTGTGTTGAGATATTGGTTTAGTTACAACTAATTTTAATGCTTTTATTTTCTGGCAGACCAAATTCTTTTGTGATCATCACAGCAAATCGAGTGATTCACTGCAACAGTGACACCCCTGAGGAGATGCATCACTGGATCTCCCTGCTGCAGAAACCGAAAGGCGAATCTAAGGTTGATGGCCAGGAATTCCTTGTGAGAGGTGAAAGGAAATGCATGCAGTTATGACATGTGAAACTTAATCTTCCGTTTATGATCTGAGGGGGACGTTTGATTGCAGCTAATCCAATCTAAGGTTTAGCTGCTCCACAAAAACAATCATTCTTAGCCCCTCTCGACCTTCCAGCTTGCTACATCCTGTGTTGTGCTGGCACTGGCTCTTACTTGATTCCATGTCAGGTGGATTCAGAAAGCTAAAGCTAGAAAAAAAAAAAGGTACTTCTTTATACATTTAGGTTTCTGATCTTAGCTCCATAGCCTATTCAGGCATGCCCAGCAAATGCCATCAGGGAATAGGAGGGAACATGGCTGCTGTTTAGGAGCAGCTGGTTTAAACTGACTATAACATGACACTGCAGCTTTTGTTTTCAGAAAGCTCTATTCCTTCTGACACCTGTCATGTAGAGAGGGAGGGAGATCTTTGTGGGATTGCTGCTGTCCACAGCTACACAGACTAACCTGATTGTGGTAGACACAGTGAGGTGAGAATAATGCTCTGAGGCTGAGCAAAAGATTTAAATTATGTCTCTAGTTAGAGCTTAATTGGAAATGGAGGAGCTGATGCATGACACATACTACAAAATATTCCCCCATTTTTCTCAAATATTTTTACATTTCCGTAGTAATTTCAGCTCATTATAGAGTCTTAAATGTGTGAAGACACTCCTGATCCAATCTGTGGAAAGCAAGTGCATGAGCAAATTGCCTTACATTTTTCACGAAGTATATTCAAGGGACTAAAGGTCTGAGAGGGGTCATGGCAAGGCAGGAGGACAAGAAAAGAGTCACCAAAAAGTGGTGTAAGCTTTCCATTCTAGTCTTAAATTCAAGGAGATTAAATGATATAAAGCAGATCAGACAACAGATTGAGTACCTTAAATTCAAAATAATTCCAAGGCAACACTTTCTTTTATCTCATATTGGTCATCAGTTAAAGAAAAAAAGGAACGCTCCCTTGCAAAGTCATTGTATGCTCTACACGTCACAGCAAGATGTCTGTGTGACAGTGGTGTGGGCACGAAGGCATATATTTGGGAAAGTCTATTTTCTCTTTATGTGGAACCTCTGACTTCAATCCCACAATCTTTGAACTTTCTGCCTTGTGGGTGGACATCGCTTTTTACAGCTCTGAATAGAAGATTGTCTTTTTGACAGCTATAGCAATGCAGACTGTAATTTTTTCTTTAAATTTTGTTATATTTTTTCTTTTTTCTTTTGTGAGAAGTCTAAAATGGAAGAAAAATTATTTTTCCTGACCATGGGAGGATGTGTGTAATGCTTACAGTTCTTTCTACTAGAAGACATGTATCACCAAACCTCTTCCATCGAGGTTTGGATAGGCATTTGTAATCTCTTTGGAAAAATGAATTGTAAATTAGTCAGATGATGTGACTTGTGAGGGAAGCATCCTGAATAGAGGATGACCTCATGGTGATGGCAAACTAAACTACAGATCATTGATAAAATATACATGGGTCTGAAGGATGGAACAGCTGCATGAAAAATTTTGGGCTAAATTCTTACAGTGACTGTGCAGGATACTGCTATAGCCAGTAAAGCAGAGCTGGTAGTCCCAGCATGAGCTTTTTCCAGAGAGGTGGAGTTCTGGTCCCAGAGTAAGAGAGCCACCAGGCAAGAGACAATATTGCTCTGGTGGTGAAATCATTGACATGTTTGTGCTCCTGTGCTAGGGTGGCTTCATAAAGAGGTTCAGAGCAGCAACAAGATGTCATCTCTGAAGATGAAGAAACGCTGGTTTGTTCTGACAAACACTGCCCTCGATTACTACAAGTCATCTGAGCGCACAGCTGCCAAGCTTGGCACGCTTGTGCTGAATAGCCTCTGCTCCATAGTGCAGCCTGATGAGAGGGTCTTCAAAGACACAGGTAAGAGGAAGAAAGCGGTAATGAGCAGACTGTCCATGTGTGGAGTTACCTGAAGAGGTAATGGTGTGTCATGTTGAGAAGGTAGTGTTGGTGTTAGTTGAGGCTCTGTGTCTGGCTGCAAACATCTTTCCCCACAGAAACTGTAAAGCACTTGCAAAGGGCCAGAGAGTAGTGTGCAAGTGACGGTAAGTCCCTTACACCTGATGGAGGTACATGGTGCTGATATTTTTTCACTGAGTAGTGTTACAGTTTATCTGTTTCCCAGATAGGGAAAGGGGCATGAGTTCTTACAGTTGACACTGTAATTATCAGTACATCTCCCTAAGTGTCACTTTGTAGCATGACCTACATTTGTCTCTGGGGTCAATGTTATTCTCTTAAATAACAGCAGTGGCATACACTGCTAAGTCTTCTTTGTAGCATCTCTCAACTTGTTAGAAATAAAAGATGACATGAGTCTGTGCTGGCTTTCTGTGCAGCATGACAGTTCTGGGAAGGTAGGATCTGGGATGATCCTCCATTGCTTGCCTTAGGAGTTTGGGAGGGAACTCAAGTTATGTGACGAAGGGTGAATCCCCCTGACAAAGAAGGTGAACCTTAGAACAAGACTTGAAATACTGGGCATTTGAGTAGTGGAGTTATTTGTGATATTTTTAAAAGGGCTGGAAGCATTTAGTAAAATGAGATAAGAGGAAATTTATTCTGCTCACTCACAAGAAATTGTCCATGTTTTTGAACGCAACAGATGTCTAGGACTGCCTTTAGCAGAGTGGATTGTCATTGCCCTGACATGTTCTCCATTTATGCCAAATACATTATTTTTTCAAGTTATGAGGATTGATTTAGCAATCTGGCTGTATGCTGTGTAGAGTGGTCATTTTCTGCATGATTAATAGCACAGTATAGCCCAAACCCTGTCTGTGAAAGTGAGTGAGCTGCCTGGTTGGCAGGGAAGTATTCCTGTTACACTGCAAGGTACTTGTAGCTTGGAAAGCTGTCATTGTACCAAAACTTGGATTGGGACCTTTGTGCTGATAAAGACATTTTGGGAATGGGGGGATATTAATGTCTAGTCAGTTTTAACCAGACATACCATATGTTGTTATCAAAACAGCAAGGGTTTCCCTCAGCCACATGACATGCTACAGACAAAAAGAGAATCATAGAATCACTTAGGTTGAAAAGATCTTTACGATCATTGAGTCCAACTGTTAACCTAACACTGCCAAGTCCACCACTAAACCATGTCCCTAAGCACTGTGTTTACACATCTTTTAAATACCTTCAGGGATAGAGATTTCACCCCTTCCCTGGGCAGCCTGTTCCAATGCTTGACAGCCCTTTCAGTGAAGAAATTTTTCCCAATATACAATCTGAACCTCCCCTGGCACAACCTGAGGCCATTTCCTCTCATCCTATCGCTTGTTACTTGAGAGAAGAGACTGGCACCCACCTTCCTACAACCTCCTTTCAGGTAGTTGTAGAGAGTGATGAGGTCTCCCCAGAGCCTCTTTTTCTCCAGACTAAACCCCAGTTCCCTCAGCCACTCTTCATAAGACTCATGCTCTAGACCCTTCACCAGCCTCGTTGCTTTTCTCTGGACACGCTCCAGCGCCTCAGTGTCTTTCTTGAAGTGAGGGGCCCAAAATTGAACACAGTATTTGAGATGTGGCCTCACCAGTGCTGAGTGAAGGGGCACAATTACTTCCCTAGTCCTACTGGCCACACTATTTCTTATATAAGCCAGGATGCTACTGGCCGCCTTGGTCACCTGGGCACATTGCTGGCTTATAATCAGCCAGCTGTTGACCAGCACCCCCAGGTCTTCTCCTCCTCCAGTCAGTTTTCCAGCCACTCTTCCCAAGCCTGTGGCATTGCATGGGGTTGTGTGACCCACGTGCAGGACCCAGCACCGAGCTTTGTTGAACCTACACAGTTGGCCTCTGTCCATCAATCCAGCCTGTCCAGATCCCTCTGTAGAGCCTTCCTCCCCTCAAGCAGATCAACACTTCTGCCCAGCGTAGTGTCATCTGCAAACTTACTGAGAGTGCACTTGATCCCCTCATCCAGATCCTTGATAAAGATATTAAACAGAACTGGCCCCAGTACTGAGCCCTGGGAACACCACTTGTGACTGGCCACTAACTGGATTTAACTCCATTCACTTTCTGGGCCCAGCCATCCATCCAGTCTTTCACCTGGTGAAGCATATGCCCATCCAAGCCATGAGCAGCCAATTTTTCCAGAAGAATGCTGTGGGAAACAATGTCACAGATTTTACTAAAGGCTAGGCAGATGAGTTGGTTTAAGCCCTGCCAGGACCGGAGACCACGTTGCCGTTGTCCTTCCCCTACCCTCGGACACAAGTAGGGCACAAACCCCTGGTTGAAATAAGAAGAAATTTAATACAACAGTGTAATAAGCCATCTGAACAACAACAGTAGCAATGATAACAGTAAACAAGACAAAAGCTATACAGAGAAATACCACAATGGTTACAGACAGCCTCGTGCTCCCTGCAACCAAAGCCACAAAGGAAAAAGTTCCCGCGCTGATGCACTGGACCTGATGTCATCACGGTATGAATAACCCGGCTGGAGATCCCTTCCCCCTGTCTGCTGGAGAAACTTAACCCTATCCTAGCTGAACCAGGACAGCAGACAACATCCATAGCCTTTTGCTTATCCACTAAGTGGGTGACCTTGTCATAGAAGGAGTCAGGCAGGTTAATCAAGCTGGACCTGCCTTTCATAAACGCTGACTGGCCCTGATTGCCTGGTTGTCCCATACGTACTGCATGATGGCACTGAAGATGATCTGTTCCTTCCCCTGAACCTTCCCCAGCACTGAGGTCAGACTGACAGGCCTGTAGTTCCCTGGATCTTCCTCCCAGCCCTTCTTGTAGATAGGCATCACATTTGCTAACCTTCAGTCAGCTGTAACATAAAAGCAAATTTCACCTTCCAGCTTCTCTGTTTCTCCACAGGCTATTGGAACATCATTGTCCATGGGCGAAAGCACTCCTACAGACTGTACACAAAGCTGTTGAATGAAGCTATGCGTTGGGCCTCTGCCATTCAAGGTGTCATTGACAGCAAAGTTCCTATAGAAACACCTACACAGCAACTCATTCGTGACATCAGGGTAGGTGGCAGTATGCTAATTCCCAAGTGAGTTGGGAGCAGCCAGATCATCACTGGCCTTACCCAGTCACTGCTGAGAATGTGGCAAGAAATGGGTTTGCTGTATTAGGGGGGAGGGGAAAAGAAAAGTAAAAAAGAAACATAAAAGTGCAACTAAATAATCAAGCCTTATGTGAATTTTAGTTTGAATTAGCACGTTAACTGATACACATAAGTCTAGGCTACAGCTGTGTGCAATTACAAATTGCATGCAGGATTACACCATCAAGTATTTGCAGATCCCTGCTTCATCCTTTCCTCTCCTAAGCATCCTCTGGACACAAATATAAAAATTTCCATTTCTAGCAAGTACGTGACTTTACTGTACCCTGAAGTCCTCTTTGTATCCGAGGCTTGTGTGGTTAAATAGCAAAGTAAAGGGTGGAAAGAAAATGTCCTTCAAAATAGCAGAAATTGTGCCACTGCAGCAGGAGTAATTTTTGAAAAGGCTTCTTTCCAGAAACTGCAACAAATGAAACATAGAATCATATTAGAAGAGACACAAAAGCGTATTTCAGAAGAAATGTATATGTAAACCTATACGCTGTGATGAGCTCCATGCTAGATGCAATTAGATAACTATTCAGGAAGAAAGATCTGGGAGTGATTGTGGAGTATCCTGGAAAACTTAAGCTTGGCATTCAAGGACAAATGGAATATTAAGTATTGTTAGGGAAGGATTAAAGGACAAAATGCAGAAGAATGTGATGCCAGTGTGTATGATAGTCACAGGCCCAGAATTTGAACACCATATGCATATTGGTTGTCCATTCTCTAAACATATGTAGTACAACCAGACAAATTCAGGGAGTATAGGCTCATTATTACATACTAAACATGGTGGATCTGTGGTCAGAAAGTCCATTAACCATTTACTGTTGAAAGCTTGAAGGATATACGAGGGAGGATTCATGCATACATACCTGTTACATGCCTGTATTAGGTATTAGCCACAAGCCACATTGGAAGTCAAGATCCTGTGCTTGGTGACCTTTGGTATGACGCAGCATGGCTATTCTTATGTTTAATTTTCAGAAATAGTGTACAAAGTAATTTATATGTAAATTATGCTTTGGTCATCTAGTCCCTTGATGGACCTCCAGAAACTTAGATAAAGATGGTTGAGCTTGAACCTAGATGTCTAAGGACATGTGAAGGAATGTCCCCATTTGATTATAATTTTTAATTTTTTTTCCCCCCAGGAAAACAGCACAAACTTTGAAGTAGTGGAACAGACATACAGGAGGAACCCAATCTTGCGATATACCCAGCACCCCTTGCATTCCCCCTTGCTCCCACTACCATATGGAGATGTTAGTGTCAACTGTAAGTATTTTACCCATGTGACAGAATCTGCTCACATTTTGAGGATCAGTGTGAAGCCTGAGCACCACAAAAGTGATCTGTAAACTCACTCTATGCAGGTGAAGTCTGTTTGGGGCAGTGTAGCCTACAGGGTTCAGAGAGGGAGCAGTCCCTTTCTCTGTGTTGAATGTATTCTGTGTCAGTTGTCTCATATCTTCAGAACACTGAATCTTAAAGTAAATGAGGTCAGATAGTTTTATCATCCATCTGGGGGATGTCAGCCTGTTATCCTTGAGCTGCAACTGGGTTGCAAATGGCTCCAATGGAAATTCTACAGCAGGATTACACCATGCAGTGGTATAGTATTCATACAGAAACTGCTGTTAAAAAAAAACAGACTAAATGAATCCTTCCTTCAAATACTTCTGGAACATGAAAGAGCTAGACTGTTTGATAGGCCACCAGAAAAATGAAGGGATTTTCTGATGATTCCAGGCTGATACTAAAACTGAATACCACTGCTGAAGACCTATAGAAGAATATCTAATGTGGAGTTACTGGCCCACAAAATCTTTTCAGAAATTAATTCCAATCTGGATATGCAAAGCAATGTATATGGGAAAAACAGTCTGCCACATAGGTAGTGATCTAGTTCTGCTTAGGAAACTGAACACAAATTTACATAGCTTTATGAAAATGTCAACTCTTTCACTGAGCAGAGAAACAAAACAGCTAATGCAAGGTTTTGAAAGCTTAGAAAAGGAAGAAAGTCTTTGTGTGGCTGTATTGATTTTTCATGCACCTGAATCTTGAATATAGGATGCAGTTTGGCCTTCAACATCTTGACAAAGGTATAGAAGTAGTAAAAATCTACCCAGAGATGATCAAAGGCATAAAAAGACTTGCCTACAATTAAAAGGCCAAATAGAACAGGACTCTTCAGCCTCAAAAAAATGTTTTTAGGGCTGGAGGACTGTGATACAGAAAATAAAAGGGGGATAACTGCTCTCTGTCTCTCTTGATACAAGGATCAAATTAAGCAGCAGATTAAAAGCACAGAAAAAACAAACTCTGAAATACAGAAAGACTACAGAGCAGGTACTTAGACTGTGGAACTTACTGCTACAGGGTTGTGTTTTTGTATTGTATAATGAATGCATGGCCACTGGGGAGGCAATGGCTGTATCAGAGATTCAGAAGGGTGTCCAGCCCCAGAGATGTGCAAAGGAAGATGCAAGCCTGCAGCAGTATGATATCACATAATTCTCAGCAATTCAAAGCAGACATTCAAGTGCTTAAAAAACATAGCCAGTCTTGGTGTAGGCATTTTAAATCTAAATGATAGATAAAAGCTGCATCTGTGGTACAGCAGTTTACCAGAATTCTGTGTTGGCTCAGGGGTCAAAGCTAATACAGGCACAACACAGAATTTTGGAAATATACAACCCAGGCTGCGGTGTCCATGTTCAGGCACCTAAAGCCTTAGCTGCTTTAGTGACTGTTTTACCAATTATCAGGCCTAGCATAAAGGACACAGCCAGCATAAAGATGAACCAGTAACCAAATTGCATTGGATACAAAAGGGTCAGTACACGGGTGAGCGCTGTGGGTACAAGCAAGTCAGATTATACATAATCAACATCAATCCCACTGACCCCAACAACAACACTGCACAACCAACAATGGTTGGAATAAATGGTGAAATTCAGTCTCCCATAGAAGGGATGGGAGACAACTGAGTCAACAACCCAAATACATAAGACCAAGGAAGCCACATACTGAATCTCTACACAACCCCCACTTACAAAAGCCAGACCTGACTGGAGCCCAGTTCCAGGGAGGCAGGAAGTCCTTCCCCAACAGGGAACTCTGCACAGGACATCCACCTCACAGACAGACACTGCCCCTGCCTGCAAGTGGTCCCAGCTTTTATCCCTCAGTGGACACCTGACCTTTGTTACTGAATGTGGGACACCTGAGTCTCATTTATCCAATGGCTCTGCCTGCAAGGCCAGCCCACCCTGGAGGGAAGCCTAAAGGCAAACTCACCCCCCCTTTGTGAAGGGCTGTGGGAATCACCCATGTGTCAACCTTAATTTGGGGCTTGGGGTTGAAACCCCAGCATTTCAGTGACCCTTTGCTTCATAGCTGCTCTCAGGTGAGGAAGCAATTTAGACAGAGATGACTTCCTGCCACCACTTCACCCGTGTCTGCAGATGAGGTGCCTAAACCTCTCTCTTGGCACCTCATCTGCAGACACTGAAGCTAAAACTACATTTCAATGATAGTTTCCCTTAAAAACATTACTTTGCTTTTCTGCACAGTATATCCAAAAATGCATTTGCAGTGCTAGCAAGCTAGATGTTGGCAAATACTAATTAAAACTGCATTTGCACATTTAAAGGAGAAGGGTTAATGAATTTTGAGTATAAATTTAAGTTCAAGAGATGAGCTAACGCTCAGGCTGCTGCTTTTCTGTGACAGACTAGTACGGTCGCTCGTAGTGTTGCTGGGCCAGTAGAAAATGAGGGAAATGCTGACCTCTTGTCACCTTTGTGGTCATTCCCCAGTGCAACAGGAGAAGGGTTACAGCAGCTTACAGGACGAAGCAGTGAAGATCTTTAACTCCCTTCAGGAAATTGAGACAGTGTCTGACCCCATACCCATTATCCAAGGCATTCTGCAGACCTGCCATGATTTAAAGCCCCTCCGTGATGAAGTGTACTGTCAGCTCATCAAACAAACTAATCACATGCCGCATCCCAACAGTACTGGGAACCTGCACCACTGGCAGCTGATGTCGTGCATGAGCTGCACTTTTCTGCCCAGTAGAGGAATCTTGCGCTACCTCAAGTTCCACCTTAGAAGGTAAATGTCCTTTGCACTGACAGTCTGTTTCTCTTCTCTTTGCTTATCTTCCACTGCCTGTTGTAGTTATCTGTCTGGCCCTCCTCCTGTACAAACATCTTCCTGTGGTGTTGCAGCCTTCTACCTTTGTGCACAATTCTTGCTACCAGTTGTTCTGTTGTATTCAAACTCCCCCCTTGCCACCCACCTGTTGTGTCGAAAGGATGTGGAAAGTAAGGCTACCCAAACAGAATACCGTGAGACTGTGTTAAAGTGGATTTACTGCTAATGACCTGCTGCTTACTAATGTCCCTATAAACATTCTCAGCCTGCAGGAAAGGTGAGGACCGTACTTTCATATACATTGAAATATCTACTACCTTGCAGCTGCCACAGGCAAAACGTGTACTGTGGAGTAGTAGATATACTGTAAATCAAATTTATAATTTTTCAGTATTTGCTTAACTAAGCACATAATGGTCACAATTTGCATTTCTAATTTGCTTTAACCTCCAATTTTCATGAACTAAATCATTCACATTTCTTCCCAATTCATCTTCAGCATCTAATGCAGCTTTTCAAAGCAGTCTGCATTGGGGCTGAGCTGCAGCCATGTAGCCTCACTCTGTTCATTAATGGTGAGAAAGGTCAATAAAATCTATTTGATTCCTTCCAAGCTAGGAAAGACTGATCTAAAATTTGTGCCAATACACCAAATACCTACATCCAGGGCCTGGTTCTAAGATATGCTGAAGAATACTCCCATGTTGCTATTTCATGTTTTTATCACTGGAGTTGCAGAAAATATTGTACTTAGAACGGCTTACCTTGGAGGGAAGAGAATCATGTACAAACATCTACTTTCTGTCTTCCCGATTCTGAAAAATACTGTAAAAGTGACTCAAGCACAGCCAGCAAATTAAAAAGCAATTAAGAATAAATGAAAAAAAAAAAAAAGGTTACACTTGATTTTATTGGTTTTAATCTCAATTTTGTAAATTGAGGTAGTCAATCTTCAGATGGTACTAAACTCCTAAACTTATTTCATACATGGCTGAGAAATGCCACTGAAGTGACTTTGGAATTACTAGTAAAAAGAGGTTGTATGGTTTAGAAAAGTGGGTTCGTTCTTCCTCTGGTTACACTTGACATCCCTGTCTCTACAGATCTCTCTACATAGTAGTCCCAAGTTATATGGTAATGTGCATGCTTTCTGGTTCACTGTGTAATGGGTTTTTTTGCTCCTCTTTACAATTAGGGTAAAAGATCTCTTTCCAGGCTCAGAAATAGACAGGTATGCACAATTCATAAGTGACTCCCTGAAGAGAACAAAGACAAGGGAGTTTGTGCCCTCGCAGGATGAAATACAGGCTCTTCTCACCCGTGAAGAAATGACCACGACAGTGTACTGCCATGGCGGTGGCTCCTGTAAAATAACCATCAATTCTCACACAAGCGCTGGGGAGGTAATGTATTAGTAGCATTAACCAGATGTAAGCACATGTTCATGTCACAATACTGGGTCTGTTGAAGGGACGCCTTTTTCCCATTCATCTCCAATTTCTCATTGTTTTTTTCTTAATTAAAATTTTTTTGCTGTATCCACAAAGTCTGTAGGGAAAAAACAGTTTATTCTGCAGGTTCAGAATTATGCAAGGCCTATTTTTGGACTGTAGAATATCACTTGGCAATCGTGTTGCAGAATCTAAACACTTTAGGTGTTCTGCCCATTGGAAAGGTAATAATTCTGAAGACTTGCTAAACACAGTTTTCTGGACATGTTGAAATTCCAGTTCATAATGTAATTCTTCTGGAAGGGATATTCTACCAGTAACTTAATTGTTAGCGGGTCAGAAGAAAGATTCCAGGTTATAGTAGGCATGTCTGTGAAAACATTAGTGCTAAACGGAGGTAAAAATAATAGTAAAGAGTGGAATTGTTACTAGAGCTGCCGAGAATATTATCATTTAAATCCATTATGTGTTTGTATCTTGTGCAGAGTTCTAATTCCTGGCTCTTCAACAGGGTAGTGAAGATTGAAACGGTTCAGAGAAAAACAGCAAGGATGATCAAATTTCTCTCTTTAGTTATTTTTAGATTAAAGAAATGTGATGGAGGTCTATGAAATGATGAGTGTCCTGAAGAGGTACTGATTCTTCATTGTTAAAGTGTGTGTAGTACCCACTCTGTGATCTGTCTCTCTCTGATTTTGCAGGTGGTTGAAAAGCTGATCCGAGGTTTAGCAATGGAGGACAGCCGTAATATGTTTGCACTCTTCGAACATAATCAGCAGGTGGACCGTGCTGTTGAGAGTCGGGTGATTGTGGCTGATATCTTGGCCAAGTTTGAGAGGTAGAAGAATGTTTCATAAAACTAACTCCTAGTGGATGTAACACTGGGTTAAGTGATAGTACAGTCAGGTAGTTTTATCCAAAGCAGCTGCAGTGATTTAACAGTTCACTCTGGCTTGAACTTCCCTTTGGTAAGCTTCAAGTGCTCTTTCTCACTGTGTAGAAAACCACATTCACAACTATTTTGGTGACAAAGAAGCATTCTTTATCAGGCTTGTCAGGACAAAATTAGTAGTGCCTTTATCGGAGTCAATTTACATCATAATAGCTACATCAGAAGAGAGAGCAAAGATTTGGGCATAGAAATATAGCTTCAATTTCTTACTGTCAACTGTGATTTTGTGGCCAGACTTAGAAAGAAAGCAATAAATTGTGAAAGAAGCTGGCAGTGCCATTGTCTATTTTATATCTGTTCTAAAAACAAAAATAAAACAGTTCCAAATGGTGGCAAGGCTGATGATTTTCACAGACACAAGATTGCATGGAAACAGTATCTTGAAAATGGGAAATACTTTATGTCCTGCCTCCAACTCTTGGCATTTATCTAGAACCGTTGATCTGATTTTCTGATCAAGTCTATCTGATAAAAACTTTGGGTTCTTCTGAATCAAAATTTTGTGTGAGTCAGAAGAAAAAATGAAAGTTACCAGAAAAGTCTGCTGCACTGTGATTGTCCTGGTAAATGAAGTAGTTCTGTATGTCCTCTGTTTCAGAAATCCAAGGGAACCTTCATATTGTGAGCTGCACTGTGGACATCCCAGCACTGTGGTGCTTCTGGTTAATTTTTTTTTTTCCCCTCTCATTCTCTTTCTTATCTTACAGACTTGCTGGCTCTGAAGATGAAGAAGAGGAAGGACAGTGGCAGCTGTATTTTAAGCTTTATTGCTTCTTGGATATTGAGAATGTTCCCAAAGATGGGGTGGAATTTGCCTTCATGTTTGAACAGGTAATCCCACTCTTGGAGAATGATTTTGGCAGAAGCACACAAGAGTATACAGAAAACTGTCTTACCTTTGCATTACAATTGGGAATTCTGGTTGGAACAGAAGAATTTAGTGTGTTGGATTTTTGCCTGGAATGTACCAAGCATATACTGCAAAGTTCTCTAGAGAATCAGAGTATTAGAACAAAAGCAAGAAAAATGAACAAGGGCTTCAAAAAACTGGAAGAGCAATGGTAATAAAATGCCTTTAAATGATACAGAAATTTGGATAACCATTCAAGAAGAATCATTAAAAGTAGCTGCTTGCAGAACATAGGTGTAAAGAAAACTGGAAAATCTAGCTATCTGCGTTATCAGCTTACAAGAACGTCTTTGGGGCGTTACAGGATTTGACTGAAAAAAACCCTATCTTTTGGGCAATTTCTTTTGATTAACAGAGAGACACTAGAAGAGCACCACAGAAAAAGGAAAAGATAATGCAGCTGACAATATTTATCTGCTGAGTAACCTTTTTTAAAATCACTATACTCCATAGCACAATGATGCTGGTTGGGCCAGAGATCACACTGGTATGAAATAACCTTGCAATTAGGGATGCAAAAATAAACTGCCTGGAGTACCCAGCTGTGTGATTCGTCCCATCTTTATTACTTCTAATGAACACTTTGATCTTGCCTCAGAAAATTATAGCTGTTGAAAATTAATTAATTAATATGTGTTAAAGGAGGTCAGTGTCACAAAGACTGAAACCCACTGCTAGTCAAATGAAGGGCGTGTACATCAAAAGACAATGGTTCCCTAAGAGAGCTTTCATGAAGATTAAGTATTGTTAACTACAGAATGCTCAGGAAACAGTCAGGAGCAAGACATCATCTTACTCTGAGGAAACTTGGTTGTACCAAACTCCCTGTTGACAAGGCTTTCAGTCTACATAGCTTTCAATAGCAACAGATGGTGGAAGAGAGGCTAACAGTAGGAGAGTAGATGTTATCCAGACATTCAATGGATGTAGCAAAAAATCCCCATAAATACATTTCACAGAAAAACAGGCACAGGGAAGCAAAAAGAGGAAGCAAGAAGATTGGGGGAGACATCAGGTGAAAGAGGAAGAGTTGGGAGGTGCTGTTGTACAATAAGACTGAGGTTAAACATCTTGAGTTTATTATATCTGACTCTCTGGTGTTGAGAATCACCTGCCAGGTCAAGGGAGGTGATTCTCCCCCTCTGCTCTGCTCTCTTGAGGCCCTACCTGGAGCACTGTGTCCAGCTCTGGGGTCACCAGTATAAGAAGGACACGGACCTGCTCAAGTGGGTGCAGAGGAGGCCACAAATACAATCAGGGGCCGGAGCACCTCCCCTGTGAGGACAGGCTGAGAGAGTTGGGGTTGTTCAGCCTGGAGAAGAGAAGGGTCTGGGGAGACCTTATAGCAGCCTTCCAGTACTTAAAGGGGGCTACAGGAAAGATGGGGAGGGACTCTTTTAACGGGGGGTGTAGTGAGGGGTAACAGTTTTAAACTGACAGAGGGTGGACTTAGATGAGATACTAGGAAGAAATTTTTTACTCTGAGGGTGGTGAGACACTGGCACAGGTTGCCCAGCGAAGCTGTGAATGGCCCCACCCTGGCAGTGTTCAAGGCCAGGTTGGACGGGGCTTGGAGCAACCTGGGCTAGTGGAAGGTGTCCCTGCCCATGGCAGGTGGTTGGAACTAGGTGATCTTTAAGTTCCCTTCCAGCCCAGACCATTCTATCATTCTATGACAATCTTCCACACATGACCTGTAGCTGGTACAGCACAAAACAAATTACAGTCCTTCAGATCTGTTACAGACCTAAAAAGTCCTCATTGTAAGACTTCCAGTACAGGATAGGAGCCCCTCAGAGATCTCCATCCTGTCCAGGCTTGCAGAAAGAGGTGTTCCCCCCACATCAACCAGCTGTATTATAATGTCTGCTCTGATTTCCTGAATTATGTCTTTCCGGGTAGGATAGGCTTTACTTGTGGGATGGGCAGATGCCATAGGACTCTGTACACAGACCCACCAGTGAATATAGTGTGCTGCTTCTTTCTAATGAGTTTGGGGGATTTTTGTCTTTCTTTGTAGGCCCATGAAAGCCTCATAGATGGTCATTTTCCTGCACCAGAGGACACTCTGCAGCGCTTAGCAGCTCTACGGCTGCAGTATCTTCATGGAGATTATTCTAAAATAAGTTGGACCCTTGATGGAATCTACCCAGTTAACAGACTAAAATCCAAAATACTACACTCAACAAAGAGCAGCGGGACTACCAGTCATACTCTGGAGAGGAGACGGACGAGCTTCCTTGAAGGGACATTGAAACGTAGCTTCAAGACAGGCTCTGTAAAGAAGCAGAAGGTAGAAGAAGAGCAGATGATGGAGATGTGGGTAAAGGAGGAGCTTTCAGCTGCTCGGGCAAGCATAGCACAAAAGTGGACCAAGCTGCAGGGACTCTCTCAGCATCAGGCCATGGTGAAATACATGTCAATTGTAAAGGAGTGGCCAGGTTACGGGTCAACCCTCTTTGATGTTGAGGTGAGTGATGTATAAACTCATGTAACTGCTGCCAAGAAGAGGGATCAGTCTGGAGAACAGATACAGCTGTGTGTATTACATTGCTCAGGAGCAGAAGGACATTTCAGGAACGGGCTGCATTTTGCCTTAGCTTAGGATAAGCCTGCAGTACCACACCCCCAAAGAGGTGTGATGCAGAGAGCACAGAGCAAGCAAGCTGGTGTGTCTTGGTAAATGGAGGGAGGTAGTGGATTCCTACTTCATTAGAAGAGCGGTAGAATTTTGGAAGGTTTTCTTTGGGCTTAAGGTGGTGGCTAGTAATAAAATTAAACTATTTTCCTTCATGGCAAAAAGTGCAATCCTGTTCTGCAGCAGTACAACAGGAACTGCTGAGACTGGGTCACTTAGACCACTGCACTTAGCCTGCTAGAGTAGGAATCCACAGTTCCAGTTTGATCAGTTTTGTTGCTGCCTAGATGGATTACCCTGGGAAGCTGCTTGCAGTCACTATAGTATCTGTAAAATAAGTGGAATATTGACTTCCTAAATCACTTTAACATCTGATGAGAGCTGTTAGGTATTACCATTATTTAGTACTCAACTAGTGTTTGACTCACAGCCATGCCACTTCTAAATCTTTGCAGCAGGACTGCCTACGAGATTCCTCTTGCAGACATTCTATTTTTTCTATTGGGGTGAAGAGTTGAAGTGTCCTATAGGATCTAGAAATGGAGGACTTTTCCTTGAATCAAAGATGATTTGTTCCTCCACTGCATTTATGCTAAATTTCATGTTCCTCTTTCTGCAGTGCAAGGAGGGTGGATTTCCAAATGATCTTTGGCTTGGAGTCAGCACAGAGAATGTGTCTGTCTACAAACGAGGGGATCCTAAACCACTAGAAACTTTCCAGTACGAGCACATCGTTTTCTTTGGAGCACCACAGCCTAACACCTTCAAAATTACAGTGGATGAGAGAGAAATGTTCTTTGAAACATCCCAGGTATGTGAAAGGACAAGACTTGTGTGTGCAGTTTTACTAGCAGTTCAGTAATGCTGTAATTTCCAAGGACTAGACAAGTTTATATGCAAGAACTTTTGCTGAATGAACTGGAGAGCCAAGAAAAAAAAATGGAGTGTAAGGAATAAACAGGAAAAAAAATATGCTGGTTAGAAAGTGAAGGAGGTTGAATGGTCTTCCAGTGCACTGGGAATTTCCAATTTTGGGTGGTTACGAGTGTGCTTGTTTTTTTCATTCCCTTCCAGTATATGAATGGAGAGTTCACAAACTAACAAAAAAAGTTAAGTAGCATCAAAGTTGCTTTTCTTTGAGCTACAAGCTTTTTCAGTGCTGCTAAGTAGAGCAAAAACTTGCCTAGGATTTCTTTCCTTACTGTCATATTCACATTTAGTATTATATGCAAAATTTTTTAGTGCTGTGATGTTGGACAAGGGGAATCTTTTTTTGCAAACTGTCTGGCATGCCTCAATGGAATTAGGTTTTTTATGTGCTTATCCTCTGTTATTGTGTTCTCTCTCTAGGTGGGCGAGATAATAAAGATCATGAAAGCATACATCAACATGATAGTGAAGAAACGCTGCAGTGTCAAATCAGCCACCAGTGTGGACAGTCATGCTAGCATCTGGACTAGGTGATACGAATGAACTGCCACAGGAGAGAGGCAATTGTTTAGTGATTGGTATTTGCAACTTGCCAGCACAAGTGTAGCAAAGATGCTTTTTTAAGAACCCCACTTGACTGACTACTGTATTAAAAAACTGAAGTGACATCTACAGTACCATAGGATTTGCACCTCTGCCCAAAGACATTAAACAGTAACAACTGTTGTTAAACATTAATGGCCCAAAACCTGTTTTCCCCTTGCTTGTTTGATGAACAATGTACCTTAAAGAAGCAAAGTCAGAAGCATCCTCCTCCTGCGTGTCCTCTCTGCTGCTTTCACCATTATCTGTCATACTGGCAGAAAAATTCACAAGAATCATTTCTGCGCTACAGGAGACAGACTTAAGCTTACTTATGAATTTCCAACATGTAAACATCTGGGATTATGGGATCGCAGCATGGTTTGCTAAAGGAATATTTGTTTTTTATTTATTTGGCAAGCAATTCTAAAATACAAGTCACTGGGTTTTTTCTCAGGATATACTAATGATCTGATCTGGTCTTAACAGAAAATGCCTTTGTGTGATTGAAGCCAAGTGGTCCAACTAAGAGGTCAAACCCTACATGAGAGAGCATTAAACAAACAAAAACACCCAAGATGATGCTTTACCTTTCAATAGAAGTTCACAGGTACATGACTGTAAAAAGCAGCACTTTAAGTTAAACTTCTAAATACTCCAACATAGGAGAAAATCTTTGGGACTAGCACCACTGAAATACATCATCAGGTGCCATTCCAGGTACATTCCAAGCAGCACCTGTTGCCTAAAAATTAATGACTGCCTTTCCCTTGTACAGTCCAGGAGGTGAGATTGATTTAGTTGGATTTCCAGAAGAGCTGCTCTTCACAAACTCCAGGTTTTAGATGGAGGTCAAGGGTCTTTATGGTGAGCAGCCTGCTGCATTAAGTTCCATCCTTCTCTGTATGGGATTTTGGGATGACTGGGATCCCTGAACTTCAGTTTTAAGTAACTGTTTCCTACCGAGTGAAGAGGTGCCTAGATAAGTTGAGGCAAGAATTTCACTTCCTCTGTCCTACTGTAAGCAGATGCCAAACACTTCATCCTCCTCCAAATTAATTGGAACTGCTTCCATCCCTGAATCCCTAAATCCTCTTGCAGTCTTCTCTAGGTCCCTAGTCATCAGCAACACTTGAAAACAATGCTGTTTTGCCAAAACAACTGCTTCTTGGAGGTTTTTATAGCTACTTGCAATTTGAAGAAGCAGAATTATTTTTTCTTCTCAGTGAGAGATGATGGTCATCTTCAGTCTCTTGACTTCACAAACTTGATTTCATTGTTTAAAACAATACTCAGTCACATCATAAATTAGTTGCACTAGCACTCAAGAAACCTGGTGGCTAGCCATTTGCTATCACCCTTATCTAGTCTTGGGATCCCAGAATGCAAAGTTTCTGAATGAAACTGAAGAGCTGTATGTAATGTGGGCCTTGTCCCACGTTTAAAATCAGGTGTCTCCATTTCTGAAGAAGTGGCAGCTCAGGCCCATCAGCTATAAAATAGAAAGTTCATAGAAGAGAAAACTAGGAGTCAGTGTACAACAGGTTCCATTCCAATTCATCATCAAATTGTGCCATGACACTAATACTGTGTTGCAGAACACTGTAGTTCTGAGGTTGACAGTACAAGAAAAAACACTGTACATAATCCATGCTTCTCTCTCATTTCCACTGCGCTGCAGCATGTGCAAACATTGTCCACCTGCCACACCACCAGCCTGAGAGGGTAGCCACTGCTGTGTATCATACGTTCAACTGGAGTTTTGCCTTAAATAGCTTTACTGAAAGATCCTACAAACATCCCCTTTTTGTCACGAAGAATAAGAAGATGACCAGGTCACGAGAGAGAACAGGAATGCAGAGGCAACCTGAGAAGCAACACTTTGCATTGGTCTGAGCACTGACAAGATCTTTCATGTATCAGAATAACCTTGATTATCCCTGACCTAACTCTGCACTAGCTCTGTGTTCTGGCTCTTGGGTTGCTGCAGGCAGCTTGAACCCACTTGGAAATGTAACGCCCATTAGAATTTGTTGTAATTTTGCTCATTTCTATTACAGAATTCCTTCTGCTGTCTTTTTTTTAATTTGTAACTGGCTTTACAAGATGAAAGTTTAATAAATTATTGGATTGCACAGGCTGTATTCACTCACAGGCATTGTGTGCTTATGTTAAGACATTTACTCAGAGATCTAACATTCAGATCTTGTAAGTGAAAAGTAGGCATCATCGGCGTGAGGAGACAACAGCCCTTCCTCTCGGAAGCAGATTTTACCTTTGTGGTACGTTATAGAAAATGGCACTACAATGGGGAAGGGTTGTTTCCAGCTGCTGCCTCTCACTCTGGGTCTGAGTCACACCGCTGGTCAATGGGAGATGTCCCACACGAGTTCAAGGGACGGGTTCTGAGAGTCACTGGTGAAAGCATGGCATCGTCTCCAAAGGCCAGGCTGCAGGATCGGCTCCATCCCTGCTCTTCAGCACCTTCAAAAGCACTAAGAACAGAAAATCACTTCTGCGCTTCTCACACAGTAGCATGGCCCAGACATGGTGTTCACCTCAGAGCACGTGTCACTGAGTGGTGAATCTGGGCGGGGGCAGCTGAGCTGTCAGTGACGCAGACAGACTGTCCTCTAGCAGGCAAAAGTTCCCTCAATCCACACATGGGTATGGATGCCAAGCAGTGATGCATAATCACTGTTCATACGCTCTCATCTATCCCTTGGTCAGATGCTCTGACACCCTTGGGACCCTGGAGATGAGTCTATGCAATTTCATCTTCAACTGTTACAGATTTTTAGTTTCTCCATCCCTATCACCTTGCATAGTCTTTCCAGGTCTTTGAGCCTGGAACTGCTTCTGCTTACTTAAGCAGTTGCTTTTCTTTCCCCAGCTGTTACATTCCTTTCTGCATACTTCCAAAAACACCCCATCTCTGCCTCCTTTCTGCTTCGGAAGCCTCAAGTCACACACCGGCCACTATTGCTTGTTTGGATGGAGGAGGCTCTCAAAGCCAAACGCAGGCTGCTTGGCCTACGCCTCTCCCAACTAGCCAGCCCTCATGATAAAGCACCTCTCAGTCACATCAGGGGCTGGCATGGTGTGTATCCTCCACTCACAGCCTGCTGGGCTGCCATTAACTGAAGTGGAAATTTTTTCTTGGTGGCTAACAGAAGCCAACCCTTATTGCCATGGATTAAAGCAGGAGCTAGCTAGTCAGTCTCCCTTCTTTGTAGCTGCTGAGTTTTGAACTCCACTTGCTTCATCTAATACATCACTATCATGACAACAAATATGCAGTGCTGCAGGTGCAGCATGACAACATGCACAAATCTGTTGCAGTGAATGTCCACCCAAGGCGATGACTGACTCAGCATTGTCTCACTCCCTTTCTAGTTCAGTTTTATCACCCTGTCAGTGTGATGTGCAGTCCCTTCTGGCCTCCACTCCAGTATCTCTCTAATAGTTAATTCAAGTTTGCATGTCCTAACACTTATTTTATATGACACTGTTTCATGCAATGGGTGTTAGAGTTAGGCTTTGGAACAGGGTACAATTATAATTAGTACCTACACAGTAAACATGAAATGGTTTATACACAGAATCACAGCAGCTCCAGGTAAGTGATACACAGAGCACATTACCTATTAAACCAGTTTGACTGTAAACTTCAACTGTTTGTATACACCTTGTTGTAAAACACACAGCCTTTCCCTATGTGGGCTCTATGTTGTATCATTACTCTCTGCACTAACTTCAAAATTAAATGCTCCCCTTGGGCATTTAAGCAAATCTCTCACAGATGAATGCCAGCCCCACTGTAAAATCTGAACTCCTAAATCTGTGGATTGCAAATTTGCTAAACTCTTGTCCACATTTTATCCCAGAGATTCCTAGTGCTACAGCTGGATATACACTTTGGCCACGTGCCACTGACACTACAGAGGTGATTGCAGAGAACTCGAGTGCCAGTAAAATTCGCCTAACTCTACCTGCGTGTTCCCTGCTGCTCTTCAGGCAGGTTGCACACTGCCCAGCCTTTTCAACCCCAGCCTGGGACTTCATCTCATGCTGCACCTGGACTCTGCACCAGTGTTTAGGTCTGGATGCAACCAAAAGCAAATACATTATGTTGGGTAATTCCTGGCCTTTGCCAGCCATGCCCTGCACCTGCTGCCTCATGGCTCGGGCAGCCTGGCCAGCTGCAGAATACAGCTGGCTGGTGGGGAGCCCAGCTCCCCCTCCTGCCACACTGCACCCAGGGACAGGCTGTGGCCTCCCGCAGCCCTCAGACACCATCCCCCAGTGCAGCAGTGCCTCAGGCCTTCCTCAAAATGCTGTGAAGGCTCAGGATTACCCATACAAACACTTTCCTGTAAAAGCAAACATCTGTAAATCCTAAAGTGATTCTTAATGAAGTAGTGACTGCCTGTCAGTATAAACTCAACTGGTTCTGTAATGGGTTAGGCATTAGGCAGAGTTTTTGCAAGCCCACTAATGCAGCACACACGTTCATAGGCACAACTTTCCTGTCTCTTCTTTCTCCTGCTGCAGCGTAAGGCAAAGTGAAGGCAATTCAGATGTCCCTGGTTGTGCCTTGTCAGGGTGTGCCCATGGGCACAGCGGTGTTTAAACCAGGAGTCTTCTCCTTCCAGCTCTCCTGGGATGGCTGAGTCTTAGTAAATCATCCTCAGTGAGCAAAGGGGTGCAGAGGAAGGCTTGTGATTAAGCACTCAGCAGCAGAGCTGGTGCTGCAAGGTGAGGCTGGTGTGGGGTATAAAGGCACTGAATCTGTGTGGTAGGAGAAGCTCTGGTTGAAGGAGGGCAGGTGTGCAGTGAGTTCCCTGGGGCTGGAAGAGGGGAGTGTTGGCTGTTGCCCACAGCAAACTCCTTGTTGTGCTTCGAGTGCTTGGGCTGGGCTCAAGAGAGCTCCTGACTGCCGTAGGTTTATTGCAAACAAAGGAGGGGAACAGACTCACCCCTGTCAGGGCTGTGGTGTTCTGGTGTCACAGGATGTTCTGGCTGCCCACTCTGGTGTTCTGGTCCTTTCCCAGCACCCTGTGCCGGTGTTGTGGGGCTGTTGTCAGTGCTCATCTCACGCCTTTCAGGCTTGTGGCTGCACTCGGCTGGCTGCGGCTCTTTGGGAAGTGCTGCTCTCTGCTCTTCTTTCCCAGCAGCTTGCGCAGGTGTAAGGCTGCCTCGTTGGCTCTGGTGTCTGTGGTAGCACGTTCATCATTTGGTGGCTTAATCGTCAGTGCTGCAAAGCTGGTATGAGATCAAACAGGTACAAAGCAGGGGACAACACAAGATGGAAGCTTCAGGAACACAGCAGCCATTTTCCTCAAAGCAGCTCACAATCCAAGCCCTGGGTAAATGCACCCTCCTATTATCCACATACATGTATAATTCACACTCAGCTGACACAAGATGCTCTTTAAATACCCAGATCACGTTTATGAAAATAAAGACATTTCAGTGAACAGAAAGCAGTTTGGTTGCTAATGGGGATGACATTCAATCATGCATATTTGTGAAATCATCTCAACCAACTACTTTGTAAGTTTAATTTGAATATGCATACAAGGCTTGGTCTTTTTTATGAAGTATAAGCACCACACTTTTATATAATTATCCATTAAAGGGGAACTATAACACATAATATTTGAAAAAATAAGTTTTATAGAAAGTAGTAGTACTCTTTCTATCCATATAAGTGTTCTGAGATACAGTGGGCAAAAAAAGATCTTTGTTCTCATTTCTTCTAACAAAAAATGTGCACATAAGGGGCCAGCATAATGAAGAAAGTACATTTTGCAATAAATATTTTGTATCACTGAAATTCCACTTTCTTAAAGCCACCTTGGAGTAAATTATTCTATTTATGCTGAAAAGGAGCAAAGCTAACAATCAACTGTTGTTCTGTTTTTAATTATAGTCCCTCCTGCATTGGCAAATAGAAATCCAGAAGGACTTACAGTCTGTGTTGCATTACTGTGTAATCACAATAAAAGCCTCATCTGGTATCCTCCCCTACCCCCTCAAATCTGTTAAAAATCTTAGTTACTGGCAGATATTATGATAGCGTGCACAGAAGTTTTCAGTGTGAAAATACCATAAAGGAATAAAACCAAGATAACAGCATTTTATAATGGCATTTATACTATGCACCATTTGAAAGTTAATTTGCTATCAACAGAAAATTACCTTTTCTAGTACTTTGTCAATTCTCAACTTAAAACTCTTCAGAACTAAATGGGAAAGGTCCATTAGAGTGCCAATTGAATTTTTCTCTTCAGTAGCTAATCTCCTGTTTTTCCTAAGCTTAGTTCTTTAATATTGCTCATAGCTCTCGCTTTAAAACTGTGCAAAGTCTGTTCAATTTGGTCAATAAGAACTTTAAGTACTTGTTGACAACAGAATGAATTTGACTAACTTTTATGAACCCGGGTGTTACATATCCCACTGTGCTCCATACACACCCCAACAGCAGATGCATAAAGGGTCCAAATTGTAATTCTGTTTGCAACAAAAATTGTAATGTTTGGTCTTTGTTTGTTTGCAGCCACACCAAAAAATATCACTGACAGGCCATGTGATTTACTTCTTCCTTTCAAAAACGTTTGGATGTACAACATATGTCCAGAGCAATGAGCAGATGGTGCATTTGGTTTAAAGGAAAAAAATTACAAGAAATACGACAAATGCATTGGGCCCAAACAGTGCTCACCACGCATAAGCACTTGTGGTTGATTTCTCTGTCAGTTAAGTTATTGATGCAGAAACAGTGTTAAAATAAAAATGCTGACTGGTCTAGTGGCAGATGTGGATTAACCTCTCCATGACTTCAGAGTCTTCAGAGACTGAGCAAAACTCAGGAAGAGGAACCAGAACCCATGCTGCTCCGCTTGCTGTGGGAGGAGCACATTCCCACAGGGGTGAGCTCCGCCCTAACAAGAGGGAGGCCAGTGAGAGAGTCACACACCAAAGTTGTAAGCGTGCAAAAACATTTGTACATTTACCTGAAGCTGTAAGTTTTTTGTTTAGAGATATCACAGTCCAGCAGACAGCCTCTGAGTGTCTGAGGTACAGGAAATTTAGGATGTCTTCCCGACTCGGCTGCTCTGGCATCTGCGAAAAACACTTCATTTCTGTGTTCCTATTTCCCTGCTCAGCATCTTCAGTTTTCAGATTAACATTTCTGAAGCAATGATCTTGTTCGTCGTCCTGCACAATAGGATGTTTCTCCCAGCAAGCACACCAGGCCATTACTGTAGCTAGAAATAACACTGCCCTTTGACCAGCATCACAGATTTTGGAGACCTGGAATTCAGAGTTCAGATGACACTTAAAATGAATACATCTCGTGCTTTAATTGCAAACGTTACATGGTGGAAGTAATTTAACTTTGCCCATATTTTACGAGGAGTTATGTTAGGAGCCCATATAAACTGCTTTGGAATTAATATGGGCAACGAAGTGCTAATGAACTACACCCTGATTTAAAAAAAAGGCACCAAGGAACGTTTTCTTTCTTTTTAAACCCAGCAGCAGCTTGATAAAAGCTAAGTATAACCATGTTCCATGATAAAATATGCTTTCAACTGCAAAAAGAAAGTTATTGGCATTCTTTTTATACATCAAAGGTTTTTATTACCTCTAAAGTTTTCTTTGGGAACACTTATCTGCTTTAATTGTGATCACATCCCCTGTGCTATGTGTTTTTTTATCCAGTGATTAATGAGCTGTACCTTTGCTCTGATAACTGCTTCCACAGAAATAAAACCAGTGTAAGCAGTTTAGTGTTTTATTTAACTTTATTCTTTCAATAACAATATTGCTAAATAATCTGTCTGTGTATTTCAAATAAAGTGGGTTATTCACCTGCACTAAGGCAGTTGTGCTTACTCAAACAACAATTACCAGTGATTAGACAACTTAGCTATGATGAAACAAACAATGGACCTTAAAAAATTATTTACATCATTCATAAGAATAAAATATACATTTTTTTTTATAAAAAGTATATATTCATGTGTGTTGGAGAATTAGGATTTTACTGATTTCCATTTTCTATTTCCAATTTCAACCTAAAAATGCTCGAAGTATAAACAGCTATAAAACTAGTAAATGTCACATGACAATTTGTAAGTAGTTTTCCCCAATTACTACTGTTAGCAAAGGACAATAACCAACACTTTTTTTTTTAGTCCATTAAGTTAGAAGTCATTTGACAAAGCACTTAGGCATATAAGCTAAAACAGAAGATGACAGGAACCAGGCTTTGTTAAGTCTCAAACACTTCTCTTACCAGAGTAAGTATAAGGAGGGGGGTGAGGGTTGTTTTCATTACATAGTAACTAGCATCATAACTACTTTTTTCTACAAGGTTACCTCAAGAAAGAAAATGTCCACAATTGTGCCCAAAGTACCAAATAAACAACAAAAGTGCTTACTTCTTTGATCAGCAAACTAACACAATGGTTCCTTTACTGTGCCCCTTCAGGCTGCTGTTTTAACAGGCTACAAGAAATTCTCTATTTCTCAATACAAATGATAAACACTTGCTTATCAAAATAGTGCAAACAGGAACAAAGAAAAGTGCTGTCAATGTAAGTAAACTGCAGGGGGGGGAAAAAGGCAGTTGAACATCATGACCTTGCACCGTTGCTTCAGAGAAATCAGTAGTACTTTTCTCAGCACATCAGACCAAATGTGTTTCTATTTACCGTATCATACCACTGTTACATGGGGAATGGATCTTGTCTTTTACATATTCTCCTTCATAAAATGCACCTGTTCTTCGTATTATGCATTAAAAAAACTCTAAAGACTTTTTCAATCATTAATTGATCAAATCATTAGAGTAATTAACATATACAATTCTGTCTTCCCTTTTTCCCTTTATAGCTTTCTTTGGAGTGCATAGAAAAGGCCACAGTGACACATCACATACAAAAATCAAGTTTATGTTTTATGTAAAATACTCAAGTATTTTTAGCATTTATGTACACAAGTTTATTTACCAAACATTCTTTCTCACTCTTCCCTTAGTTATATCTTCATCTTGTTTCTTGGACAAATGACATATTTCACCTATAAAGTTGGGCATTTAATCTTAGTACTAGGGGAAGTAAATGCCAGGAGGATCCTGTTATGGAACAAGGAACACTGTCACTGCAACACTCCTGTCCTTGGGTGTCACACTGCAACACATCATAAAATGGAGCATGTTTTCTCTGTTTTGTTCTACAAGAGAATCACTGAAGTGTAATTTCAGAGTAGTAAGATAGATGTGGTATGTTTTTATCTAAATACTACTCCAAGTGCAGATTTTTTACTCTTATTCAATTAATGCTTTAGCTCCAGATACTGATTTTCACTGCAAACATTCCTGCTATTTCTGCTTTCAAAACTTTGTGAAAAGAAACTGAACATTTACTTAAAAAGCAGTTATGTCACAGGATAAAACACAATATTCATGCCTTTGCTTTTAAAGGGCTAAGGCTTTTACTGTATCTTGAGTTCTGCTTGTGTTTGCAGTTAGCCCTTAATGAGTATTTTTCTTAGCCCCACTACCACCTTCAGCGAGTAAGAACAGTGATCTGCTGGCTGCCACAGTCTCAGGCTTCAAATATTTTATGTTTATTTAATTTACTCCAAGATGGCATGGCTTTAGCACAAGGTATTCCCTATAACTCTTTATTCAAAATGTATATTCTATATTCTAAGGAAGATTCTTTTCTCATCACTATAAAATACTTTATTTTGTGTGTCTTTCTGGGGAAAAAAAAAGTCATAATGCAATCTTTCTCCACTGTAACAAGAAAATTTAAATTCTAGTTGGATGGAAAGGAATATTTAGTTGTTTGTTAACTCTCTTTTCCCTCGCTGTATCAAAATCTGTAACTGCTTATTACAAAAGTTGCTTCTACATGGTAACCCAACGCTAGCAGCAAAACTCTTATAGCATATCAAAATGGTACATCATTTGGCATGAAGTTATCGATGGATAATTGTACAAAGTTACAGAATTCATGTAGCAATTTTAAGTGCTTTCATTAAAGTGATATTGTATAAAGTACTGTTGGCATTAAGTATTCCATTAAAAATTCTTTCCAGTAAAGAGAAAAAATACTGTAAATTTAAAAATATCACAGAACTCTAGAAACCTTGCACCTTAAATGGCTGAGGCCAAATGTAAATAATTACCATTGACTTGAATAAAAATTGCACTTGTATAAAAGAATAAAATTTAGCTCCCATTAATAACCTTATTACTTTTCCAAAAAGAAGTAATAAAACATCAATAGTTCTTTCCTTATGGCTTCACACAGTGAAGTTCATGCTAAATTGCCCAGAAGGAACAGTTTCTCAATAGCTGTCTTTTGTGAACACATCCTCGGTTTCATCATCATTCATCCCTCTTTGATAGCGTACTGAAGAGAAGGCACTCCAGTGAAGACGCTTCTTTTTATAGAGATACCATACTAATCCGACAATGAAGACTAAGATAATTAGCAGGGCAAATGCTACAGCCACCCCAGTATGATTAGAACCTGTAACAGAACAAAACAGGAATAGTCATTCATTAAGAGTTTTGGTAATAATATCTGGTCATGGGGTTGATGCTTAGGTACCTATACACTAATAGTGCATGCATTTAGTTGAAGTTAAGGCAAGTTGCTTCATCATAGTAATAGTCTTCCCTTCATCACATGGGCAGTTAGGTTCCCATATGAACCAGCATCTATTATCTTACTTTCGATGATTCTGTTGTTAATTTCCTTATCATATTCAGGTCAGAAGGGACCTCTGAAGGTCAAAAAAACCCTATTAGTAAATGCTGTATTTATCTCAAGGTTTGTATAGTTCAGAAATCTAATGAGATCTTGGACTCTCTTGGAGTGGAAGGGAATTATGCTTCCCTTGGACTGGAAAGACCTTGTTGAGGACAAATCTCCAGTGCCCCATCACCTCTTACAAGCAGAAGCCTTTCTGTTCCCACCTACACAGACTCACCCATGAGATACCCCATGGTAAGAAGCGATAGCAACTACTCTATGCTCACTTTTAAGTGGAAATTTCAGTTCTCTCCCTTATCCTCTAAGTGGATAGTGAGAGCCAGAAGTAAATTCCTAGAGAATTTGTTCCTGAATGCAGTTCTGTGGCAAAACAGCAACAGATGGCTTTTGCTTAGGGCAGAGGTACTTCACAGGTTCTTTTGTGAATGCACTTTCATTATTCCAACACAGACTTTCCTCACAAAAAAAAAGAAAATCCTGAATACGGTCACTATAAAATTAAGTTTCTGATACAATCAATGCTTCCGTACCTAAAGGAGCCTTACAAACCACTCTGCTTTGACTACGGCTGCAGTCAACTTTGGACCATGTGCCAGTTGTAGACAGGATAACACTGCATTTTTCATTGACTTCTGCAGTTTTATTTTCCCAGTTGACATAATTAACTGATGAGCCGTCAAGCCAGTTCATGGACTGATCTGTTGGAAAAAAATTTGCTCACTTTAGATCACCAACACATTCTATAATGGTACACAGTGTCACTCACAACCTATTGATTTCTTTCCGTTGCTAAAGGAAACAGGGCTGATTAACCTGTATATTAAAAGTAATAAACATGAACACATCAGTTTTAGCCACACTTCTCCAGACCTTTATAATTTGAGGCATCTGCAGCTGAACCATTAGGCAACAATGATGATATCAGGGAAAATTAATTTCAGTGACTCTTGATTATCTTAAGTGTGCAACAGGAAGAGACTGAAGCTCCAATTAAGTCCAAAGGGCTTTCTAATGCTATATAAGGGATTCCAACCTCAGTCTGAAGTTACTGTAGGCTATCAACACTACAAAACTGTATTCTTATTTGAGGATTTATGTATTTTTATTTACCACGATACATGATTGCTACTTACCCTTAGAGATCTGAGTTAGGCCAAGCCATACGTTCTTGGTGATGAGATCATTTTCCTTTATGTGTGTGCTCACAAATGCATTTTCCTCTGCATCCACTATAGTCAGAAGGGTTGCTGAAGGATCTAATGGGAAGAGGAAATTTTAGAGATTTTTCATGGTGCTTGTACAGTGAGTTTTCTGTGGGAACAATTAATATAGGAAAAGATTTGCTGATCTGGGCTTGTTAAATTAGTTTGAAGTAACCTGCAGAATAAAGACATCATCTCCCATTCCCTAAAATACAGCATGTTACACAAGGCAGCTTCAGATGACTGGTTATTCAAGAAGGTCATACAGAATAGAATGGGAGTAAACTTACTGCAGCTGTGGACTACATACATGGAAGATACCAAAAGATATGCCACATTCAGAATTACTACTTGTACAAGTAATAAGCCCTTTTCAAAAATATAGTTGAACAAAAGTTCAGCATTTTGCTAAGTTAATTTCTAAATTGATCCCTTATTGTGCATCAGTTTTTTATATACAGTGTTAAAGCAATTAAAGAGTAAGAGGGAGGAAAGGGTATACCAGAGACGGGCTCAGAGTGTACCCATTCTTTGTATATGCAAATATAAGCCAGAAGCTTAATTTAGAGAAAGATCACTCTCTCTTTCAACTACCAGGTCAGGGAGGACTCAATAGAAAACTTCATCCAGGACTGGGAGTACTTACCCTTTTCTTTTCATCCCACATAGTGAGTTCAACTTCACATCATAATTCAATAAAAGAAAGTTATGACAGTCACTAGCTTCTAAGCCAAGAAGGTGATTAAAAATTCCGCACACAAGACTGCTTATTATCATCTTCCACAATACAATTCCCCACATAGCTTATCAGAGAAGAATATCCTTTAATTTGATGTAAAATTAAGGTGGTTTTAGTGATATTATGTGTCTTTATAATATTTATAAAGTACATGCTTTGAACCATTTGATAGGTTAGCAAGCTCCCTACTAGCAAGCAGCTAAAGCAAGGATATAATAAGAAAACACTGCTAACAGTGCTAACTTTATTTATAATAAAGTTAATTGTATGCAAATAAAATTGTTTCCTCCAAACCATAAGCCTTAAATTTCTGAATCCTCTATCAATGGCTACTGGCATTTTACTTGCTGATATCTGTGTGCCAAACAATCTGTCAGCACACTGCAGTGTTTTATCAAGAACCTTTATCAGATGCTCAAAGATAAAGATTGCTATTACTTTTCCTGAACTAAAGCATCATAAAAGTTGAAGTATAACCAGTGCAGGTTTTTGGTTGTTGGGTTTTATTTCTTTTTGAATAGTGGACTAATTACAAGTTGTAATGTGATAAAAAGTCTACACATACTCAGTTTCTTGCAGACTTTCTTAGCATCTTCCACATTATATACTGAAAAATTGTAGAACGCCATGTCAAATGCGTAACAATGATCCTTATACTGTATCCATTGTAGAGTACCACTGATCTGCGGGCATCTTGAGCCTTTGCTCGCTTGCTTTGGCTGTAACTGTCTCTCTGCAAAGACAAAGAAACTGATGTTATTTTTGCTGCAGGAGTTTGTTCACAGTCTCTCTCTGAAGTAACAGGACAGTCAATATTAAGGAGGACTACTTCTCCTACCAACAACCATGATTCAATTAGCTTAGATTCCTTCTTTGTGCGTTATAGATGAATTTATTTGAAAACAAGCACAAGACAAGTCCCAAAGGCCTGGAGCCATCTTTTTCTTGCCTTTTAGGGGGTTTTGAAGCTTGTTGTATGCGTTTGATAAAGATTTTAATTCAGAAAAGATACATACAGTTTGATATTCGTATCACAGGTGATCAAAAAAGTGAGCAGAACTCTTTTAGATTTTCACCACTGGAATGGAGAGAACTAATCTTCCTTAAGTACTAAAAAGGGTTTTATTGTTCCTGATAGACAACTCTTCTTAAAGAGGGAATCGTGTGGTATTTCAGCCTTCATTTCTAGTTCTAAATACAACATGTAAAGATAGAATACGTAAGACAACTACACAAAACATTAAAAGTAACACTTACTGTTTGGAGGGCTATAGCAAATGGCACCTTCAGCAATGTTTGTACATTTCGTACGGTTCCAAGATCCTTTAGTATCCAACAGAACACAGTTCTCAGTAGTATTTGAGTTTTCTAATTCCCAAGGATAGTAGTCAAAGTCACTTCCATCTGACCATTCAAAATTAGCTTTGCTTCCCTAAATAAAGAAAATACACACAAATTTACACCACAGCATACAGTTGTGGTTTAAATCTTGTCAGTCATTAGTAAGTCATGTTGCAATACTTATCGCTTGCAGAGTGATAAATTACAGTGCAGGTGGCTTCATTTTCTAAATCCATACTAAATAAATGTGCAACATAGTTTGCATTTTTCAAATCAATTCTTAACATAGAAATCCTGTTTATTTGTGGGAACTGAGAAAGTGCAGCATGTTTGTAAGTTTAAGCCTGCAGTGTGCCTTGTTTTATTCTATGGGGAACACTTATCTTAATTTCATCCTGCTGTTTAGGTTTCAGTCTGCCTTCCTTGCTATGAACATTATTAGTTATGCTGCAAACTGCTAAACTGTTGAGATGGTCTCAGTAAGTAAAGCTGGGCATCTCAGGAATGGTTTCAGTGCTAGCTCCTAGTTCAGCTACATCACTGAAAACCCATGGCAATGAAGTCAGTTGTGAGAAGCGGAGGGACCCATTCCAACCAAAGGGCAGGCAGAGGTAGCAAAGGTATGCACAGAAATCACAGACCTCTGCAGAGAGGTATTCCTGCTGATTAAATACTCTGACCAGGTCTGGCGATTACTGTGGGGAGCAGGATCAGGGCCACAGGCTTTCAGCTCCCAGGTTAAGCAGGCAGAGGAGGAAGAAGACCTGCAGCTGCCTCTTGCTGTGCCTCCTGGGAGAAGGGATACATAACATGCTGGAGAGCCAGTTCCTGAACTGCCTCGGAGAGCCTGTCCTGACCTGGAATAAGCAGGCTCCATACAGCCTTGTCTGATTGCATTTGCTAATGGAATTTGATTCTATAATAAAATCTGGAGCCTCTGAAGGTAGCTTTGCAAGCCACATTTCCTTGTGCTGCAAGGAATGATGTGGGACCATTTTATTATTTTAAAATGTCAAGGATTTAGAAAAATATCTTAGTGTGGCTACATATACTAAAATTTAATATACTTTAACATATGTTCCACAGGGCTGAAAAAGTAGGTAATTTACTACATAGAATAGAGATTTCAAGAAACTGGAAAAAAGCATCAGAATATATTCCATATCCCGTGCAGAAAATTATTTACAAGCTCTGTTACTGATGTCACCAATGATATATACTTACATCATGGATTGACAACCCAAGCCACAGAGGATAGCCATCTCGCTTGACAATATCTTCTAGGAATAACTGTTGCGATTCACTGTGTATGCTTGCTAAATCACTCCTATTTTGTTTGCATTCCCTCAATGCCTCATACCACGTTAACTTTTTCTGAAGGATCCTGTATGTTCTGTTTCCATGTGGAATAGATTGAGGCAATGGAGGCTTGTGCTGTTGGGGTCCTATTTCAAAGAATAAGACAGTAAGTTCTGTGCACTTCATTCACGTTACCAGGAACATACAGAAAGCATTAAAATCCATCTTTATCAATGTAACTCAAGCATTAGTACAAGTTAGAGCAAGAAAGTTATCTTTTGCTACTTTGAGCACTGTGAGCAGTTGATGGAGGAGTACAGGAAACACATTCCTTCTGATCAGGATATTACAGCAGTGATACACAGACTGACCATATAACCCCATAAGCCCACAACAGCCGTGCCACACATTTCACTGGGAGTAAAACCAAAGCCTTATACAGCAAGGATTGCAGAGCAAGGACTTAAAATTATGACCTCATCTGACAATGCAATACTACACATAAATATTCTCTACTACTTACCCCTTTCGATTTTACAGGCAAGAATACTGTACACATTATAGTGATGAACATGCCAACTTTGAGAATAATTATAAATATCCCAAAACCCATCAAGATTTACACCAGCAAAAAAACTGTTCTTCTTTATGTTAGGTCTTCCCAGCCTCCAGTTATTGTAAGTCAGATGAGTTTCATCATACCACTTGAGAACTTTATCTGTGGAAAACATTGCGTATTTATTAAAACGTTGGTATAATGTGTACAAATACCATTCGAGTTTGAACATATTAATGACATTAACAGATATTCACTTTGGAAAAAATGCAGTGATACTCCAAGTTACTGTAAATGCTAAATATATTAGCATTACTCATCCAGGCCCTTTTAAATCCTGCTTTCCAGGGAAATCAAATATAGACTAAACAGAAAATACTGTATTCAATTATCCCTCAAACAGAAAGCAAGTTCTGTTATTTTATTCTAGAAGCAGAAATATCAAGCATTATTATAGATTTGTATTCAGTTTTACTTTAGTTGTATATCAAAACATGCAAGAAATATGCTATAAATGCTGCAAACTTTGTCTCCAATCCAATTATTAAGAAAAAAAAAACTTTAAATCTTACCACTGTCATCATAAATCACACCCAGCCAGACCCACGTAGCCAGACCACTGAATGAATGAAGCTGCTCAGTAACAAAGTTATTCTCTTCTTCATCTCGAACACTCAGAACAAAAGCTTCTGGGTCTGTTGAAAATTTTTTTTTAAATTACTTTCTTACAAAGTCACCTCTCAATTACAAAATAAATTTTTTTGTTACTGTTAATAATTACTACAGATAGATCAAGAATATGTAAAGCCTAGACCTTTGTAACACAATAACTAAATGAACAATGTGAAAACAAATTTCAAAGGTATTATCAACAGTGCTTTTCCTGGTTTTGTGGATAAGTGAAAGACATCAGCTCCAGAGATTTTTGTGGGTCCTACTGTCACTTCAAGTTGTATGTAGTAAAAATACTCTGCATAGAACATAAAAATACCAGCAATCTTTCATAATTTTCTGGAACTGTTTAGTGGAGAGACAGCATTAGGAAAAAGACTGAACTGAAATCAATTCATGAAAAATAAAATAGTTTCTGGAAAGCTGCAGGTCTGAAGCGCCATGAACAATGGTTTAATATAAGAGGGAAGCTGTTCCTAAGCTTACACTTTGTTTAGGATGGACAGGAAAAGCCCACATGCTTTTCTGAATTGGACTAGTTTCATTCTGTTTACCTAAGTGTTCAACACAGCAACGAGGGGGAAAAAAACCCCATGAAGTGAATGTGACTGTGAAGCCAGAATGTTGCCAAGGGGATAACAATTACCCAACCTGTTTAAAATTTGCATATTATAAAGAGAAAAAACACCCAACTAAAACCTTCCAATTTTTTCAGAGATCTCAGAATTTAACAGTTCCTAGTCATCTCTCTCTCTCTCCCCGATAATCCTACCCATGCTCTAGTACTTTTTATCAGTGGTGCAAGGGTAAACAGCACTAGGCAGTGCAATGCTAATGCACATTTGCAAATGCTACAACCTTTCTCAGTGCTGCTGTCACTATTAAAACAGTGACTCAGGCCTAAAACTCATCTCCCTCAAGCTGATATAAATCCATAAATACCTGTAATATGACAAAGTACTTACTCATTTTCTTGCATAAATGATGAGCTTCTTGAGACTTCAGTTCTCTCCATCTATTTTTTGTTATCATAAAAGTGTAACAATTGTTTCTAAATGATATCCATGGTGTATTTTTAATCTTATGTGGGCACTTAACTTGTGTAACTTGTTCTTTTTCAATCTTCTCTAAGGAAAGAAAAGACGACATTCAGGACGTGACTTATTAATAACAATACTTAACCTGACACACTACAAACCACTTTTAGGTACCATCTAAAAACATGCAAGACAAATTTAAGTGCCATCAGTGCTTTTAGTTCCTCTTAGTGGTGACTTTTTTAGAGTAACAAAACCAGCAGTAAGCATTATAAAAGAATATAGATGCTTACAGCTTTTCACAATTGTGGTGTTATGTAGGCTTAAGAATAAAATTCGTACATAAAAGTGCTAAGTGTGGGCCAATAACTAAAAGCTCTTATTGCTTCTTGTATGAAGGCAGATGACCATAACAATTAAGCTACTTCTTAGCTGGCAACACATGTTAGTTCTGTGGTTTTATCTAATACTCAAGAAGGACTCTTCCTCCAGTTGCTTAGATTTCAAGCTCAAAATAGTTAAGGATGTCATAATGCCAAGTATACACTTTACTGTGACTCAGTATGTACAACAATGGCTTAACTGTGTCCCCTCACAGAAAAAAAACAAAACAAATTATAACGGTCGCACAGGGAAAAAATCTGTGATGATCTCTCAGACAGATCTTCATTCTTCAGAAAAGGGCTGTGATACATATGTATTCCCCCTGAAAGAATCTTTACCTGTCTTGTTCCAATGGGTATATATTTAGAGGGGGTTTGTGAACTGCAGATTACTCCTTTCAATTCAGAGTCTACCTGCTATCTTTCTTCTCCATGTAGTCATGTACCCCCTTCCCTGTTTAAACTTCCATGTCTGAAGAGATTTCAGGAGGTTCAATATTAAGAGGTAAATAGCACAGAAGTAATGAATCTTCTTCCACATGCAAGTGGGAGAGATTAATATGCAACAATCTCATGGAAGCTGTGCAAAGGTAGAATCAGTTGGCAATATGAAGGGTACAGTCTAGCTCAATGCACCCATGCCAAATTCATTTCACAGGTATGTGCCCCCATATTTGAAGTGTGTTTCTTTTTTTCCCCTGGCATGCAAATTAGCCTGAAGAAATGTAAATTTTAAAAAGTTGTAATTTTGAAGTTATAATCTGAAATTATTAAATATGCTTCATAATGAAACAAAATCTATCTTTTATAATTATTATGCTAGGATACGTACTTTCTGATGCATAGCAAATAGCACCTCGATTTTCAGAGGAGCAGTCAGAAGTCTTCCAGAAGCCATCAGTATCCAAAAACACACATTCTTCGTTTGTTTCTTCATCATCTTCAGACCAGCGACTAAAACTAACATGTTTCCCATCCAGCCAGCCATAATGTTTTCCACCCTAAAATTGCATAAGTAAAAGCGATGAGCTACATAGTAAAAAAATACCAGGTACAGAAAATGATACGATAATATATTTACATTGGCTAGACATTTACAGTGTCTCTGGTGAGAACTAAGTGTTCCACTGCCCTCGCAATCTGATCTGCTGTTCACAATATAGCAAGCTCTGTTATTTTAAGTTTTGCAGTTGCAAAAATATGAATTAGCTGAAGTGAATGGCAAATTACCAAATGGTGATGTTTAACTACTACGCTTATGGAGGAAGGCCTGGCAATGAGATGTCCAAATTGCATCATTTGCACCTGCAAATGAGTGGCAGATATAATTATCTGGACTTGGAAAACTGGTAATATCTGAGAATAAGACCCAGTCTCGGTTACTGCACACTGAGTTGAAGGTAATCTATTAATACTTAACTGATTTAATAAATCAGATGTGTTCCTGCCCTGAAGAATGCAGAAGCAGTATGAAAAAACCCACATACAACAAGCTCATCATCCTTTAAGAATCTTACATTTAAAGGTTTTCTTCAGGAAATCCCCCTGCTGCTTTGTAATTTAATTTATCTTCTATCTTTCTTTTGTGCCTATGATTCCAGCACTGGAGTAACAAGTTCTATTGACCAGTTTCATTATAATTTCCTTTTATGTGACTTCTTAATTGTGCCCAGATAACAAAGTGTTGCAACAGTGAAAAGCCAGTGCATGCCTGAGTTGTATGCAGCAAAATGAACCGATCTTCACTTACAGATAAAAAATTCAAAAGAGAAGGGAAAATAGCTTGTTCTTGTTTCCCCATCTTCACTAAGATTAAATGCCTGTTTCCTTTAAAAAATATTCTCCATAAAGCATATACTCAAATTTCTATTTTTGCTCCCCCTTACGTTGCCTACAATACTCAGTAGCCCATTACTGACATAGGAAGTTCATAACACCACACAGATGCTGAGTTAGCACCATTAACCTTTGTAGGTAAGGCACTTCTCAAGTTTTAACTTTTTTCTTGCAATAATCTCAAGACTCATGTGCTTGACAAAAAAGTTAAACCCTGCAATCAAGTCCAAGGCATTTCATTAACAGCTGAAAAAGCTCTCAACCCACAGTGAGTATCTTCAAGGGGTCCTCTGGCTAATAAAGGCAAATCAGTACCTCCTGCATTGACTTTTTCAAAGACAAAAACAACTAGAAGGAAAAAGGAAAACCCACTAACCTGTCTCAGGCATGTCGCCCTCTAACTCAAAAGACAGGCACAAATAACATAAAGTAACAACAGAGTCTAAGTTAAGCCTTAGAAATGTATCTCCGGAAGCATTCAATGAATCATTTTGGATTTTATTTGCCACTTCTAGTTTCTCCCTTTTAAACTAGATTTTGGGTTGTCTTTCTAGAGTGGTACTGTAAACAGTGGCAATGATAATAAATGGAAACACTAATTACCCACTCATTAACAAAAGAGACAAAGATGATTCCGCTATCTATGTAGCTGCCACCCTACAATATATCCTTTTGTCCTATAATCTTTTAAAAGAATTGTCTCCTCATCATCAATCCATCCAGTGGAGTTCAACATCTGTTTAACTTTGAGAACTGAAGATTTAGAACATTAATCTTGAGACCCTCTGGGTGGTTATCCCCAAATGAAAACAGTTACCCCAGAAATTAATTTTTCATTGTATTCCTTTATTCCAGTTTCTATTTCACAGAACTCTAAAAATTACCTTAAGTCACAGTCTGAGGGGAAAACAAAACTTACATCTCTGCTAAAGAGTCCAATCCACAGCGGGTAATTATGAAGGGCAGCTTGAACAGCAAGAAAAGCCTGCTGGAACTGATCTGTGATGCTAACCAGCTGCATCTTGTTATTTATGCATGCAGCCATTGCATCATTCCAGGACAAATTTTTTGGAATTACCATGTATTCAACATTTCGATAGCTCAATGTTTCATTAAGGATTTGCTCTGTCTGGTTATCAGCAGCTCCTATATGTAAGAAATAAATTCAGTTATTAGATGGCTAAACACTGGAATGCATTTTAAACTCACAATTTCTCTGTAACAAACAGAAAAACCTGTTTGAATTCCCCCAGGAAAAAAAAAATTCTTCAACAGTAGATTAGGCTAATAATTACAGTTAGAAGCAAATATCATTGACACTTTAGATAGAAAATATATATATATATATATATATATATTTTCTAAAGAAACACGGATTATTTCAGCCAGTCTATTTTTATATATCTTTCTCTCAACTTAGGTTCACATCTTATTATATTTGCTATTTTTAGCTAACTCCTTAATAATTTTAACTCAATAAATAGAATTCTTAACATATTCTATAACTTTAATTAAATACATGAATGGGAGAGAGCAACTTCTCTCTTCTGCAGTATAGCAACAGCTAAACTGGATTTATATTTATGCAAATCTAACGGGCCATGAAACTTGTCTATGCAGATCTGAGTACAGCACAGTCCTAGAATTCCTTACTGTCATCCATAGGTGTAGTGTAAATTGGTTTTGCCTCCACTAATTGCAGAAAATCCACCTTGCATAGGGAGGGGTACAATTCAGCATTCAGTGCTTAGAGCACAAATAGCATCAGTTATCAGCATCATACTTGAAGGCGATGCATAGCAACCACAGTTAATAAAAGATGCAAACATTCCCATGGATGGTAAGTTAAAGCATGCAAACCTGGTAACTCCAAAAATTGTATGCACAACCAAAAATAAGATTAATTCTCCAAAAGGGAGAAAACCCCTGACATTTAAAGTATCTCAATCAGAAAAAGGCTCACAGGGTGGGGGGGAAATCATTATCAACAGGATATAAATGGCTGATTGAGAGGCTGACAGGGCCATATTCCAAATCACAGGAAGACAGAACTATAATACTAATTTCGTATTTACAGCTTTCAATAGATCAGAAAAGTGACAAGGCTGAAAACAGATTTTTTCAAGTGGTTTGCATCTGCTGCCAAATGCTTTCACTTAGTAAACAGCTACAAAAAAGAACCATGGAACCAAGGGTGCCATCACACATCAAGGGGTACCAAATTGGAAACAAGGTAGTAAGGAAGATGTCCATTTCTGAAGGAAGTAATTGCCAATGATTAATGTCTCAAGAAGTTCTGCAAATCACAATCATGCCAAGATATCCAAGCAACATGAACCTTCCTTTTCCCTAGGATAAAGCCCTAGGCAACCTGGACTCTCTCACGGCTGTTCCTGCAACTTGCTGAGGACACTTCCACCCTGAATTACTCTTAGATCCCTAATACAATGATGATAAAAGACCAGACTGTATCAGGACACATTCTCTGGCAGTCCATAAACCTCCCTCATTACACTTTCTATAGCTGTGGCAAGAAAGAAGTGCTTAGTTTTTTAGTCAGACCAGATTAATAATCTATTGATCTACACAGATATACTGTTAAACTCCTATTAATAAAAATCCCCTTTTTGAATTTTTATAACTAACATCTCTTCCATCCAGATTTCTAATCTGGACACTTGGAATTTCTGAAGTATTTGGCACTGAAATAAAGATTTTGTGTGTGTGTGTGTGTGTGTGTTAAATGCGAGGCAGGGAGGAGGAATATCTTTGCCTATTTGAGAATTAAGAGGGTGGGCATATTCTTGGGTGTTTTGCACACCTGTGGTTTTTGTGGGTTTTTTTTAGAAGATAGCATGACTGAAAAGGATTATTTACATAGAGGAACATACTCAGAAGTGGGTGTGCTGAACATTAGCCCTTAGCAGTCATTAAATGTGTATAATAGCTGTATGTGTTTGATCTGATTCCAGTAATTGGTATCGACCAACCCATGTGGCTATATCAGATTATTATTTTTAGTTCAGATTAAGAAAACCCACTCACACCAACAGATCTGTATGAAGCTAGGGAAAGCTGCATCAATCCAAATCGTCACTCTCCATGTATGCTCGCTCTCAAGTTTGCTCCGGGGAGACTGTTTTCAACGTTAAGAGTATATGATACCTCATATTCTGATAGTGCTAAAAACCAGAGGATATGTTTAAGGGGGATTGAAATATTCTGAGATTCCTTCCCAGGGCTTCTCACTTCCACAGTTTTGAAGAGGAAAAAGGAGGCCCTTGTTCCACCCCTCGATGTACATGACCTTTATACCCACAGAACACTAAAGCCCCGTCTGCTTAAGTATGGTTACACTGAAATCACACAGAATTTCTCAGGAAAACAGATTCCATCTGAACTGGGCTATGAAAAATGAAAGGGAAAATTCTGAATGGCTGACAAAATAGGTCCCAGACCATCCCCCACACTCTGCTTTTCCAAAATTTACCTGCTCAGTCTCTACAAGAGCCTCACTCTTCAAGTGCAACAATTTACATGCATTAAAAGGTCTCCTGGCACACACATCTTAACTGCAAACTCTGGCTGTAATTTAATTTGACTTTTCAGACTTACCTATAGGACGCTGGCATATACCCAAGAAATGCCTGTCAGCACAAGCAGTGAAATTCCATGTTCCAACATACTGTGATTTGGGATCATTGAGGATTACACCACACTGATTGTTAAATTCTTCATCAAAAAGCTGAAAACCAAAAATATGCTTATCAGACTCAAACAAGGCATAAACAAACTTGTGCAGAGAAGGTGAAGTAACATGAGGCTAGAAGAACCCAAGCTGTCTGAACTTGTTCAAGAAGTTTCAAAGGAGTGGTGCAATCCAGCTTACCTATTTTACAAACTACCAGGTGCCTGGACTCAGAAAAAATTCGTAAGTTAAATACAGGGGAAAATATTAAATTAAATGATTTAAGACTTAAAATAAATAAATCTTGTTTGTAGATGTGATTCTATTACATTTATTATGCTTCACCTTGGGTAGAGCAGTGAGTGAAATACCATTGTATAATGATTTACAGATGCATTCTAACTGAACCAAGAGTTATTGATGACATCTTTTTGATGACTGTTTTTTTTTTTCATGTAGTCTTTAAATAACAAATAGAAGTTCCAGAAGAGTCATTAAATGTTTTTTTCAGCTTTTTGCCTTCACCCTTCATTGTTTCATATCTCAGTTCAGAAGCTGTTAACCAAAGGTAAACAGAACTAGATTACTGTCAGTCACCTTGTTTGTCAATTAAAACCACTAACTGGGGGATTTGGTCTGTAACATATTTTTTTTTTTTAATACAGTCAATATTCCAAATTTTATTACTCAATAGTCAAAAAGAGTCAGAAGCCAGAACTTACGTCCAGTGGAATTTTTCTTAATCTTCCTGTCAGGAGTGGGTGAAAGTTGCTATACAACAGTCTGCTCTCATCTATCCATTTGTTTTCCCTTGTGCTGAACAGAAACTGCAAACCAATCCAAATATCTTTTGGCATACCAGGAAGCAAGGATGTTATATAATCTGTTGGGCAGAACAGTAAATGTACATATTGTTTACTGTTGTTGTCTGAAGCACTTCTGAGAAAAAACTTCACATAAATAAGATAATGCAATCTCTGTTTCTAACTTTATTTTTCCAGCCCTTTATGATTTCCAAATGCTTATCATCCCTTCCTGCTATAACACCTTTCATGCTGATTTTATCTGAAAGAAGACTATTGGTATTTGTCCCCCGAATTCTCAGCTGCGGAGCAGGTAGTGGATTTAACCTGTTTCTCTGCCCACTGCTTTGTATTATTGCACTTCCATTCAAATTTCAGAGGCTGTTTTTCCACAGGCCTGCAAGATCTCCTATTGTCTCCCTGCAGAGATACCAGAGGAGTTCCCTCCTGCCCTCTCTGAACTGACGGAGTTGTCTTATCTCACATCTTCCTCTCCTACCATAGATCAGAACCATTTCTTGGATTCTGGCAGAGTTGCCCACCCCATCATCAGAGAAAGCAGGACAGGACAAAGGAAGTCAGGTTTAGTTAAAAAAAAAAGATTCAGCCACGAAAACCTTACACCAGACCCTTCTTAGTGAGCGTTCTGGCAGGAAACAATGGGATTTGGTAACCCCCAAGGCATCAAAGCATTCACTGAGCTTGTCTAGATTAGGAAGACAAATTGAAGCTATATAATTAGCTACTGCTGTCTTGTCTTAACTATTGGCCACATGCCAGCCTAGCTGCAGCCTATTTTCTGAGCAAAGCCATTGAGGATTTACATGTCAGAGCTAGCCAGCCACCTAATGCCACTGGGAAGAGTAGAAGCAGCCTACAGAAAGAGGCATGTTTCTTTAAGACAACCATGCCTTCTGTCCAGATAGGCAGCCTCCACTATAGGAGGGAAAGAAAAACAAACAAGAAACAATAACAAAACATTTCCATATGCACCAAACCAGACAAAACATCCTGCTATGTAAGATTTCAGATTGGCTATGCTTTTGCAATCTTAAATGCATCCAATAACTCTCAGGTTGTAGACATGTAAATTCCTGTATGGTTACAGGCCTAAAAAAAAAAAAAAAAAAAAAAGAACATTCACCTGCTGCCTGCAGGTACACTAGTGGCCTCCCTAGTCCACTTTCCATATTCCTCTTGGCAAGAGGTTATTTGCTTATAAAGAAAACATGCACTGTGCACATTGCAGAATTCAGATATGCCTGCAGAGGACTGTTAGTTATCCACAAGAATACAGATGCAAATACAGCTGTCTCATTCAGCAGTCTACTGCTAAACATTACTTGCAGTGATGCAAATGCATTTCTTCCTCACTGCATTTACCTCAATGACTCTAGTTTATATGACAAGTGAGAGGCAGGTCCCAGAGGTGGAACAACTCGGTGTTCTGCAGCCCCCTGCCTTCTGCCCTCCTGTCAGCATCCTGGAGAGCCTGCAGGTGGTCAGTTTAGAGACACTGCCTTATTAAGCTGCTCAGCACACTCAGATATTGTGTTTGCTATCTCGTTCCCACACAGACAGCTGAGCTTTCTCGGAAGCAGGTCCTAAGGTGGTTTTCACAGTACAAAGTCTACAGTCTCAGTTAGGTTTCACCTTGCAAAACAAAACATGGGAATTCAGTGGTGAACCTTCTATCCTCAACCCTTAATGCAAGGTTTTACAATTTTTTCTTTTTATAACAGGTTAAGATCATACAAAGAAGCTGCTCTTCAAAAACTGGCTCAAATGTTTGCTGACTGCATTTCCATGTTAATGTTTCCAGTGATGTAAACAACAATACAACACGTTTTTAACTGGTCTTGGATTTTTAGAATGCTCCCAGTATGCCTGTAGGTAACCAAGTGATTTTATGCTCAAGTTCTTAAGCAGAGCTGTACTGAATTTGGAAGAGAAGCTGTATATGAAAAGTGTCCCCAGTTCACCATCATACCTTGCTCAGCTTGATTTGAGATAGATGGAAGAGAGCCTCCAAAAGTTACACACTTCTCATTAGCTGCATTAAATGTCAAATATTCGGGTTTCATCTTTAGAAAACACTGAAAAAAACCATAATGAAACTGATTTTCATCATACCTTTCCAAGAAATACCTTTCATCATTGCTTCCTAAGAAATAACTCATAAGAAAAGGTTCTTACACCATCCCTAAAAACTCACTTTTCATTTCCTGCAATAACAATTATTTTTATCAGAAAGCAAGGGAAATGATTCTAGCTGCATTTATTAATAGATTCAACAGAATAGCTAAATATAAAATGATCCCACTGACTAACTCATTCACTCAGGATTAGAATTCAGTAATTTTTAATTGGCTGCATAAGGATCACGTACTGTTTTAAGAATGAGAATTCACACGTGAACTTTCAATCAGATAGGGTTGGGCCAGGAATCTGTACTGTAATGCATTACATTTTGGGAGAAACTACATGGGAACTCAAAAGCTACATTCTGCAATGATGCGAAGTAAATTTGCAAACCTTGACGCAATGTAACATGCAGATCTGATGCATGCTCCTTCTTATGTACAGAATAATGTTGGGCCAAATAACAGGAATCAACCTCACTAAGACTTCTGATGACTACCTTAAAACATAGTCTTGAAATATACCGTACTATGGCTTCTGACCTGTCGGTTCATTCTTAAAAGGTGCTTCTAATTCTTAAGTGTGTTAAGGCCTTAAGGCAACTTTGGAAGCAGAGTGTCTGCCAGCTTGCTGCCTGCCTATGTTTAATCAGTGAGAGAATCATGATACTTCTGCCACAGAAACCTTATCCTTTCCCTTTCTAATCCTTCAAAGCAGAGCCCAAGATTAGACAACACAACCAACATTCTTGGATTTAAACATGGAATGATGGGAAAGCAAAAATCCTGAAAATTACTGCTTTGAAATTAAGAAACCATCAATCATGAATAAAGGACAGAGAAGTGGGGGAGATGATTTTGATCACTACACATAGTTTTCGAAAGCCACCTCCCAGTCCATTCCTGAATACAGGGGCTACTTCCTCACCTCCTTTAGCAGGGAATTCCATCTTACTGGACTATGAAAAAAAGGTAAGGATGATCAATCTGTATTATCTCTGTACCTTATTCCGGAACCGATGCCAACCTTTACGGCAACCTCCTCTGACTGGACGGTAACTGGGATCATGTTTCTCTAGTAAGGAAGCATTATTTTTTTCACAGATGAAGGGCAGTTTCACATTACAGTTAACTGGGTAGTCTGCAAAAATGGAAGTTTTAAAAAACAGTTATGGTAATGCCTATCATGCTCCAAGTGCCATCCATACTTTATGACATGGCAAAGACCAATCTGAAGTGAAGTCCTTTCAGTGCAACCACAACAAAGTACTATGCAATCTAAAACATTAAAAGTAACAGCAGAGCAAAAGACAAACGTAAATTATTTATATCAGACAGTAATACAACATTCCTAAAGATCCAGCGTCTGATCCCTTACTTGCAGTAATAACATTTCATATAGGCAGACAACTTCAAAACGGAAAAACCATGAAGTAAGAAGACTTTGAATATGAGGACTAATCTCATATTCTGGCATAGAGGGCGTGTGACCTAAAGGTTATTAAAACCAAAAGGAATCCTTTAACAGCTGCATGGAGAGCATCTGGCATGTACTGCTTCATTAGACTACTATAGTAACTGGACTGTCTTCCTAAACAAGACCCATTTTTGGTAATGGGAATGAAACCAGGTCAGCAGCATGCAACAGAATTGGGAAAATGTGCTTTAAAGTGGAAATGGTAGTAGATGGGAGGAAATATTTGTTCTCCAGGGGTTATTATACATTTTCCCCAATATAAAACAATGTTGAAAAAAGGAAGTAAGAAGCTTCAAGTACCACCAGGTGGAATTTCCATTACTTTGTGTACCTCTTTCACTATGACTCCACTACTCAATGAAATCCGCATCTCCAGATGCGTATGCAGTTGCAAGTATCCAGTCAAGCTCCTCTAACTAACACAACATTAAGACTTAATTTACAGAGCTCAGCGTATGTAACGTAAACAAAACAGGTAACCACCAAAGAAAGATTTGACCTAGTTAACTTATGTCAGAAAACGGGTGACAGTCAATCATAAAAAATTGTCATCTGAATTTAGGTTTGCCTCAGGTCACCAAGAAATATTACCATAGCTTCTACCATGAGGAAGAAATAAATGATTCAAAATTCAATCAGATGACCACTAAGAAGTCATTTACTCCTAATTCAATATCAATTTGCATTCAATGTAAGAGTTTAGGCTGAACAGAAATTACTTTTAAAAAAAAATATAATAATGACAGACAGGGGTGAAAAAATAAAACTAGTCATACCTCTATACCAGTTCTTTCGAGAAACGTACCAGCAGTCTCTTAGGAATCGATCATGGAAGCGTGAAAATAACTGTAAACTGGATATAAACAATTCAGAGTCAATGTCCAATACAATGGGATCTTCAAAGGCAAACTCTGATAGCAACAGAGCCAGTGCAAACAAAAATTTGGGCTGGTAACTGTTTCTAGGAGATGCCCTACAACACTGGAAAGGACAGAGCAGGGAAAAACTAGATGAGGAACAAATATGTGGTAGGTTCAGTAGTTATGTGCCATGCCCAAATTAATTTTGTTGAGATGTGCAGAATGAGGGTAGGATGTTATTTATCACCATGCTGCAATCACAGGACACTGACAGGACAAGTGAGGAGAATGAGCAATAACATGTTTTATTTTCACAGTAGTATACTGCTATAGTATTTTGGAAAGGGAAGAATTTTCCTTGTAAGAAGCCCATGATATTTTGCTGCAGCCATGAATGGCATGATGCAAGGTTTGCTGTGAGTCATTTCAGCTCTACAGGGCTATACTCTAAGCCCTCCAAGATTTTGGCATTACCTAACTGCAAGAGTGATGTCTTGAACCAATGTTCCATTCCCTGACCTCAGGTATTTCTCAGATACCCTCAGAGCCAACAGACAAGGTTTTTTTTCCAGAATCTTTTTCTTTTTTTTTGTTTCAATTCCCCAATTATTGACAGAACATAGAAATGGGCTCAAAAATCCAATAAAAGCATTTTAAAGATCAATGGAATACATTAGCTCCTAGGACCATAGATTTCAAGGATTCACATAACAAAACTAAGATGTCAAAGCCCAACAGCCTCAAAACTAGAGGCTCCAATAGCATACAAGAAATGGATTATTAATTCAGTTATTACTAAGTTATTATGAATTAAAATTTGTTGATGATGCTTGTAATGGGAATAGCACTCAGAATTTAGCAACTAATTAAAATATTTCAACAATATTTTGAAATATACACACTTTCTAATTGTACACTCATACTGTCTTAACCACTGTTTGCTTTGTCTGAGCACTACACAGTCCTACTTTCTCTGGCTTAGGTACTTTATGGTCCAAGTTTAGCATGGCAAGAATAGGTGCAGGTACATGTGAATGAAAGGAGAGAACAGCAGTTACTGAATAATGCTGTATGTTTTTCTAGTTTAGTTCAAATTATCTATCTTACTTCTTTGCAATGATACAGAAGTAATTTGGGGATAAAATATTTTCCTTAGAAACTATTCTAGTTAACCATATTCCTAAAAGGCACATCAAAAAAAGCTTACAATAAAGCATCCCATAATTATTCTACATACGGTGAATGATAGCTGTAGCCATAATCAATAAACTTCAGCCACCATTTCTGTTCGCTGTTTGATAACTGTGGAAATAAAGAACAAACCCCCCATTATTTTACAACCCATAGAGAAAAAGCTTCAGACTCTACCAAGAATAAATCAATGACAAAATTAATTTTTATTTAAAATGTTTCTAAAATGTGCAGCAATTACTTCAGCAACAGGAAAGGATATAGCTTGAGACTGATATGCCAAGTAGACAGACTCATGCATCTATTAGAAAAAAAAAATCCCACATTTTCCACTGTGCTAGATAAAATTTTGCAGCATTAAGATGTCTTAAGTGTGTTCTAGATACATCAGTCCAACAAAATTCATAGCAGGAACTCTACCAGATGACCCAGACATAGCTGCAATCTGCCTAAAGCTGATGTGGTTCCATGTGACCACAGGTGTAGCAGGTCATAAATCTTGATTTCTCCTGCCTTGTAATTTCTCCTTCCAAGTAACTTCTTGTCAGGAGGAATTTCATGAAGAGAGCTTGCAAGCTGCTAATTTCCCAAAGTAAGCAGTAACACTGAAGAAAGTTACTAACAGAGGTGCTGAAACTTAAAATGTTTTGGTACGATTCCTTAAATGAATGTACTCTCAATGTACATTCTTTACTTTACTTTCAGTAAAGGCTATCAGACCATCATGCGTTTCTAATTAAATCCCCTCATCAGGGCAAAAAGTATTTACTGTCCCATTCATAAAAATAAGAACTGGCATAACTGTTAGTGAAGCATTCGCAGACAATGGCATGCTTACACGGTGGTCCTCTTACGACACTTTCTCTCCATTTGGAGGTGATTTGGGTTTTTTTCACATTCTTAAGGTTACTTTTAAATTTAAAAATTCTTTTGCAAGACTGACAAAACTAATTCTCTTTCAACTCATCTTTTCCTTTTACATACAATTAAAAGAAAGAAATTAAGGATTAACATCTTCTTACAATTGGACAAACTGGCAAGAAAATTTCCCTATAGTGAAAAGTATCTGTTAAACAGATTACAACTTCTTACCTTTTCTATTTGAGACAGTATTGTCCTGAGTTTTGGGTAAGACTCCACAGAGGCTAAATCACTATCATTTTTTTGACAGTAGAAAATAGCTTCCTGAAAGCTCAGGTTTTTATCTGGTACAAACCACAGCTCTGCTCCATCAACAACAAGTGGGGCTCCATGAATTCCTATTTCATCTATGCAGAAGAAATACCACGCATAAGAAATCAATTCTAAAAAACTCATCCTTTCTTTTTCTGAATGTAGTTAAGAAATTTCAGTTTGACACTGGGAAGAGCCAATGTTCTTTCCTGCATTCTGAGCTCTGTCAGAACCAAATTCTATCAGTCATGATCTTTGCTGGCATCAAACAGGTATTCAAGTAGTAATATAACCAAACTAATAAAATATACAGAGTATTAAACAACTATATACACATTGTGGAAGAATACGCAAAAAGTCCGTTTACCTGGTATATACCAGTCAGGTGTCTTTGGAGTGCTACCTGCCCAGAGGGAAAAAAAGGAATAGTCACTTCAAGTTCACCTTCTAACAAGACTGTGGTCACCAACAATGGAAGTAATGGATCATATTCATGCTTCTCAGTGTACATGATGGAAAAAATAAAAGGAGAACGATGTCATACACAGGTTTAACAGTTTAAAACAAGCTGATGTAAAACTACAGTTTTGCATACCTCAGTCAAAGAGCTGTGAGCTTTTTTCTCCCAAGCAGAACACAAGCATCAGACTAGTGTATCTGCCCATACCTCGCCATAACAAGAAAGTTTCATCCAATGAAATGCCTTTTAATGAACAACCAAAACACAAAAGCCTACTGGATTACAGTACTTTTCATATTGCATGGGAAAACCTGGATCTGTGCAAATATGCCATCCCATTCTCTTGTACTACCACTTCTCTGTCTCACTACAATGAGGAGCTAGTACACCAGTTTTACCAGAAGGTGGCTAATTCATCTAAGGTTGAAGCAAACTGTACACCCAAGATGTCTTGGTCATACAGTTACAAATATCACTTAAGAAATATTGAATAAAGTCCACAAATGGTGCAACTTGGTGGCTTATATTACCTCGCTTAATAAGCCACTTCTTGCTTCATGGGACAAGGAAGAATATGAGAGCAGAGATACTGCATCCTCCTCACAATCACTTTCTGATATAGCTTTTAATATTCTAAGTGTTTGTCTGTTTGTATGGACACAGGCAAGACAACTCATGTACTATCCCCTTAACAGTTCAGAGAGGAAATGGTAAAATACTGTTTGCAAAGTTTCTGGTATTAGAGAATAATGACAACTTGGTGGTAATAAACTTTTATATGGGTAAATGGATGGAACTGAAGTTTACCTTTTGTTATCTGGCAGACCCATTCAAGTTTAGCTTCACAGTCAAAAGGCCTAAAGTAGAATTCCAGATCTCTGCCTTCATGGAAATAAAATCTCCAAAATGATCTCCGTGAAAACTGAGAGGTCTGTATAGAAGTAGAAACAGAGAACTGAGTTAGTATGGCACAGGCCTCTGAAATGTGAAATGAAATAGTATTAAAAATGTACCATGGCAAAGTCAGTATATTTTACTGTGGTATTAGTCCCACGACTTATTTTGCAAAAAATGAGCACATAAAACTGTGTCTCTTCAACTATAACTCTCCAGACTAACCAAGCTTGTGAGGCAATAAGGTAAAGGGCTTAAGGTCAGCCTACATACCAAAGTATTTTCTTGCAATGTTGTTTATTTGTTTTTTTGAAGTGCACAGGATCTCACTGATGCTTATTACTGGACTACCTGTTGCAACTTGTTGCCCTGAAATGATTCTAATTTGTGTTCAAAAGAAGAAACCATCTGAACTGGCACAGAAATAGTTTTTTTTATTTATTTCTTATAATCAAGCTTAAAAACTGACCTCACTCTTACTGATCTCTGTAATAAGGAGAATTTTTTATCATTTAATGGAAGAACATGTCTATACCTAGCAGGTAGGGGAGGGAAGTTACTATATTCACACTGTCCCCTTCAAACTGCTTTTCTTTTATTTAAAATTTTTAGTATCTTAATGTTGACAGCTTCTTGGCCTGGGGTCATGAACATAGAAAATAATGAGAGGAAATGTCTGTGAATTGAAGCAGAGATGCAAATACATTTTCCTTCAGTAAATCCTAAAAACAAAGGTGATTCTAATTAGGTTAAAAGAAGGGGTGGTATAGGAATGATCTTATAAAAAGTCAGGTGATGCTTCACAAAAGTTAAAGGCCATTTTAAAACTCATGCCATCAAGACTAAATTAAGCAATGAAAAACATAATTATAAATTAAGCAGAGGCCTGACATTTTGAATTAGAAACTGACACAGCTCTTACAGTCTATTTTACAAGTAAACAAAGAAATACACACAATAAACAAACCTACACTCTATTCTGGTTACTGCATTCCCCTTCTTTAGGTTTCAAACGTTTTCTTAATTTGCAGTTCATTTAAAAGTTGGTAGGGTTCTGTTATCTTTTTTATTTTAGACTCCACATTACATCCTTAAGTATGTGTAATATACAAGAGATACATAGTATTGCATTATGCAATAGTGAACAGTGTTGTTACTAAAATATTTTGTAGTTCAAAAGAAGTCTTAAGACGGGTTATCATTAGCACAGCACTTGGCTCATAAAAAACTGCTTGAACAAAGGAATACTGATAATAGGTGTAGATTAATGAAGGGAACACTAGCAACTTTTTCACTACACATAGAAAACATCTCCGAAGTCAGCCTAAATTAAATATATGGGTGGCAAAAGTGTTTTTTCCAAGTATTTCCATGTAAAAATATGCATGCTGTTATTAAGAACCTTGAAACTAACCTTTAATGCAGCACAGTCTCTTGTATCATATTCATCTTCCAAATAATCGAGTGGCATAACAACACTAGTAACCTACAAGTCAAAAGAATCATTATGTCTATTTTTGCTACAGTAATCCCCAGAGATAGCCATTCAAACCTGGGATCCCACTATGTCCATCATTATTAAAATATTTGTTAAACGGCAGTTACTGGATCGCTTTTAAGTCTGCATACCTGTTATTAAGGGGGGTGGGAGAGGGAAGGAACTCACAATTTCAGGCAAATATATCAATTACAGTGAGGATGATTTTTTTGAGAAGTCTGTCATCAAGGAGATAAAATGATAAACCCTCCCTTCTGTTGTGGCATGAAGACATCTTGTTCTCTCCACCAGCTCTTAGATGTTTACTACTACATTTCTGTTAAAATATTTTAATGCAATAGACACAGAAATCAGGTTAACCTTATTAAAGATATGTTTTTAATTGGAAGTCTGCCTGGATGGCAGCTCTTAAGTGCACAATCTTCTTCTGAATTATTCATCTGTTGAACGATCTGCCATATTTTAATTACAATATTTATCAATTTACTTTCAATCCAGTCCAAGCTGAAACAAATCAGGACATGATGCTTCTTGGTTAAAAGTTAACTTACGGGTTTATCATCACTCCATTGCCAGGTTCCCAAAGAATCTGGACTCCTCTTATTCATTCCAATCCATACCCATCTGTCATTGCTGTAAATAAACAAGAGAAAGTCTTAAGCCAAGTATATATCAGCTCATTTAATGAAAAGACTGACCTATGTCATGTCATTACTTAGGATCAAGCAGCAAAACCAAAGGATTACTACTGGAAGTTGTAGCAGTTCAAAGAGAAAATGGGTGTAACGGCTAGGACCTCTTCTGCACTTTTTTTTTTTTAAATCTGTAGGCTGTCTTTCCCTTACCACAGAGAAAACTACTAAATCAGATAATTCCTTTATTCACTGCATCACCACTTCATCAGCTGTTACTTGATATAAAGGTCTCTTCTACACTTTTCTTCACACACAGAGTTTATTTAGCTTGCTTCTCTTTCTCTTATTCATTTCAGGTCATGTCTCTCTACACCATCAGCTCAAATACACTCTTCCTCAAACCACACGAAAACTCATACAAAATAACTGGCTTCACATTTCCCTTAAGTCTGTCAGTGATACAATCAACCAAGCATGGGCACATATTTCAATTATGCACCTTCACAAAAGAGGAACAGACATAAATAAGCACATAACACCACTAACTCTCAATGCTTGCATAAAAGAATGGCAATAGAAATTTTACTCCACTTTACAGGATTACAGTTAGAACTGTGGTTTTTGATAGATTCTACTTCTTCATTTTTCATTAATAGGAGACACTTAAATTCAAAATTTCAGCTATGTTCCAAAATACAAAGTTGCACCAGAAAATGGGTTTACGATATAAATACTTAAATCCGCACTAACAGCCTTTAGTATTGCTCATGAATCTAAAGATACTATAACAAAATTAAGTATGTGCTAGCCAAACTGCAAGGTTAGTTTTGTACTGCAACCTCTACTTTTCAAAGTATCAATTTTGTGATGGGTACTGAAGTTTAAGATCATTCACTCCAATCCACTACCCTTCCTAAGAAAGGCAGTAGACACTTTTCTGAATGATGGTACCAGTTGGAAGCCGCAGAAGGGAGAAAGACCACGGGTCTTCTATAAAAACACAGACTACGTGGAACCCTACTGTAACAGAGCTGTGGAAAAGGCACTCATCAGGCAGTCTGACAGTGACAGTAAAGTATTGATCCCACAGTACAGGGCTCTTGTAAAACTGTATCAGGAATACTATTCCATGAGATCATGCTGTATCAAATACAGAAAAGGAATACAGGGTATTTGCAGAAATGAGAGTTTAGGTTACTAACAAGAATTAAGGATTTTCTTGCTAGTCTTGACAAAGAAAGAAAGAAAGGAAAAGGATAATAGAATATATTAGGAGACTAAACCCCCAAGAAAAGGAGCTATTTGAGCAAAAAAGACATGTGTTTAAAGGAACCACAACTCAGGAATAAATTTAGGCTAAAAATTGGAGAGATGTCTGACAACAGCAGTCAGAGTTTGTAAAAGGCTCCCAAAAAAGCAGTGCCTACAAACTGGAAGTGATTTTAAGACAGAATTTGGAAAGTTTATGAAAATAACTTTATTGCATGGAGGGACGGACTCATACCCAGGCTTACCTGCATAAGCAATGTTATGAAATCACAGCCAATGTTAAATTCTTTGCTAAGACTGTGCCACTGTACCTTTCCACACATATCACTATATCACCATAAAGGTGCTAAATAGAGCCTGAAATGGATGACAGTGCAGCACAAACAAAAACTGAGATCAGAGTATGCAGGCTAAGTACATGAAATCCAAGGAGGCAACAGCATTTTGTTTGGTAGGGCTCCCATTAGGAAGAAAAGCATCAGCCACCAACAAATGTCTTTTTTTTTTTCCGCTTCAACTCCACTATTAATTTTCTGACATTGGTGTGATAGTGTGATCACACTAGTGAGATCTTATCATACTGAATAGTCTTTAGTCTTTTAATGATATCACTAAGGGGCCTTTAAAGAGCCTAAATGCCCCATATCACTCCAGAGGGAAAACTGTGAGCCAAACATTCACAGCTGTCAAGCAGCTAAGTGGCTTTTGGCAATTTGCCTTTAGGATTTTATTTTTCTGTGATTGTGATTTCCAATTATGAATCAGACACTGCTTAACCTTCCCCTACTAATCGTCACCTACAGGATTAATGCAATTTAAGCAATTGATCATCACAGAGGAATATCTATTAAAAAGAAAACTTGAGACACTCATTTCAAAAGGATCTGCAGTAATTACCTGAGAAACTAGAGCAATTTTTCAAAGTCTTTCAACTTGTATTTGGCTTTTATGTAATAACTACATTAAAAAAAATTTAAAAGTATGCCAGGTAAAGAATTTCTCCATTTCATCTCCAGGTTAAAATTACTGGCCTGCAAGCATAACAATGTTTTCCAGCTGACTGGGCATTTACACATTATGTACATCTTTTTGCTTCTTTTGGAACTGTTCAGAAATGACCCTGAGTAATTCAGTAACTGCTACACTATCCTTGATAGCACTTTTAAACTTAAGCAAAGCCTTTTGATAGCTGTCTGAAATTATACTATCATCATCTCATCACAGAAAAGAATTGCACCAACTATTTAAGACAAATATGAATTAAGACTATCTATTGCAATTAAGCTTGCAGCAAGGAATTTGCTTGTACTTTAGATATGACTCCTCATTGCAAAATGTTTAAAATTCATCATATAGACTGGTATCAAAGTAGATTTATCAATGCCAGAGTATTCTTTGAGCTACATTTCCTGGAAACACTTCTAAAATCTAGATTATCCTGAGTTTTAACCTAAAATATAGGTTATTTGTGCTTTACAATGGACTCCACGCTGATTAATAATGGAAGATCCTCAATCTCCAGCAATCCCTGCAGAATACTAGTGGCTTTTCTCTCAAATAGAACTAAAACTTCAGAGGCTAATGTTGTGCAGAAGTGCATAAATAGAGTTTAGATCAATGTGAAGGGGGTATTAATCAGTAATTTTTCTGCTGTCATATTCTAACTGCTGAAATAAAAAAGTATTTTTTCTGTCCCTTATGTCAGCTCCAACACAAAATTAAGAGCTTAAGTAAAGTTGTTGTGGCTTGTAGCTCAACCTAGCTCTTGATAAGAGGTAACACCTATATTTGGGCCAACTCTCTAATGGTGCAAATTAAGGCACCATTTAATCTTAGGCAGTGCTGGCCTAAAAGTATATACGAAGCCCATTTGACCCCCTGCACTTCCTTCTGTAATGGGCTACTGCTACTAGCTGAATCCCCATCCTGCTAATCACCTACTCTTTAGTGGAAGAAAAGAGAAGCTGTATTAGGGCAATTACTATATCTTGCATCTTAAGCTTTCTTGCTGTTTTGCCATGTGTTGACAAGTTTTTTCTTGTAAACTCAAGTGTTTGTGAGGCTTTCTAGATTCAGAACAATTAAAGCAGCAGCGCTGTGCATATAAAAGGCAAGTGATTTTTTTGCAGTAAGGTGTCCTCATTGAAATGTTATTTCTAACCAATTCAAGTTGTTACTCTCCTTGTGTCCAGTGTCACTGCCAACTGTAAGCTGCAGAACGCTCACAAAACCAGTCCTAAAACAATGGAGTAACTGAACCAGATCTGTTCTGCTTGTGTCATGTCCCTCACAGTGGAAAGAGGTTATCTCTTATTTCTTCCAGACAGGGGAAGGTTGGCAGGCAAATTTTATTTTCCTTTCCAATGGCAATCGCCCCACTTGGCTGGAGCAATTCTAGCTCTTATTTGCCTCTAAGGTGGAATCCGAGTAAAGAACAGAACGGACTAGGCAAGCTGCCCTTTTCCTGGTGAACCAAATTGACTTTTGCTAACATTTAAAAACAAACAGTTCTCAATGAGTCACCGGACAACTGTGCAAGGGGAAAAAACCCGAAACCAAAAAATCCAAGGTGTGGCTCCTTCACCGAGCTGAAATGAGTGCGCTGAATGAATAGATTAGGTCAGAGTTTGCACTCAGTAAACGCAGAGAACACAGAAAACTGCATGCCAGCACACTCCAGCTGCTAATCACATCTAACATTATCTTAGGTTGATTTCTCCCAGATAGCTAAATTAATTGTTCTTGATGAAATAATTCACTTGGTTTCATCTCTCCTTTTTTCAAATGAGCTTATTTTCAGACAAGCTATGCTTGATTCTTGATCTCCAGAATACATAATCACCACCTCTGAGTAATTAAAAAAACACAAACACTTCATTATGTTATCTAAACAAATAAACATTATTTAAAAGACTTCAGGCAATATCAAATATGTAGTACTTCAGGAAGCTCTGCAATGCTTGAAAAGGCGTTAATTGGTGAAAATTGGGTTATATTTGACACATGAAGTTACCGCAACACTGACTGCAAAGTCAATTTGTACTGGGCTCAATATGTATTGCCCTTTATTTACATGCTGGGTTAATATATTGCCCCTTATTTAAGTTGTGGTAGAATAATACTGAAGTACTGGGCTTTTCCTTCTTCCAGGCTTAGTTCAAGTTCTCTGAAATATGGGAACAGCAGTAGCTGTTCACCTGACCTTCTGGAAAGACAGAAAAAGTCTCCACCTTTAAACTCCTAACAAAAAATAGCCATTAACAATAATTAATACCTCAGACAGTCCACAAGCTGAAAAGTAGTTCAAAGTACTTGTAGGAAAATAAGTTACTTCTTTATTCATGTTTCATAGTAGATTAGGAACACTAAAACAAAATTTGTAGTTGCAACAGAGTATAACAACATCTATAGCTAAAAATAATTTGTGCACGAATTTTTATTTCAGGGACTTTAGTCACTAGCGAAGGAATCACAAGAGGCTTTTATACAAGCTAACCCATCTATATATAGAGCATACAAGTTTGTTTTTGTCTCTTATTCATATAAACATTGAGTAATTTTCATGACTTGTGCACTTCTAAAAAAAGTTCAGTGGATTTTCAAGAAGGCATCTCTTCAGTCATCAAGTTTTAAAATTTAATTGCAGTGCTGTACATTGGCAGCTTCTGAAATAAACCTGATTTAGTTTCCTGATGAAAAAAATTTATATCATATAACTGGCAGCATTTGAATTTTAGCTGGCAAAAGTTCTGAAAAAGCAGGCTGCCAATCAGAAAAAAAAATTACGCAAGGATCTGACATCACACCAATGCCTAATAAAGCTTTGCAGTGACAGTTCCCTTGATTAAGAATAGAGCCTTAGACTCATAAATAATGTAGCATTTAATTTGTTGATACCAGAAGACTCAACACACCCATCTAATGCCCATATAGTGTTATTGCAGTTATGCCAAATGGGATCTGTGCCAACCAGATTGCTGGACACTACATTATTCACATTTTCAAAAGATAGCACCCAGTTTAGTCAGGAAGCATTTAATGAATAAAGATGAGACCTATCTGAAAAACTGAAATAATCTCATCTCTAAAGAATGTAGCAGTAAAGAACAGGAACAACTATCATCTAGTTGTGTCAAAATTCAACATAATGAAGGAAATATAGCAACAGAGACTTAAATTCATGCAATGGAAGATGCTCAAAGCAAGTTTCTCTTTCCCTGTGGTCCCTCTAGCAGTGTGAAATATTTGCCCAAGCTGTACTCCCTTGATATTTTCCAGGAAGGCAGTGACATGACCAGCAGTTCAAATGCCACATCTATCTGTTTTGACTGTGGGAAACACAGTCAACACACACTATCTCATACTTGCCATCTGGGGTCAGCAGCAGCATTTGCAATCTACTGCAGAATGCGACTGAAATAAAAATTCTAGTGCATAGCTAGTTTGTTACCTGATTATTTTTCTCAGGATAGAATGAAGCGCCTTGATTTCTTCTGAGTGACTAAAACTAGGCAGATGGCCTCCAAGTGCTTCACAGAATCTTTCTGCCTCTTCCCATGTCCTGGTTCGCAGCACTCTTTCACTGTGGAAGAACTTCACAACAGCCAAACATCGGAGTAGAAGATGACACAAGTGACAGCATTCTTAAAACACTCCTGTACTAGTCAAATATGGCCACCCTAGGTAGGAATGAGTAACTGGTATTTTCATAGATAGAGAGATTGACTTCTTAATAATTTATTTTTTTTTTCAGTTTGACAACAGTCAGACTCTGAAGTTTAGCTGACAAGATTTGTTTCAAATTCAGCGTATTTCATATGGCAGACTTTTTGTTTTTCTTTTAACAGAAAGATTTTAGAAAACAACACCCAACTCATTCCAAAACTGAAAGCCAAATTATAGGTTTTAAGGGATGTTGTCCTTTCAAATTTATGAACTGCAAAGCCCAATGTCCACTGAAACCAGGGCCATTTAGGTGCTGCATGTGAAGAAGGTTCTTTGGCACACACTTTGCTATCTTTATGTATCAGAGTTGCTTATTTGGCTCATACACCTCAGCTAACATGTCCACTTGATCCCCTTGACTTCAGTTCAATCCAATTCCCATCAGTGGTATCTCTGCACAGACATGCTGCACTTGGTCAGCAAGAGTTTTGGAAACACTGCCAGGGCCAGCTGTCACATCCCATCAGCTATGGGACAGCCATGCTGCATATCAACTAGACCCATCCCTGCGGGATCCCTGCCCACAGACTTGTTATTCAAGTTGGGTTTCCCCAGTTTGCTACATGAGCTGTTTACAAGACACAGTTCATTGCAGACACTGAGTCCAGAAATAATGAATGAACAACCCAATAAACAGTCGCAGTTTTAACTTGATTTGATTGCTAATAGGAGGGGAAAACCCTGCATTTCTAACTACAAACTTTTAAAGTCATTCCAGCTAACAATACGGCTGCTTACTTCCACTAGTTACTTCAAAAATAGTAAAATACAATTGAAGCTGCTTTTTTTGATAAAGTTTGATATCCACATTCAAACTAGAGAAAAGTCTACCTCTCCTATCTACACTCTTAGAGTACAGAAGGGAAAGGAACAAGGGAAGATGATACAAAGCACTCTCATTCTCTGTTCAGGTATCTCTGCATGCCAGATGATGGCAGGCAGGCTGGGATACAGACACAGCACCCTCTGCCAGCACCAGGCTCCTGAGATGGCAGCACAGGGCAAACGCTGACACCTCACTGATGTGCAAAATTTGCCACAGAAAGAGCAGGGAGAGGCAGCAGCATCTTTCAGGAGTTGGCAGAGGATGATGCATGAGAACATCTGGAGGCAGTCAACCTGAATCAACATGAATTCCTCCTCCCAGTGTAAAACGTATTTGAAATACCCTTCAGAGCAGCTATAAACCACAAAATGGCTAATCACACACTTGCTGCAAGACAGTAATGAATGATTAACATTTAATAGGAATACCATTTTACCTTGTAGCAGGCAAGGCCGGATCCATTGTGCCACCCAGGGGGACAGGGATCAGTTGGTTTTGGAAGCACTTCTGGCTCCTTGGGGAGCCCAATATATTTTTTGCAGACAGAAAATGCTTTAGTGGTTTTACAGTCCTTAGTTTCCCACTTTCCAAGAGACTTTCCACTGGGCATGGCCACACATCCTCCTGAAAACTCTAAGATTTAAGCCACCAAAGACATATTTAAAACTACTGGCTGGTTTCCCCCCCCCCAAATCCATAGATTTTTGAATGACTGTTCTATTTCATGCTTGGAGTTCTGTAACATTGTACTCCAATGCTTGCTCAATGTGAAATTATAGTATTTTTACATATTTTTTTAATTGTTAAATTTACCTGGTTGCAAGGAATTCCAGTTAGTGTACGTCACAGCTTCAGTTTTTTCCCCATCCACTGTACCCCAGGAATATATTCCCGATTGGCTAATATCCTGCAAACCGGTCCAGAAGTATTTTTCTTCAACTTTTGTATGTTTTCTAATTAGACTGTTTATAAATTCTTGCTCAAATCTGAAAATTCACAGATTAATTTGAGTCCATATTTGAAAGATATCTGAAACTATTGAGACAATTTGAAAACCAGGCATATTATTACATTAGTTAGTCCAAGTGGTTGTTCAGGCAGTCCCATATTCAACATGGAGTCAACAGGCTGGGAATTCACATACTTCCACGAAGGTTTTACACTGTAGGTTTACCACTGTCACACCATGGAAAACACGGTTTGCTAGTTCTCCACAAAAGCAAGTCTATCTCTATTTTGGGTTTATAAACCACTAATTAGCATACACAAGTTTTAATCTCTGACTATATCTCCAAGATTGTACTGTAAAACATGCCCATAAATTACAGAAATGTGTTTTACCTGTTCATCACTGTAAGATTGCATTGTGCTCCAAATGAAACTTCTGTTCTATAAATCTTGTAACAGTAGTTTCCATGTCTCTCCCATCCCTGATTAGAGAACCAAAACCACGTTTATACATAACAACTTAATTTAGGCATCATCTACAGAAGAAAATAAATCATTGCTATTATTGGTTGGTGCCCACAACGTGGCACAGCATATGCAAGACAGAAATGTAGTGCATCACATACAAGGTCCAGTATCATCAACTCTCAGATTCACAGTTCTAAGAAATAATGCAGCCACGGGAATAAAATACACCACTGTTTTAGCTCAACTGTGCAGTCTTCTGACTGCTATGTGCATTTAGAGAAACACAAGGGCAACAGCCTAGTCCTAACCAAAACAATAGGAGTTTTCATGCTGTTCCACCAACGCCAGGATTCAAACAGAGGAATAACAAGAGGGTATTACTAGTGTTTCTTTACTTCTACAAAAACAAAATTTATACTGAAAATGTGTGATCTTACAAAATTTCTCTATTATTCAAATCTTTCCCTCTGTACGTACACTGACATTTCAAAGAACATTAATGTGTTTCCTCTTTGCTAGCCTATCAAGGCCACTGGTGTCTGAACAGCATAGAAAGCTGTAACTCTACGTTAGCAGTCTCTGAAGAGACAGAGTAAAAATACCCCGAGGTTGTGCAGACAGAAAGATAAGGGGTAAACATGTTTCCTGCTGCAGGCAACATGCCACACAAAACTGAACCAAAGAACTCTGAAGTAGCTCATACCATCCCAAGATTGTTCCAAACAGAGAAGCCTTCTTTTCAAGCCTTATTTATGCTGTAACATGTTATACTGTAAAAAACAGCCAACCCTCCAAACAAAAAATCAAAACAATCACCCCCCCCCACCTTTATTCAAGTTGAACAAAAATGAGACCCAAGTGAACAGAAACCTAATCTCAGTCATCAATCTCTGCATATCTTTATGTTGCAAAGTGCTTATCCTAAAGTTTCCAACAAATAAATATACCACATCTCCTGGGTCCAAGCTTATAATATCGATAAATAGAGTGGTAACACAACCAGAGCCTGCTTAGGAAAATCTGAAATTTGGCTCATGCTATATAAATGTCCTTTTTCAGCTAAAATGTTTCATTGATTTTATTGTATAGGCAAGAATGAAATTAGTGTAGAAGCAGAGGAAATAAGTGATTTTATGGAGGTTTCTGAACCAAGAAAAGAAATATGGACTTCCTATTACCTCTTCCAAGGAACAACTTTTATCTGATTTTGTTTCATTCAAAATCTCTCCTTGTTTCTTGCACACATATTTCAGTTTTTCTTCACAGGATTTGACTCTCCACTGTCCCAACTGTGGAAAAAAAAAAAAAAAAAAATTAAAATTCTAAAATCTTTCTGTTTCCATAGTGCAGGGTCTGAGTCTTCATAAGGGGGAAAGCCAAAATGCCTCTAACAAAAATACTGGGGGTGCGATACCCTGGATTATACGCATAGGTACATGCTTGGAAGGAAGACAGAAAGCTGACAAATGCAGAGATGGGAGGATTCTGGATCACATCTGAAAAGGGAAGAAAAGCCTAGGGTGATGACTACTCTTGAAGCACCCCTTGCTTCTTCTTTACTGCATACTCCCCGGTGTCTGTCCTCTCCTCTTCTCTTACCAAGGTATCTCACTAGCCCTCCTCAGACAGGGTAGCCCAAACTGGTCCTAGAGATGACTGAACCCAGCTTTGCCTTTCAGTAGTTGGGCCCACCTCCCTCCTAGTTCTATGCCAAGAATATGGTAACCCAAAATACAGAGTGACAAGGACAACTGGTTGGCCAACAACAGTGGCAATCTCAGAGCTGTGAGCAATTGCCTGCACTCTCTGCAGTACACACCTACCAAGTGTCAGCTAAATAATTTTAAGAAACTTGCTTGTAGAAAAATTATCTGTGTTTTAAAGATTATTCCAGAAATAAAATCAGTTATCCACTTTACGCCCTTCCTTTACTTTCACACACATCAATGTTGCCTCTACTATGATGGAAAAAAATTTTTAAAAGCCCAAGACTGTATTCCTACCTCGCCTGAATATGACACACAGTTAGGGGTGCTGTTAAAAGGAACTTTTGGTTCATTCTGATCCCAGTATGTAAAAACCACAGCTGAGTGATCTGACCATTTGAACAAGGTTGGTACATCTTCATTCCTGAGACCCATCCACATTTCTTCTTTAGCATCTGTAATTTAAAATTAGGACAACACTGTAGTTTCAAAATAATATTCAAATGAATTGGAAAGGAATGTGAAATCAGCAAAATTAGGTTTTTATCGCTACACTGTGTAGCATAAAAGTTGCATTTTTTTTTCCTTACAGTGAGAAAGGGGATTTGTGACAAGTACGATGTACTTTTGTTATCTAGACTCTTAACATATTCATGAATATGAGTAATTTTCATGGAGAAGGTAACAAAGAGAAAAAACACTCCAGAAATAACGAACACAAGCAAAAAAAGCTGAACCAGGTTTTTAGAGTGCAGACAAAAACATAAGACCAAAGAGTACAGATAACATTTAGTCCAGTGACCCAGTAGTCAAAATATTGACCTGACTATAGAACATTCTCTTTGAATACGAAAATTATGCACAAGGTATTAGGTAACTAGAAATAGGTTAGGGCCAGCAAATAAATAAATAAATAGATTATATCAAACCAAAACAAGAGCTAACATAGAGGGCTTGGGTCTGAACAGTAACATTCAGCACTAGCCTGGGTATAAGGTCAGCATTAGCACCTTTATTTAAAAGTTAGAGATTATGACAATCATATGCTACATCACAGAAAGTGGTTTGTAATTCATGGTGTGCAGCACTTGGTACATGACCTTTACCAGTATCCCAACTCACCATTATGAAGCTTTGTAACAACCAGTTCAACATCTGCTAACGAGTGTATGCTGATGAGGTTACTCTTATTTGCTTTGCACAACTTGTCTGCCACACTCCAAGGCGCCTGGGTATTTATCAGCATGTAGCAAAAACCATTGTGGGGAAGCCAGCCCGAATCACAGCGAGTATCCAAGTGCCTCCAAAACTCTAATAGTGAAGAGAAATTGAATTAAAGGCCTTTGTTTTACATTGGCTAGTGCAGTGTGTTGGCATTTTCTTCATGTTTTAGAACGGTAGCACCTTGAAAACAGCCAGAATGCAGTGAACAGAATGTGTTCACATCTCTTCAGGGCTAACACTTTAAGAAGGGGTCACAGTTTAGTCAAGAAAATAGACTTGCATGAGCAGCACTATGGGGATTCTTAGTATTTTGGGGCCATGAAGTAGGCAGAAGGAAAAAGATGTTAGTGGGAGTGAAAGCAAAAAGCTAGAATGCATTATGTTAAGCTGGTCTCAGTGTAAGCAAAAGGTTCAGAAGTAACTGTAAGCAAGATTTCAAAAGCAATTAAAGGCAAATCAAATTACTTCATTATAGGACAGCAGCTTCAAAAAAGGTGGCTTGTTTTGTTCTAGCAGGGGTTTGCACTTTTACAGGGCTTTGTTATCTATATGCAATATCTGCATAAGAGCAATTCTGAATAACTCGCAATGAAACAAATGCTTATTTTTTTTTCTTCTGAAAACAAGATATTCAAGAATTCAAACTGGTTTTAATGCATGCTGAAAAAAGATATATATTAATAGCCTTTCTAGTTCAAAATACACTATATAAAATACTCCAGTCACAAGAATTCTGTTTTTTAATTAATAAAACAGTGTATAAATGCTGGTAACAACTCCAAATACCCCACTGAGGAGTCAGAAAACAGATAAGGATGGTTAATTGACAACTAGTTTTCAAGGGATCATTTAAAAATTTGAACCAGTTTAGTTAAATTTAAACTGCTTACTATTTTTTTCCCCTCAAAGGCATACAAATCTCCTACAGAGCTGAAGAGAATGTGCCTTAGCCAGAGACACTCCATGACACTTTCCACCTCCATGATACTGCTACATCTCTCTTAACCTCCACTCCTCCCCCTCATCCAAGGACAATCATCTTCCAGTAGGTTTTCCCATGACAGCCCCACAAACATGAGCTCTGGAAACTGGGTAAGGCCAAAGCACACATGGAAGAATAGGCTGTGGATGTAGGAAGGGTTGGATGTCCAGGCACAGGTAAATGGCCAAAAGCATGGAAGCAGTTATATGTCAGAGCTGGACACTGTAAAAACTGAAGGGCTATATATGTGTGTGTAGGGAGGACAGAATAAATTTCTTGTAAGAGATGTCATAGATCCAGTAAAGATTACACACTGGACAAGCTACCAAGTCTTGCAGCTGGGCCTGATTTCAAAGGATAGTAAGATCTACAAACTACTACTATTTGAATCCAACAGAGTTCGATCCAAGCCCCAGATAGGTCCCATTTTATGTCAATACACACCAACAGTGAGATAAACAGGCTTAAAGCAGAGATGGAAAGGTTCAAGGTGCAACTGCCAGTTCTAGACTTCCAGTAGCGCATGAAAGAATGCACAAGCCATGGATGAAAATGTGATGAAAAGGGCAAGACTGTGCTGGGAAATACTTTATATGTGAATGAGGAAAGCTGCAAAAAATGAAAGCTGTTTTTGATGCATCATCTTGACACTGAAGATACAGAGTTTGCTTCTGCTCTGCTAAAAAACTTAAAGCTGTCATGAAAGTGTTTTGGCAGACATGCCAAAGAAGGCTTAGAGAGGGAAAAAAAGACTCCATAAGTGAATATTATACTGATATTAACATACAAAAACCAAAAATGCAAGCTGTCCTACCTGGGAGGCTTGAAACTTCATTGAGTGACTTCTTGCAAATATATGGAAGTGGAGTCCCACAGTGGTAACTCTGCCACTGACCTGAGGCAGCATTCATCACCACACAGCTAGTTCCATCCAGCGGGGACAAACTCTGCATATCTACAGTTAGGAATAAATAAAAAAAAAACCCAACAAACCAAGAGCACGTTATCAAACAGTAAGGTAGTGACTGCTTGTTTTTCTATTGCTTTTCAATACAAGAAATACTTTGCACGATACAACACCTGGCATTTGAAGAACATAACTGGCTTTGAATGAAGGCACCTGTCCTATCACAGGTCCCACAAAGTTTTTTGTAAGAAAGTTTCAGAATCAAGGAATCTGGACTTCCTTTCCAATGTTTAATCATAGAACCAGGAGGAATGTTCTATTTACAATAGAACAAACCCTTGGCTGAGCACTTTCCCAGACTAGAAATATCTCAGGGGAGAACCCTTTTTGCAGTCCTCAGTTTCCTTTGGCAGCCCCTTTCCAGCCCCACTCCAAATGCAGCTCTGCACATTTTCTCTCAACACTAACCATAACCCTCACCTTAACAGAAACCTGAGACAAGGCCCCAAATTAAAACAGAGGACAACTCTCTTTTGTAGTCCCCAGCTTCCCTTGGAGATGCTTTCCAATGGTACTTTTTGTCTTTCCCTTTATTTAAGCCCCAATGCAAACCCCAGCTGTGAACTACACATAGCACTCCAGCCCACCCAGCACTGGGTTTGTATAGTCTCACATAGAAAAAGCTCAGGGTGGATCGTAGTTCTCTATGGGAAAGTACAACAGAGACAGGGCCAGGCTCTTTTCAAAGTGTACAGTGAAAGGACAAGAAGTAATGGGCAGAACTTGCAGCTAGCAAAATTCCTGTTAGATACCAGTAAGTATTTTTCACAAGAGGGGTAGACATCAGTATGCGTGCCATGACTATGGACTACATTATGCCACTGTAATTTAGGACAGTCTAGTTTCCAGCTCTGCATTACAGTCCTACAGTGTCATCACAGTTGCAGAAGAAGGTGCAGCCAGTAGTACAAACAGCAGAAAAGTCCTTAACCTTTCCAAAAGACAGACCACATTTGGAAAATCTCACAGATATTTCTCAGTAAAGCTTTCAAAGAAGTAACAGAAACCACTTCTTATCTTTTCACAGAATTCAAGTCGCAGCACTATTCTAGAAATTGAAGGAAAAGGTCAAATTCAGCTTGAAGGACAGAACAATATTAGCTTCAGTATTCCCAGTTATTACTCCTCCAGGATTCTCATACACACTCATCCATGGCATATTTGTGAGAATATTACAAATACATGCTGAAAATTCCAAAGAAACAAGACTCTCACCAGTTCTACTAGGAACTTGGGAGTAATTAAAAAAGGTTTTTCAGAGGTTTTGTACTTCTTTCATCTTCACCTCAATACAAATTTAAGCATCCTTGAAGTTTAAAAACACAAATTAGGCTTCTAAGTAAAGTCAGTCCTTACACATACATCAGTAATTGTAATATCTGAGGGAAGTCAATGCCATTCTGTCAGTGTGAGGAGAAATTTAGCAGCTGGGGAAGCTGTAGATTCTTTACTAAAATGGACCTCAAAGATGCTACTTAAATTTTACATTTTTAGAGATATTATCCTAATAATCCATAAACATAGAACAAGTACAGAAAGATTCACTGGATAGGAGGAAAAGATGCTTCTGAACTTTTAACACAAATGGAACAACAATGATTGTTTTGATGAAGTCAGATAGCAAAGGGTAAAAAAAAATACTCAGTATTGCAAATATTGTTAATGCCACCAGGAACATCATTACCTGGATGCCAGTTGAGAAAATTCAAAGGTTTGTGATCTGACCACTGCCAACCACCAGAAATGTCCAGTTGATTTAAGCCAATCCAAAAGATCTCAGCAACATCATCCTTAGCTGGAAATATATTTATTAGTTTTTTAAAAGAAAACAATTAGTATAAAATGCTCATCCGTTACTGTCTCATTTAAACTAAAAAGGGGATCTAAAATACTATCTTTACTTCATGTTAATTTGTCAAGATTTCCTAATACTCATATGTAAATAATTACACCTACCTTGTATGTAACTTAATTCAGATGCATCTTGGATGCTAAGTAAATCTCCTCCTTGCCTCTGACATGAAATATAAGCCTCCTTCCAAGAAAGAGAAGACTGTGTATTAAACTGGTAGCAACTTTCAGATCCCGGATCACGCTCCCAGATATCATGACAACCATCCTCTGTTTAAAGGAAGCAGAAGGTACTTGTAACTACAACTATACTGTAGTTACTGAAACATGAAAGTTTCAATAGAAAAATTGTAATACTAAAGGTCTATTGATTTTTATATTGGTAATCTCATATACTGCACAGTGTGTGCCAATTGTCTTGTCAATGACAAGTAGAATGGGGACAGTAGAAAAGGGACCTTCTTTTAGCCAGCTTAACAACAACATGGTACACCAAGGTGGAGCAGCACATATGTCAAGTGACAGAACGCTTTTAGGACGTATATTTAGAAACCCAACGTGCCTGGTTGTAAGCAGATGCCCCATTTTCCATCATGAGTATAATCTTCAGATGTGGCGCACCATTTCCCACCCGTATGCGTTTCATCCTGAATGCAGTCATGATGCCATGTCTTATTATACAGAAAGGGAAATTCACAGGGTTTTCCATAGGAGTTCCCATCTTTGGTATAAACCTCTGCAGGAAAAAAAATAATAAAAGAAGTAGATGCAAGTTGTCTAGGGGAGGAAAAGACAGCAAATCAATGTTACTGCTTATACAGACATAGCTAACTTAAAAGCACGCAAATCTCACTTGTGGTCTTAAAATGTCATATCTTGTAGTTACAGATAATACACAGCAATGTCAGAACTGAAAGAAATGAGAGGAAAATATTTTTCTGGACTTTTTTTTTTTTTTTTTTTTTTTTTTTTTTTTTTGAGTGGGGCATAACACAGCAAAATATTGTTTCCCTCTTCCTGATAATTTAAATACATTGTCCTGTTGCACAGAGTACTACAGAACAAGGCTCTAGGAATCAACACATATAGGAGAAGGAAAACATTTAAAACTGGAGCCTACTGGCCCCTTCAGGCTGGACACTTTGAATAATTCAAGTACAAAGAAAATTCTGCTCTTAAATATGGTAAAGCAAGTTTTCACCACTTATTCCAGCAAGCATGAGATTTCAGATGAGACTGACTTCCATGGCAAGTGGACAGACTATCAGATCAAAGCAAATGGCTGGCTCCTGACAGTCCAACAAGCTGTGAGCTAGCAGCATGCATGGAGTTGGACTGTACAACCTACTAGCAAATAAAATATCCTCAAGACCTGCTAACAGTGAAATTCTCATCACTGTGAAAAGGACAGTCTGATAGAAGGTGGTTGATATTTCATAATTAAATAGGCTCTTAATAAAATATGGGAGTAGAGATTTAAACATGCTCAGAAAGCCACCCAATAACACAGCTTCTGCAGTTGTGCATCTCTATCTTTTATTGAAAATGGTTAAAGTTCTATGCTTGAATATCAACATCTCTCTACAGCAAAACATTCTATTGCTTTACTGATCAGTCTTTTCATATAATTAAGAATTTATTGGCATAGACATACAGCAAAAAGCCCTTAACAACAACAACAAATCCTCCAAACCCCCATGCAAACTTACCACGATACGGATATCGACATATATCATCAGAGGAACTGTTGCTTCTCCACTGGTCTGTTGCATTTATGGTTGCAGTTATGTAGCTAGCCTTGACAGTCACTTTGTACTGAGATGCACCAAGGACAGAAGCATCAGCACATCGCCACCACAGCATTAGTTCTGAGTTACAATCAACCATTTTCAGGCGAGACAGTGATTTGGTGAATATATCAAGTCCCAGGCACTGCTTGGACCCCAAATGAAAGAGGCGATTCTGGGATACCCATTTCCATAAAGCTTCACTTGTCTCCTTGCAGTCACCTATGACTATCCGTGAGTTTTTCACTTGTATGCACTTGTTCAGTGTGTCATGGCGAATGGTAAAAGCATCATTGCCTGTATAAGAACAAAAAAATATCCATATAGAGATATAATTCAATATCACTTTCACAGGAAGTTCATTTTTAAAAGTGTAATCACATTCTGAGACACATGAGCAGAAAAGTACATCAACTGCTGTTTGTACACGATACTGTCTCTTTCGTATACGCCATGTTAAGTACATTTTCCTACTCTTTAGTGAGTATTCTTCACTTTTTTGGGGAAAAAAAAAAGATCTCTTTCAAAGTTATTATAAAATGAGGGGAGATAAAATGGGGCTGTTTTCTAAGTCCAATCCTATTGATGAGAATTCTTCCTTTAACACATACTGATTGGATCAAGTTCTGATTAGTCTGCAGGCTTACTGGGTAAAGAATCTTGCCTTCATGCCTATCTGCAAATGCAGTAACACACAGCAGATACCACAAAATATAACTAATAATCTCACCTTAGTAAGTGCTTTCTTTTTCTAACTGTGTATCATATATGAAACACAGCATGATAGGCTCATATGTGAATCAGTTTGCAGGTGCAACTGCAGCATTACTAAAATAAGTGGCAGCGCTTTTGGAAGAGTTTTAGAATGAATATTCCACCAAAGATGCTGTCATATAAAGACCAGGACTATCATTTTCAAAATGACACAAGAACCCTAGTTTCACTTTCAGCTGTAATGTAGCTTGTCATTAAAAAAAACCCCAGATACTGATCACCCTGATACAAGCTGACACCTCTGTGACAAGTGGCAGTAGGTTTAAGCTAACCAAGAAAAAAAAATGTCCCAGAACTATTTCTATACCACAGTAAAGATGGCCCCATAGTATAAAACTTCCACTTCCCAGGCTGAAATGAACCTTGGCTGTACCAGACCCACAGGGCTAATTACTCTGCTGTTTAAATAAGGAATCTGCTGAGTAGTGTTCTGTATTTAATAGTAATGCTCTGTCAATCACATTCCTACAGCGTTTTTTTAATATGACTTAATAATAGGTTTGGCTGAAGAGCAAGGAAAATATTCAGTGATGTTATGCAGTGAATTTTACCACTACTTCCCAGTATACTCGTGAATTTTCCGCTGTGTAAGTGCCAGATAGTATCTAAATAGTACTGAGCTGGTCAAACTGTGAAGAAGAATCTCTAAGTCAGCCACCTACTGGAGTGACTTCTCCTAAATAACACATTTCAACCTAGCGCCTCTTACATCCTATTAAATAAGTAAGACATTTTAACAAGCAAACCTTCTTTTGTGGTATCATTTTACCCTTTGCTTTTTCAACACTAGATCTGCTTTTTGCCTTTTATTCTCCCCTCCAGACTTTGTTCTTCTTTTCAATGTCTTGTAACATGTTCCCAGTCTCTTCTCATATCTTCCCTTTCCTTCTTCTTCTTTCACTTCTTCCCACACAACCCTCATTCTGACACCAAGAGGAAAATTTTTTTTTTTAAACTTTCCTCAGAAATACTGCCGATGTTGTCTCACCAAATCTCTCTGTACAGTGATTTATTAATACCGGTGCTCAATTACTCCAGCTCAACACTATGGCCGCGAAGTTTTACTGACATTTTCAGCTACAAAACCAAGCCTGTTACTGCTAAAGGATATCAAAGTATGCGAGGCGCAACTATTTAGCGGAGAGCTCAACTTCTCTCCAGGCAGCTCTCCCCAAGCTAGTGGCTTTGCCTTGCAAGAATTTGCCCAAAGTGAAACTTTTCCACCTGCTTTCCGAAAGCCTGGCGGAGCTTCCTTCCTCTCCCTCTCTGCGCACAAAGCAGCAAATAAAAATGACGGCTTGACGCCCTGCAGGGGACCTGCCCGAGTTCGGGTTATTTCTGCTGTGGAGGGAAGAGGCCAAAGGCCCGGC